GAATGAGAAGCAGGGAAAGCGAGAATAAGACAGATACAAAATTAAGAGAGAGAGAGAGAGAGAGAGAGAGAGAGAGAGAGAGAGAGAGAGAGAGGGAGAGAGAGAGATGGGGGGGAGAGAGAGAGAGAGAGAGAGAGAGAGAGAGAGAGAGAGAGAGAGAGAGAGGGGGGGAGAGCGAAATTTGAAAACATGAAATGTTTCAGAAATCGCTTGGTACCCATTACTGAAAAGAAGGTCGAGGTGGGTGAGGAGGAGATGAGAAAAATGTAATGCTTGTATTAATCGGATCGATTAAATCGATGAAAATATCCGAAGGTTGACATACACAGCCATCGCCTCTCCTTAAAGGCAGGCTTTACTACTTCAGCTAGAAGGGATTAGACCACCCAGCGAGCCAGCGAGGTCACTTTGACAGGTGGCTATCTCATTAACTCAGCTCTCATTTAACATAAGAAAAAGAGGATCATGGGGGACCAACAGGCACCGACTGGTGAAGTTTTCTATATAGAGGGAGCAAGTAGCTACAAGTAAGACAATGTGCCTTTAAGAGAGAGAGAGAGAGAGAGAGAGAGAGAGAGATAGAGAGGGGGGATAGAGAAAGACATAGAGGAGGAAGATAACAGAGTGACTGACACAAGAGTCAGGGAGGATGAGAAAGGAGAGAAATATAGAGATAAGGGGAAGGGATGGAGGGACGGAGGAAGACAACAAAAAAGAGATAAGGGGAAGAATAATTAAGGGCAAAGAAAGAGTTGAGACAGCCAGATAGAAAACAAAGAGGGCGGGGGGGGGGGCAGAAAGGACTAATTGTTTTTAAAGGGAGTAAACTTGACCCTAAAATCTGAGCTAAGATAAAAGTATTTAACCAAATAATGATTTTTACAATAATGTTATCAATTATTTAATTAGATTAAAATACAAAATTAACAAATCATTTAAGTAATCAGTAATGGGAATTTGTTTTGACAAATCGGTTGACTTCGGAAAAATAACCACTTATTAAATGTTGACCCACGATTCTGAAGTCATTAATTGTATAAAATAGCCCTTTTGGTCCCTTTGCCTCCTTCCTTACCATTATTAATTCATTATTTTATCTGTCCTGTTTCTCCTTATAAAATACAAGACTGGCAAAATCAAATGAGCGGAACCATTCTTCCCCACAAATTTTGCATAATAATTGGAGGAAATGTGCCCCAAGGAAAGAAAGTCCCCATAGGACACAACGTTGTATACTCCCCCCTTGACCCAAATTCCATGAATGATGAATGATTCATCAAATTCTGATCAAGTTCTATAGCACACTATTTACCGAGCTTCATCAGTTTTCCTGTGCAATGAACCGTAATATATTTGCATTAAATACATGAGTCGTAAAGAGAGGGTATAGGGAATATAGATCAAGAGCCCCTTGAATATTTGAAAATGGAGATCTTTTATAGGCATTTCATCAGAATTATGGATAAAGACTTGATTTAATTTGAATCATGAACCCCTGGGGAAAATCATCGTTATTTGGATCAGTCGCCATCCCGTCACGAGTATTGGATGCAAGCGGCTTTATAGTTCATGCAATCTCGGTTATATCCACGTTATTTATGCATGTTTATAAGCCTCAAAATAAAGATCAATACCATGTTTTTTAAAGGAAGAAAATTAGAATGAAAATACTTAATCATCAGACGCAGTGGCTTAACTGTGATACGAAACAAAAGGTAATCATGGCGGAAATTATTGTAATTGTGTTAAGTTATTCTTCCTTCATTAGTCATTAAATTTTTCAAAACTGTTAATGAATAAACATCATACCTCAGTGTGATCTAACACTTTTTTTTGCAAAAGAAAAAAGTGATTGGTTATTGTTCATGCACTGTCACATTGGATATTGATAGGCCTATAAGACGGCTCCCCCTCCCCCTTTCTCCTCCGCTCCATTTTGGAGGCCCTGGACAAATGTTGAGAATATCCAAACACAATTTACGTACCTATGTCATTCGACCAGCTCTGCTCCGACTCTGTTGTCAATCTCTGTTGTTATTGGCTGGATACGCCATTTGAAGCAATAAACGGACACAATAATGTGCCGTTACAGATGAAAAATCATTCAATATTCCAAGCTCGTAATGGCCGAGAAACTAACGATATATGACGATCGTCAAAGCAAGCAAGCAAGCGGTAAATCTGTCCAAGCTCGATCTCTGCTGAATTATAATGAATTACTATGGTAATCTTTGTCACTGGAGAAAATGATGCCCTCTCAGCGCAAACTATTGATTTGACTTCATACTCAGGCTATTTCATTATTCTAATTACGCCCCAGAAGGGAATATTATTGGATGTATTTCAATTATGCATGAACATGCATGCTGTCATGGAGGTCAGGAGCATATAGATATATCATGTTACATCTGGGAGAATGATAGGATGATCGACAAACAAGAAAAGTTGTGACAGCTTCGCCTTGTATTACTGCAGCAAAAGGGAGTGTATATTTTTCTCTTTTGCTTTTTATTATCTAAATTTTCATTGATTCATATCTATTTCATATAAATCAGCCCGCGTCTCATCAGAGCTGAGGATTGAAATGGGTGATGGGATAACTCTATATTATCAAATAAACATTTACTTTACTTGTATTAAAGAGAACTGTTGCTGAGCTATAGCGCCATGAGCGTCTCTGGACGGTGTGTGCCCTTTATAAGTTTACACTATTATTATTATTATTATTATTATTATTATTATCATACGACACAAGACCATGCTCAGTCTTTGTAGGGAAATTGCGTTGGGGATTTCGGTGCCGTGCATGGGGGAGTGTGACATTTTCTAAAAATATCGAAATTTACCTGATCATGCTGATTAAGTTCCGCATAATGAACGAAATGGGTATATTATGGACCAAGTGTTAAATGGACAAAATTTCAAATTACAGAATCATAATGAAAATTCCTGCTCCTGACGAAGTAAATAGTTACTATAAAAGAGTGAAACATTGTTTTAATTCAAGGGAAAATCTTGTAAGTCCGATTCTAAGCAAAGATATATTGTATGCAAAACTAGAAATAAATTGATGGAACAAAATGCAAATGTACTTTGTACTAGTGTCAGTCAATGACGGAGGGGCGAGTTAACTTTCCCCCTTTGAAACCGAATTTTCTTATTATTTGAATGTACAACAGTCAACAAAAATGACCCTCTATTTTTTAGGAATTGTGCCCCATCCCTATGTAAAATCATGGATTCCCCCAGCCCTTAATTTCGGGGGCGGTTTCATTGCCACTGTACTCATTATGGTACCCGAGATATCTCAGGCAAGGATTGACAAACTGGTGAAGGTTTATGGTTATCAAAACTAGCAGATGGTCACCGGATTACATGAAATCTAGAATTTACAGAGCGCAGCTGGCATTTTGAGTTTGATAGATGGCGCACTACTAAAATGACCGCAGAATCACATTCATTTTACCCAGGACCTAGATCAGTCTTCCTGCGGTACCCATTACACCTGCGTTTAGATGGAGAAATGTGATTAAAAAAACCTAGTCCAATGATGCAAGCACCGAGCGGAGATCGAACCCATGACCCATCTAATCAAAAGCCTTCATCAATATACCACAGTGCTCCCTTAAAGTATGTGTGAAGTTTGACAAATTAAAAGAACATGATTATGACATGTTTCAAAGTCGTATCGAGGACTACATTGCATTAATTTAAAAAATCTAAGAATAAAGAGGCCTGTGTGTGAGATTGTTGTGCGTTTTCATTCACCAAAATATTCTTTTTATTACAGAATTAACGGACAGTTAGAGAAATTAAATTTCATACAAAGCAGTAGGTGCTCCCCCTCCCTTCCTACCTCCTTCCACAACCCACCCGTATGCCTCTCACAATCTCTCTCTTTATGTGTCACCGAGTGTGTCTATCTTTGTCCTCTCTCTCTCTCTCTCTCTGTCCTCTCATTCTCTCTTTGTGCCTCTATCTCTGTCTCTGTTCTCTCTCTCTCTCTCTCTCTACTCATTTTAGACAAAATCACACGAAGTAAAAACACTATTACTATTCATGTAACAATTCTTGACCCAAAATCTGGCAGAATTTATAAGATTATTTTGAAAATTCCAACTAAATATTGTTGCAATTTATTTCAAAACAAACATGAAGTTTAAGTCATGATTGTAAAGTGTGCAGGGGCTGGTTAATATTTTTTAAGTTAGGGTGGCCAAAATACATGTGAACACATTTCAATTTGTACTACTTAAAAAAACAACTATAATTAAAGCTGTAACTTATTTGGTGACCTCCAGTTTAAACTTTATGTAGATAATCAAGGAAAGCTTTTTCCTTATCTTTTTCAACTTTACATATTTTTGTTTGTTTTTACATGTACCGGTACCTATCTCTGAATCATTTACCACGCCATTTACTATACATGTGACAATTTTGAAACTCCATCCAATTCCAATCCCGAAATTGCATCCAATCCTTTTTTTCTGTTTCATTCATAATGTAGTCATAGTTGGGTTGGTAAAGTGGTCGCCCAAACCTATTGGCTACAGGAACCTGATGGTTCCTCATTATCCCTGTGTATCAAAGAGAAGGTTGAGTTCTGGGGAGAGGTGAACAATAATTTGTGAGCGTTATCATTATATTATGCAAGTGTGGAAGAACATCAGATAAAAAAATTCCCTGGAAAGCATGGCTTTTCAAATGCCTTAATATTCTAAATATGGCTTGTAACATCATACAAATCGGGACGGATTTTTATGCCACATGTTCTTGTAGTCCCATATACATCTTTCTGTGTACAGTGCTTGTAACTTTACCAAGACTGGGCCAAATTTCTTATCATCTTGATGATTCCAGAACCTTGTAGTACACACCAATACTTATATGCTAGATGATCAACCTGTTCTGATCGATTCCACACGTTTATTTCACAATGCAATCGCTTGATCAGAACTCAACTTTTATCTTTAAATGCATGGAATCAGAGAACTCAGCAATCAGTGGGTTATTTGCAAATTTATTGTTTTCAGTGTTCAATTTTGTCAGTAAGACTGGCCAGCAAATGATTGTGTATCTCCTCTAAAGCTTTTGCCTTTAGAACTAAAATACATTTGTTCCCTTCCTACTTTTCATACACAACCCTGCCAATATTACCTTCTGACCAGTAAAGAATGACTCCTTGAATAATAAGAAATTACAAAACATATAGAAACTCGTTCTATATCAGGTCTTAAACTTTCTCTCTCATGGGTCCTCCTACACCCATAAAGATGAACCACAAATATTTTCCAATAAAATTTCTTTACAAGATCTTACTAGACAGTACAAACCAATACATAACATACTATATTTATAATCGGTCAAGGTCACATTCTTTGTGTAACTTGTAAGAGACACAAGATGTAAAGAGTTGAACGCCTTACTTGCTGTGGGCGGCACTTAATAGTAATGTTCTACTACACATCTGGATGAATAATTTTTTATTTTTTTTTCTGAAGTAGAATCAGGTATACATATTGACGAGGCGTTCCCACTAAAAAAATATTTAAGGCCAAGTTACACAATAATTTGCAAAGATGAGCCCAGAATTTACATTATATACTGATATACATTTTAGAGTTTGTTGATGACGATTGTTCCTAAATTGGTGGCAGAGGGTTAATCATCAAAATGATAGGGATCGTCAGAAGGGTCTACAGGGATTTTCTTAAGCTCTATCACTGCTCTCTTGTTGTCCAAAGACACCCTTCTCATGGTTTCAGGGGATCCCCTAACCTTGCTTTCAAGGGGAGAAGCACACTTGATGGTCTCAGAGTTAGATGGCTTGCTTCGCAATTCACTTGCAAGGGTGGCCTTTGAATCTGTAAAGGCCCTGGGGTTCGAGTCTATCAAGGTCTTATGTTTGTCCTGCTCTGCACTAACCCTGCTTCTCATTTCCACAGCTAACTTGCTCTTAACTTCTGAAGACATCATGCCCCATGGGTTCGAAGCATCACTAGGTGGCCCTGTGACATCTAGGATTGGTTTGTGCTTGGTGGTGTAGTCTGTGCTCGATCGCATCTTCATGTCAAACATGGGTTTATTCTGGAGAGCTGATGCTAGCACGGTCCTCTCCTCTCCCTTGCTCTTGAGCTCTATCATTGCAGGGTTTCTGACCTCAAAGGAACTAGGTCTTGCGCCAACAAGCTCCTTGATGCTCAGCTCCATTGCGTGTCTTAGAGGAGCTTCTGGTAACATCTTCGGAGCTGCGTGGCTCAACATGGTCGGTGAGGCAGATTTACGACCCGTTGCAATCTCCAGAATGGCCGGGCCTTTGAAGTCTGTCCTCTGTGGCCTAGGTAACGGCCTCATTTCTGTCTTCATGAAGTAATCTCTGAGTTGCTTGCCGCCTGTGTCTGCTTTGCTTCCGCTACTCTCGTGTTTTTGAGAGTCCAAGCTAGGTAATCCGAACAATCTGGCTTTGTCAAAGAGCTTGCTCTTGTCAATCTTCTCCAAGCAAATCTTAGGTTCCTCGGCCATTCCTGGAGGATCGGTGAACTCAAACTCGTCCTTCTCAACATCGATAGTTTGATCTTCACTGGTGTGGGATGTCTTCAAGGTAATCTTTTCCTCTCGGAACACCTTTGGCCTCCATTCTTTCTCCTGGCCCATCTTCACCACATCGATTGTCTCTGAATCTGCATCATTTCCATTATCCCTTGATGATTTCTTCTTGTCAAGTCCAGCTCCCTTAGCATACTTCTTGACTGCCTTGTCGTATCGATCTTTCTCTTTCTCGTACAGTAGGTAGTAGTGCTAATTACATAGAGACAAAGAGAAGAAAGACAAAGTAGATTGAGAATGGGACAATGCGGTTAAAGCAGCTTTCTTGCATGGACAGTCAAAACTCTCTATACAGTGCGTCCCAGAAAAAACGAAACCGAGAAATATCGATGTTTTATCATAACTTAATCACTACCATAATTAATGAATGATACATATTTGGAAAGCTTAGAGTCTCCTCTTTCAGTTGACGCTACTCACGTGATGCATATTTCACGCATGAGTGATTAAAAGCAATTTGAAGGAAGGAAAGAAACCAAAAAGTAATTTGGCGGGCGGTATCTGAATTTCAAAGAAAAATTCATATTTCTAGAAAGTTCATTTCCTGCTTTTTCATATGATACCTCAATCAAGAAAAATGAGCCAGGAATAACAAAGTTCTGTTTGTTTAAAGTAGCCCTTACATTTTCATAATTTTAACAAACGAATTCGTTTTCACTGGGTGCCTGCCGTAGCAAAAAGCAGATTTGACAAAAGACTTCACTCCGTTTCGTTGACAATCAGCTATGCATGAAGACTCTCGTCTACGGCTGATTGTCAACGAAACGGAGTTAAGTCTTTTGATAATTTCGTTTATTGATACGGCAGGCAGCCAGTGAAAACAAATTCGTTTTAATAAAATTCTGGAAATGCAAGCACTACTTTAAACAAACAGAACTTTGTCATTCCTCGCTCATTTTTCCTGATTGAGGTGTCATATGAAAGGGCAGAAACTCAACTTTCTAGAAATGTGAATTTTTCTTCGAAATTCAGATACCGCCCGCCAAATGTCTTTTTGGTTTCCTTCCTTCTAATTGCTTTTAATCACTCATGCGTAAAATATGCATTATCTGAGTAGCATCACATGAAAGAGGAGACTCTAAGCTTTCCATATATGTATCATTCATTAATTATAGTTGTGATTAAGTTATGATAGAACATCGATACTTCTCGGTTTCGTTTTTTCTGGGACGCACTGTATATGCCACCCAAGGGAAACAGAGGAAGTGGCCACTGTAGAAAGTGACTATTTTTGACAGGTTTAACAATACACATTTCTTCTTGAGGTAGACAAAATACATTGCCACTATATACACAGGTGGTCTTTATACAGAGGTGGCCACGGAGACAGGTTGCCTGGACTTGTTTTGTTAGTTATTCCAACTGTATTTGACAAAAGGTTTCACAAGATAATAAAAGCTGTCTAGTAAGGTCTTGATGGCTTTGGTATGTCTGCCTATTTGAAATAAAAAAATTAAATCATTTTTTCTTTCTTTCTCTCTATCCATCTTACCTTCTTTTCCTCTTCACTCAGGAACTTCCAGCTGTCTGGTAAGGTGTTGATGGCTCATATCTGTCTATCTATCTTTCTATCTATTTTTCTTTCTTTCCTTCTTTCTATCCATCTATGATCTTACCTTCTTTTCCTCTTCACTTAAGAACTTCCACTGTTTAGCCAGCTGTCTGGTGAGGTCTTGATGGCTCATATCCGCAGAGTAGATGCCGTTGCCTTCACCATCCTGTACCTTCTGTCTCTCTTGTTGACAGTACATGAGGAAAGCATTGGCAGGCTTCTTGGGTGCGTTAGGATCTGCAAGGAGAATCAAGGATTGATTTCAAGTGATGCACACAGAATTCATGATACTCGCATATTCTCTCTCCCTCTCTCTCTCTCTTCTTTATCTCTCTCTCTCTCTCTGCCTCTCTCTCTCTCTCTCTCTGCCACTCTCTGTCTCTCTCTTTATTGTAGTATATATTTACTTTTATATCCAGACGACTACTTCCTGGATAACTTTTCTCCAGACAATTTTCTAAAAGACAACTAACCGTTCCATAGGAAAACTACCCCCTGACAACTCAACCACCCCACCCCCCCTCCCAGCCACACAATATTATCACTTAATGTCCAAATTAAGCAATTTGTACATAACTAGTTGATAAAAGTTGCTACATGTACATACGTGTGCACCAAGTTTGATGGTAGAGTAAAACCTATCTATAGCGACCACCCAAGGGAAACAAAAAAAAGTGGTCTTTGTAGACAGGTTCCTTTAGTACATGTTTCAATGAGAAACCATTTTCAAGGGAAACAAAAAATGTGGTCTTTGTAGACAGGTGGTCACTAAAGCAGGTTTGACTGTATTATACTACAATATCAAGACTTTCTCCTTATGTCTCCTGTGCTTCGTACCTTTTTCTCTCTCAGGCTTGTTGGAATCCCTTGTCCTTTTCTTCCTTGGCTTGACCTGGACAACGACAGGTCGCGGTGGTTCCTGCACCACTGTGACCATCTCCTCGCCTTTGACCGGTCCTCCTTGGGTGAATGGACCAAACCCGCCCAGGGTTTCTCCTACAGCCGGTCCACTGGGCGATGGGCTATCCGATCCTCCCGTCATTGCACCGGGCAGTTCTTCCTGTACAGACAAGATCAAGGTCACAGACAAGGTTAAGGTTGGCATATTTCATAATTCTGCCAACCTTGTTCATTTTTGTTTTTTTGTTTGTTTTCTTCTTTTATTATTTATTTCCATTTCTTCATTTATTTTATTTGAGTAGGGGGGGGGGGGGGTATACTGGGATAACTTTCTGGGGGTGGAGAGGTAGCTTCCTGGAAGTCATAGTCAGGGGAGGGGGGGGGGAGGGGCAAATCTGAAAATGAATTTACCTCAAGCGGGACTGTCAAATCACTCTTCTTGAATCCATCTCCAAGTTCTGTCAGCTTCTTCGCGAGGCCCCTACGACACAAACAGAGAATTAGCAAAAACTAAAACAATTACATGTATTGTCATTTGCAAAACATTTTTAATCAGAATCTTCTCTCCTAAACATACATTAAACATGGGGACAAATCAGTAAAGAACCTGTTGTTTTTACCTTATATTCTTTTTTTTTTCATCTCGAAACTGAAGAGCCAGTGTATTCTTTATATATGAACTTTTAATAATTCTACATTACAATTTCCCAGATAAATCATATTTTGTGGGTGCTATCATTCAATTAATTCAGAATTCCTTCTTGATGTCAAATAACTGCACAAGGGTAGAGAGTGGCAAGTATTGGTAAGTGTCTTGTGACTCTTGTCCAAGTATTCATGTGCCATGCTGCCCAGGCTTAAACCCTTAAAATCACATATCCAGTTAAATGTCCAAAGCATTAAACTCCTCTTAGTGGCTGATCAAATATACAAGATAATCCACAAAGCAGACTTGCTCTATCATGTATATAACAAATGTTTATAATCTGCCACAGGATCAGAGGTTACAAACAATCACCTAAATATTCATGCTAATTTGCATACTGAAATATCTACAAAGCATCTAGAAAAGAGGCTCCAGACTAGTCTATAAAGGGGGGCGTTTCACAAAACTTGTCATCTGTGACAAATGACAGTTTTTGTTATAAGCTTTATTTATGAAATCCTTGCTTCTGATTGGTTATCAGCAGATTTATCACTGATTTTTGTCATTCATCATTGAAAGAAGGCTTTGTGAAACTGGTCCATGATCTGTATTACTTACCTTCTTTCTCTAGAAAGCTTGTGAATATATTTCTTGACATGGCACAGTCTGTTCAGAACTCTTTCATTACTCTGAAAGAGAATTCAAGAAATGGAAAAATGCATGAAATGGACAAATAATGGAGAGAAAAAAAGAGTAAAACTAGACAAAATATATGGAAAACATGATACACTTTGAGAAAATCTGTAAGTGTGATGTCCCCATTCCTACTGAGATGAGATAACAAAATATTATATGTGTGACATAGACATGAGAGGCGCACAGCCAATATGGGAAAATCTCTCTTAATATTGGCGACTTTTGTCTAGATTTTTGGTAGCCTAGACCCTATTTAGGATACCAATTTCTTTATTTTCATTTACGGCAAAGGGATTACCTGGGCTCACGATAGAAATGATAAGTAGATTCCAAATAATAATAGTAATAGTACAAACTAATATAGAGCGCACACACCGTCCATTGATGCTCATCATGGCGCTAGCTCAGCAACAGTTCTCTAGTCTACTAGTAAATTAAATGTAAATTACTGCTTTTTAACTTTTGACAGTCTACTTCAAAAGCTTACTTCAAAAGCTTGCCGTCCACTTTTGTTTTCATAAGTTTCTTTATGATCCACAAACTAAACCAAAATGGGCTCCTGACATCATGACATGACCTCAGCTCAGAGCGGTAAAAATAGGTGGCAGGGAAAAATTGCCTTCTTGTTGTTGGTCAAGTTTTGTTTTTTCTGTAATTCTTCTGTAGGGATAACGCCAAGTCTCCTTGCACGTGCGCGCACCTCTAGATCTACTGATAGAGGTTAGGGTTCTATGATGTAGTTTCTCTTAGTTTTATATCGATAATTTATTACTGTTAAATCAGGAACTTTGTGAATTGATACTATCAATTCATAAATTGCTCATTTTCATGGCAAGAAACATCATAACATGTGATTGTGAATCACATTCACAATCACAATTTTTTTTCTCACAAGTCACGACCACAATTTTTTAGTTAAGTTTATGATTTTCTAGGCAAGGTGAAGATCTAGGTCTAGACTACTCACTCTAGACTATTCAACATATCAAATCAATTTGCCCTCATTTACATCTAGTCAACATTTAGTTCGTAGTTTTGTAGATCTACATTTTCATGATATATTCGGAAGCATTTCGATAAATATTTTTTTAACTTAAGACAGTCCCACATGTACGTAAATGAGTGGGTATTCTCATTTCATCTGTTTCTTACCAATTCTAGTGAATCACATTTCCTTTTGAGCGTTATATATCTCCTCTTGTATGCGTATGTGTCCTGCATTGTTTCTGGAATATTTCTTGATCTATGGCGAATATTCACAGACTTAAAATTCAAGTAGTTCTAGGCCTATAACGGTGACTCAAGACCAAACGATATTCAAGCACTCCATACATACATTATATACACAGAGGCGAATTCTAAAGAAAACGTATAGAAAGATTGCCTACTTTGTTATGATTCGCCGTCAGGAAAGTAGTCTACAGCGTACGCGCAAACGCACGAAGAAAAGAGTCATTGTCCCAGGGTGGGGCGAGGAGTTCCAATACTCCGACCACAGGAGCGGGATGCTCAAGAAGGGGATAATTAGCAAAATAAGCGATTTTGACACCCAAAGGCCACCCCCCTCTACCTTATAAAAAAGGGAAGTATTTGTTATGCAAGAAAACAATGTATAATAAGCTTTCCAGTACTCCAATATGCAAAATGTTATAAGCGAGGGGGCAGATTTTTCTTTCTAATATGGGGAGGCCTTGTGTTTCATTTTTTAATTTTCCTTCATCATTTTTTAGGATTGCGCAACAAAACCAAGTGCAATATTTTCTTCAAGTGGTGTATAAACCAGAAGGCGGGGAGGGGATTCGTTTCTGTCCCCTCTCTCACAGGGTGCAATTTGTTTATTCATGCAGGGCCGTTGACAAAAAGATCATGTCGTCAAGTACATTCTTTATATATAACCACAGATAAGACTGCTCAAGTTTCGACATTCAAGAAGTTAATTTTTTTCGCTCGGTCATTACGCTCTCTCTTGAAGGTAGATGCAGAAACCATCTTTTATGGGCGTTAAGAGCAAGTGCCATATTTTCCCTAAATTAACTTGGCGGATAAATTATTTTTTTCTCTCCTCCTGCATGAATATTATATATCATTGGCTTCTTATAGTAGAGTGAAAATGTATTGAACACTTCACCAGACAATAATATGACTAGTTTGTTTGAAGCAACTGACTTGGTCGCTACGCTCCCTCGCCTATTAATAGAAACATTTCCCCCCAAAATGCAATCTATGCCGAAGCCCTGGAAGTGTGAAGTTAACAGGGATAGGGACTCTTTTTACCCTGCATTTTAATCTTTCTGAGATCTGTTTTTCCTACCCGGTCGCTACGCTCCCTCGCTACCATCACCACACCCTGATACCATCTAAGACCTAAGTGTTGATAAAAACATGGCCGAAGTTGTGTATAATATATGAAATGCAAATAATGCTTCTTTCTTTTAGAAAAAATATCAAGCATTGCTCTGTCGAAGAAAACTGGAAATATTATGGTATGATTACGTAAAAAAGAAGAAAATGAAAAGTGCTTGTTTCGAGGAAGGGACTACATTTCAAAGAAATTAATACATACATTAAATGTATAATACAAAAGTTTTGGTATGGGGTCAATGATGAATTCGGTTAAAAAGAAGTAATGAACATATTGGAAGCATATGCGATTTTACAATATCCAAAGATCGTTGTCGCCGGGTTGAAATCGAGTCTAAAGTGATGCAATTGTACATAATAAACTCTTCATGTTGTATAGCCCCCTCTCAAGACTGATATCATTATAGCTTTAAAATGTGCCGTGACTAAAATCGACCGATTTGCTATACCCGTTTGGAAATTATCAGAACTGCATATTCTGAGATGATGGTGGCAGCTCCCATAAAATGGCCTTAGGCGCATTTTGAAATAGTATCGGGAGCAACGGTAAATTTTTGATTATTCAATTTCTCGGAAGCAGAAGTGTTTTACTTTTAGGGGCTACATTTTCTAGTGCTTATAATACATCCACAGGGGCATCAAAATATATCAAAATTTTAAAGAATTGCTATCCATCCAACTTTCAAAATTACCTTTAAGCTAAGATAAATTTAACCTTTCTGATCTTTAAAAAAATTGTCGTAAATACATTCGAAGTGGGCCCTCTAAGATTAAAAGCAAGACGTATACTCTGTTTTGCTCTTATTCAATGTTAATTTGACTATGCTAACCCTGCATGGTATAGTATACATGAACAAGTCAGATCAAAAGAAGTTATACAGAACATTGAGAACAAAATGGTAAGATTCATCAACTGTTCTCGTCCAAAAACTTATGTTGGCTACAGCGAACTTTCTAAAGCTGTCGAAGTCAACCAAAAATCAAAACAATTCGTTTTGCATCACGTCACTGCATAACATATACCATACTACGTCGAATCATTATATTCGACCCGACTTTGACCTTGTTACTGACTTACATGATTATTATAGAAGAAATAGTCGATCCAACTTTTAACTTACCAGATAGAATATAGGCCTACTATTGGAAATTCGTTTTTATTACATTGCAGTAAAACATTGAAATTCCCTTCCTAATGATATAGGAAATAAAAGACTTTGCTGATTTTAAGAATAAGAGGCAATTCAAGTAATACCTAACACTGGAGAGTCAGGAGAGAGAAGTGAATGGCATGTCATATGATTAAAATAGCCTGAATACTGAATACTTCTTCTTAATTCTACATACTTTTTATGTTCTTTTTTCTTCTTGTACTTATTATCATAAATAATAATAATAATAATAATGTAACTTATATCGCGCCAAATCCACTCTGTGGAGTGCTCAAGGCGCGTGTAAACAGGAAAAACGATCAAGACTTGAAAAGGAATGTTTTGAGATGAGCTTTGAAAAAATCAGAAGATAAACATTTTTTGATGTCTTCAGGAAGGCCATTCCATAATTTAGGACTAGAGTATGCAAATGATCTTTCCCCCCACGTTTTGGTAATTTTGGGGGTCACAAGAAAATTGGAAGTGGATGAGCGTAGAGGTCTTGCAGGAGTGTAGTATGATATCTATCAATATTAGTTTAATGTTGTTATTATAATGATTATGATCACCATTATTATCTTCAATAAGTTTTTAAAAAATCTTTTATCTGTCTGTAAATATATTAACTATTTATTTTACCTTATTAATTTTGTAAACTAGGTCGGGGACCCCCTGGAAATAGGCTTTCAAGCTTTCGTGGGTTCGGCGTTGGTTATCTTGTTCAAACTGACTTAATTTTAATCTGTTATTCTTTATATTGTTGAATGTTGAAAGCTTGGCGAATAAATCAATCAATCAATCAATCAAGCAATATAAAGTAATATTGTGCTCACTGCCTTGTATTATTTTATTTTTAAAAAGGTAACCGAAATAATTTACTGGCGTTGAAAACTTGCTTGCGCGTGCGTGAGTGCTACAACAGTGTAGACGGAGTAAGCAATCTTTGGCTGTTATGCCCTCTTGTGTGCTTGTATTGTGATTGTGCGAGAGCGACGTGCATCATAAACCGTGCACATAACGAAAACAAAGGTGATCAAGCCAAGATCCAGTTCGGTGCTCGCAATATCAATACTGAGAATAGTAACAATATCATCGATAATTCTGGCACTGGTAATACCCCTGATCAACATGGCGACGGGAGAACAGCTTCATAGAATGACAGAAAATGTCTACAGGGTAAGAATTACTTAATTTCTTCGTAATATCTGTGATTTGCTTGGTTTTGAGCCGCAGTCTCGAGAGCTACATCGGGGGTACATCATCATGGATCCCTTCCCCGCCTGACCTCGACTGGGCAGGGTAGGTGTGGCAGGTGTCTGCATGTCTCTATTGCTCTGCGTGCACTTGTAATAAAAGGAGACTCCGCAGCACCAAACCCGATTCAGTTGATAGTTGTTTTATTTTACGTTTTTTGTTTATGTATCAATGTAGTCTATGTGATGCATATATATTAATACATTTATTTATTTATTATCATTGTCAACTGATGTATTTATTTCCTAGATGCAGTGCAATGACAAATAATGTGTAACAATATTTCAGAAATCAGAATTGTAATGAAATATTAAAATATTTCAGAACTGCAATGAAGTATTACTTGACCAACTGTCACCAACAACACTTTTAAAAGACCCCTATGTACATACTTGGACAATTCAAGATTAATGATTCAAGTGTTGACATTTTATTTTCCATTTGGAATAGAAACAGACTCGTCTACTAAACATTGTGTCTTGTGATGAGAGCGAGAAGGGGGTCTATTCTAAGAGTATTATGAGTAAACTCCCTTGTGGCTCTCAGCAGATGGTCACAAGAAAAAAATCCTTGCGAGAGAATAAAGGAGGAAGAGAGAAAGGAGGAGAAAGAGAGAGAGAGAGATACAGACACAGAAATATATATGTGAATATAATATTGAGAGAGATAGGGAGAGAGAGAGAGGGAGGGAGAGAGAGAGAGAGAGAGAGATGGAGGGAGGGAGGGAGGGAGAGATGGAAACTAAATACAAAAGTTTATTCTAAAAGTCTCTTTGAATGAAAGACAAAATATGGAGTTGTGTGAATGTCATGAATTTATATTACATAGATTTTGATTTTGTTTTGTTTTTTGTTCGTGTCCTAATCATGGAAAGGCTGTATCAATACCAATCTGTTTATTTCTATTTCCAGCATACAATAGATGGGTTCAATCCTGAATTACGGAATCTAGTTACTCTCGGCCGAGCTTATGAGAAAGCCTTACAAAGTAAGTGTACTTTTAAAACTTGTGCATCCTTACAATTAAGAATATAATTGTCTTGATATCAACTTACAGTGTACATGTAAATATGATGTTTTCTAGACATACCGTATACCTGTACGTGCTAGGATTTCTTGAGAGGTTTACCCTTAAAGGCACACTGTCCTACTTCTAGCTACTTGCTCCCTCTATATAGAAAACTTCCCCAATCGGTGCCTGTTGGTCCCCCATGATCCTCTTTTTCTTGGTATGTTAAATGAGAGCTGAGTTAATGAGATAGCCACCTGTCACAGTGACCTCGCTGGCTCGCTGGGTGGTCTAATCCCTTCTTGCTGAAGTAGTAAAGCCTGCCTTTAAATAAACAAATCTTTGTATTACTGTGTTACACATCTTATATGAATGTATAAAAAACATGTAAAGGTTGATGGGCACAGAGAGGCAATCTGATCATAGTCCAATCTGGAGTTCACCACATAAAACAGTCATGGTAAACATGACTTTTTCAGTAATGTTTTTTTTTATTTCTTGAGCATTCAAGGTGTGAGAGATTGGTCATTCAACTTTTACTCATCTTGTTATGATTACAGTCAAAGTGAACAATGAAAACACTCTGGCAGTATATGAAGCCTTGTATTACCATCACATGTACACAAGGTCAAGGTGTGGATCAGATATCAATGTGGTATTATGATCAGGGTTGCCTGTCAGGGTCACCTACAAGTCTCTCTAGGCCTGTCTTCACTATATCGAGATTGCCAAATATCCATCTATTTGAACTATCCCGATCGGAAACTATCTAGCTAATTTGCGTCTTCATCGGACCGAAGTAGCAATTAGAAGGATATTTGGTCGGGATTGTCATCCCAAGTTTGCAAAATATCCCACTATTTTGGCAAAATATCCAGCTATTTGTCCTGTGCGTCTTCACTAGACTGAAGATTCGCAATACGCACTAACGCTGAGCAAAATATCGCGAGCTAATTTCTCAAGGTCGGGTTTCATGTTTCGAGGTTGAATCTCGAGATAGTGAAGACGCGATTTGTTACTTTGGGATTATTTCCCAAATAACGGGCTATTTGGCAATCTCGAGATGATGAGGACGCGCCTTCTCTCTCTCTCTCTCTCTCTCGCTCTCTCTATAAAGTTCCATATTGATTGACTTTGGCGATCATGCTGTTCCACAACCCTCTGCTCCTAGCCCTTCTCTATATTATTAGCACCACTCCCAGTTCTTTCACTCCTCTCTCTTCTAACAATTTCTGCAGACTGTCTATCCAAAGTATCCTTCTTCTTCCCCTACTCCTCCCACATTACATGTAAACTGTCCACTATGTGCTCTGAGCCATTGAGGAAGTATTAACCTTTGGCAAGGTGATGCCCAAGCTCTAAATGCGCAAAAAATGTTCACAAAAAATAATTTTTGTTACTGTGATTTGTGTATTAAACATGTCTGGTACCAGGGCTTGTGAAGTCTCACCTCCCTGCTGGTACATTCCATTAGTAGGATGGATAGTATAGGTCCAAAATACTAAAGAAATGTAGCTGTTTGTTTCATTTCCAATAATGCCTCCGTCTACCAAAGGTGGTGCTGGAGGCATGTTTTGGGGTTGTCCATCCCACTTTCTTGTTACCTCAATATCTCAAAAACCACTTGAGGTATGAACTTCAAACTCAGGCCTTGTGGATAATATACAAGTATCACTATAGGAAATGATCTGATCAAATTTGAGGGTAAACAGGTCAAAGGTCATAGAGCTCAATTCTGAAATTACAGTTTTTAGCTGAGCTTTATCGCAATATCTCAAGGTACATGTACATGTACAGTACCTAAGATTTTTTATAAAGTTGAGCGATGCAATAAAGAATTATCACCTTTCAAAAGCAAAGACATCACAATTACTCTAGTTTCCCCTACATACTGTATTTTCTTGTACATGTATGTACATGTATGTTGTTCTTTCTACTGCATGTCTGTGTGTTATGATGCATTTGTCCATCGTGTAACTACGAGTTGCAAATTACTTTGAAGATCCTGCCCACCACCAACCCACAATGAATCTCTGTTAAAAACCACAGTGCTGTAATCGTAGTGAAAAGATTGGACAACAGGAAACTTGGAAGGAAGTGGAAATTGGAAAAGCAGCTATGTTTTCCTTCTTCCCTGTATCCTCTTTATTTCCTGTGCACTGTGTGTATATAAGTACTACACAGTAGTGTAGACTCTTGGAAAGAGGTGTACATTGAAAGATATGTTCACATGGCACTGTTGTACATAGTTTTAAAGTTAAAGTAAATAGTAGTAAGTAATAGTTTTAAAGTTGAAGTTAACTACTACAAGTTCAACCCAGGAAAAGCATCCATTTTAACCACAACCTGGAGTAAACTCAAAGTTAATTGCGTTTCCATGACACGGTCATTGTGTAACTTTGAGTGAAGACTCCCCACTTTCTGCTGAACATACATGTAGTTTATATTACGATAACCTTTATATCTGTCATGGTTTGTAACTATGAGGTAAATAACGTAAATTAAAATTGAATAACCATTTGTGCGTATTCACAGTCACAGTATTCAAGATAACTTTGAAGTGTAAAACCATGAAATAAATTTAAAGTTAGTGGGCTGCCGTGTGAACCTCACCTAAATAAAATCGACAGATGAGAAAAAAACAAATACAAACCAAGTGCCTGGATTGATAAAAAAAAGGTACTGAAGAATATGATTTATTGAGTAAACATACTGAAGTATCAGTACTTGAAACTATTTATAGCTAAATTAAGTCTATTTTTTATGTAATATAATGACTCAAAATGTATCAAAATAAACTGTACCAGGCAGATACCACACCAAGCTACTTTTAATCTCAGCAATTGTGTAATAAAGTGCTCTCTAGCATCAAGTTGGGAGTTTTTCACTCACTTGATACGGGTATTTAAAATAACATGATTGTAGTAATCCATATTCATTGTAGAAGAAGGAAAACAAAAAGTTTTTATAAGGCCTGGCTTCATCAGGTCGAGTATGCCAAATAACTCAGTAATTTCAGAATCAGGATATTATCCAGGAAGCTCGAAAGTGCGTCCTCACTAGACCGATACGCTCATCACAAACTGCATACTGTATGTACATTACATTGTAGCTCGGACAGGTCAAATAGCGGGATATTTTGAAAACGAAACCAACATTTCTTCTTGGGATGTTTTCCAGACCAAATATCCCGCTACCGTGATTGCAACTGCTGGCTGATGAAAACACAAATTAATTAGTAATTTACGATCGGGATAGTTATAATATCTGGTTATTTGGCAACCTTGAGCTGATGAAAACAGGCCTAGAGTCAAATCTGTCTCTATAGAGGACACCCAAGAAAGAAAAGTGGTAACTGTAAACAGGTGGCCTCTCTAGACAGGTTTCTTGAGGGAGACAAAATACATGGCCGCTATACACAGGTGTCCTTTATAGAGAGGTTGGCCACCGTATTAGTACCTCCACAGTATGATGCTGCTAAGTTTACAAACATGAATCATGAATACAATTTTGTGAGACAAGTTTTCAGTCATTCTACATGTATAACTATTTACATGTATACAATGAAGGAAAAACATAATTTCTTTATACCCTAACACCCCCCCCCCCCTTCTTAAAAAAAGGATTTATAAATGAATAAAAAACAAAAAAGCAATTAATTGTAAGTCAGTACTTACATGTATAGTGTAAGTCAGAAGTTAAGATGATTGTGGTACTTCAGTTTTCTTTACAACAAAAATACTTGTCATCAAACACTACTGGTGATAAATACTCCCTCTAAATACTCCAGTTAACTGATATTTGAAATCAAATTTTTGTCAAACGTTCTGCTGTACTCACTAAGTCAATCGACCAAGCAAATTATTAATAAATCCCAACAGAAAAAATATAATACCTGTACGTAACAAGATAAAACTATTTTTGTTATTGATATGGTTTTGTCAAATTTCATTGATTTCCCATATCTCCTTTTTCATCCTTTCAGGTGTATCACAGGCAGCTAAGGATTATTTCAATGCCATAGTAGCTGTTGGTGAACTAGCAAGTGAGACTAAAGATTCAAGACAACTAGGTGAGTACATGTGTACATGTACATTTATTAAAGATACTATGTCCCTTTTGCAGCCAACCTCAAATTCTGTAGAACTTTGCCGGAATTATGAATATGTCATGTATGTCCTATCTGTGAAATTTAAACGTTAGCAGTGTCCTCATATTCAAATTATGCAAGGAAACACGTTTACTTGCTAGACTTCACTGTCAGGCACTATTGAGTGACTGGCTGGCTTTTTTTCTTCTTTGGTAATAACTAGGTTAGTAATAACATACATGAAAAGAGTTGTAAAGGGTACATGAGCATTTGTCTACATCAATAACCCACTTCTTGTGATGGCCAAGATTAAACTGATTGAATCTTTGCGCAGCATAAAACTTATGACCATTCGGTACAATTGTCTGAAAATCAAGACTATTACTTTTGGGCTCTATAGCCCTACAGTCGATTTGACAACTAATAGTCGTTATTTTCCCACTTGAAGACATTTTCAAGCCCTACCTTTTTTTAGGGAAGTTCTAAATTAGTATTATCTTTTAAATGCAGTTGGAATTTAACTTTTTCATTTTTTTTGGCCTGCAAATGGGACATAGCACCTTTAAGTAAGACAAAAATGTTTTATAGTACCTGTTGCAACCCAGCTTGACTGGTAATTACTTGGATCGGGTACTGAACCCTAGGATAAAAATAAGAAAAGAATTGTTGCCGTATCCCTAACCCTGAAAATTTCCCATACACTATTAAATAAATCGCTATCCTGATTCCCAATCATGTGTGCAAAGTCTGTGAGTAAAACCATCCCATCTTCAAGGAGAAATTAAAAATCCATCTACCTACCTGTACCCCTATTTTGCTATGGCCCTTTAATCCAATACAACTTTCATCGTAGGCCCTACCTTTAAAGGTAAAGACCAGTTTTGGAAATGCCCCCCTCTCAAAAACATGAAATGGAAGCTACAAATGTATATTACATGTACCAATCATGTGAAAGAATATGTTTTGACCAATACTTGATGATACAAATTTTGCTGAGAAACCGCCTACTTATTGATATATTTGGTAAATTATTATATCTATTTGGACCTGATAGATATAACGCACGTGTCGGGCACGTGTCGCGTAGTCCCTTACCGAAAAGGCAGGCCTGCTTATAGCCTGCATCAAGCCTGCATAGCTGCTAAAAAGCAGGCTAATTCCTTAGCAAGCACTGACCTGCAAAAACGCCGAAATATGCAAATTAGGCAGGCTTAATTTAGCCTGTACATTTTAAAAGCAGGCTTATTTTAGCCTGCAAAATCATTTTAACCTGCTCAATTAGCCTGCAAAATTGCCCTGCTTTTTTAGTATGCAAAATTAACCTGCTTTGTTAGCCTGCAAAAACGCTGAAATATGTAAGTTATGCAGGTTAATTTTAGCATGCTAATCTAAAATGCAGGCTAACAAAATTGAAGATATTTGATTGCCATCATTAAGACTTCTATTGGTATATCGACTCGGATAGAGGAACGGGGGATAAATTGATATATCATAATCAATATTTGCAAGTGTCCACCAATAGGAATATTCTAATCTCAATTGCATTAGACTAACTCCATCACAAAGATCATTTGAAGTTAATTCAAGATTGATTTTAAAAAAGTACAGGCTCATACACGTATATATAGAAAATATACATATGCTATTTAAATTGGTTAGTAATCGTATAATCAATATATCTATTGCTAAAACATGAATGTAAGTGTGATCAGACAAATAATCTATTGGTCAATAATTGCCAAAGAAAAATACAATCACAAAATTGATATGTGCATTAATTGTCATAAGTTGCTTAACAATTAATCATGATAAATGTATTTTTCTGTGAGACGTGTAAAGTAATAATGAATATTCATGAGATACGTATTGCAGGTTAATTTTAGCATGCTAATCGAAAAGGCAGGCTAACATAAATGAAGGTTTCTATTGGTTTCTATTGGTCCCATTGGGTTCAATTAGTCTTATTGGTTTATATTGGTCCTATTGTTCCTATTGGTAGATCTTTTGGTCTTATTGGTTTCAATTGGACCAATTAATTGGCCCCATTTGACTCTAATCGAGATTTCAATTGGTTTCAATTGGACCAATTGGCCCCATTAGATATTTCAAATGGTTTCAATTGGACCAATTGGCCCCAATAAGACTTAAATGGGACTTCAATTGGACCAATCAGCCCCATAGACTGTAAGGTTTTCAATTGGTTTCAAATATATCTTTTCTTCATATAAGTTGCAATTTAATCCAATTATGATACATGTATCTAATAAACACAAGACTATATCAATGTTATAACTACGACCTAAAAGCATTGCTCTCTCTTTAGGCTCCATCATATTTCTTCCTTTATTTAACTTAGTCTTATGTATTATTCTGTTTGTTTGTATAAATGCATCCCCCCCAAAAAAAAAAAAATTACAAAAAATGTAACATGCCAAATGTAATAAAATAAACATGTGAAATATGAAAATAAACTGAAATTGAAACTGAATTGGACCAACTGAAGTCCAAAATAGGGCCAATTGGTCCAATTGAAACTAATTGAGTTCCCATTAAAGTCTAATGGGGCCTAGGCCAATTGGTCCAATAGGGCCAAACTTGACCAATTGAAACCAACTGAAGTCCTATTAAATACCAATTGAAAAAATGAAAATTAAATTGGTGTTCAATTGGTTTCAATTGGATTTTTGTCTTAATATTGGGATGCCTCCCCAAGCGCTCGAAACCTCGCTTGCTCGGCTTTCTATGAACCTATTTTTGTTTAAACTCTCAAATCACCCCTGATATATAACATTAAACGTGCATGTGAAAAATAACCTGCAGGCTACATGTAAAAAGCAATAACAGGTTAAATTTGTGTTATAAACCTGCTCAGAGGACATTTCTTCAGATTGCAGGTTTAACAAATTATGATAGAAATTTACATGCTAAAGATTAAACTGCATCTCATCTGGCATGCTAAAGATTTAACCTGCTAAAACTGTATTTTGCAAAACGCATGCTAATTTTAAACTGCAGGCTGAGATTTAGCCTGCTTAAACTGTAAGACTGTGTTTTGCAAAATGCATGCTAATAACAGGCTAAAATTTAACCTGCTAAAACATGTAAGACTGATTTTGCAAAATGCAGGCTAAAATTTAACCTGCTAAAACATGTAAGACTGATTTTGCAAAATACAGGCTAAAATTTAACATGCAAAAGAATAATTAGCATGTATTTAAGAATGCAGGCCAGACGCAGGTTCAAAGCAGGCTAAATAAGCCTGCATTTTCGGTAAGGGGTCCCATATACATCTTTCTGTGTACAGTGCTTGTAACTTTACTAAGACTGGGCCAGATTTCTTAACATTTTGATGATTCCAGAACCTTGCAGTACACACCAATGCTCATATGCTAGATGATCAACCCTTTTTTGATCGATTCCACAACGTTTCTTTCACAATGCAATCGCATGACCATAACTGGTCTTTATCTTTAAGTGTAGCCTTCACTTTTGCACGTGTAAATTATCATTCAACACTCGGTACTCTCCACATTATAATCTAATCGGTAAGGTGGGATTAGATCATTAGATTAGCTTGGATGATTACAAGCATTTAGAATTAAACACACGCTTGAAGGGGCATCAATTTCTGCTAATTAGTCTGCAATAAAAACTCAGATTATGGCCACTTACAGTTAATTTTATAGGGTATTGAATCGTGCCTCTTGGGCATAATAAAACACATTTTTTTGGAAGTATCCTCGTCATGATAAGTACATGTGCGTGTTACCTCAATAGAATTGCCCTTATATTTTGTACAATAAATGTTTGATGGTTTTAAAACTCATTGTATTCAAAGTACATGTACCATCATAAATGTGAACTACAAACATGTGTCCTTGGACAACCATGTATACGTAGACAGACTGACTTGAGTTTGTTATCTGATGAGGCTCGTACAAGTGCAATATGAATATATCATGCATGCACTGGGCGTGAACTCATTCCACATTTCTTTCTTCAGAAATGATTGTTTAAACATACGTCGGAATTGCTCTCTGCGTTTACATGTACATTTACATGGTTGTGGCTTTAAGTGTAGAGATTGTATGTACATGTAAGCGTGCAAGGAGCTCATTAAAAAAACAGATAAATTAATAGTGCATTCTTCTTTCTGTTATTGGGTTCATTGTAGTTTCATTTCTAATCTGCATCAAGGGAACTGCATGTAATTAGATCAATTAGATATTAGATATAGATATGCTATCAGAAAGAGAGTGTTCAAATTGTTTTGTCAGGCCTATATAGCATGGATTTGAGTTTCACACTATTTACAATATACTGTATATACACAGCTTCTAAACTTCTATCTTCCATTGAAATTATGAAACTTTGGGATCATAATTCACAAGTGATCCTGCATGTACAATGTAAAAATGTTGATAATAGCTATGTACATTTCAGCAATATATTGATCCTTCTTATTTGTGCAGTAAATCCTGCTTTAAAAAAAAAATCCAACCTTGATTGCAAACTACATGTATTCAAAGAAAGCAGAAAAGTCAGAGAAATAGACGGGTGAAAGGTTGAACAAAAATCTGACAACCGATAAGAAATAAGTTACTAACCAAATTACCAAATTGAGATTTGCCTCTAATATTTAAATCATTCATAACTCTGTGATTATTAACTAGATTTATTTCAAACTTTTGCCATTCTGTTTCTTTTATGTTTGTGCTTTCATACACTAGACCCTAAGTATATTGGATTGTCCTTTCACTTAGGATGAGATGAATAGCATATACTGTACATGTAGGAGGTAGTCAATGTCATGTGTACATGTACATTGCAAAGATTGTTACAATTTGATTTGATGAATCAAATTTTCAAAAGTTGATGAATACACACATGTCTGATGATTGTACTTGGGCATGACACTATTACAGGCCCCCCTGGACACATGGGTGCCCAAAAGCTAGATCCGGTTCACCCAAATTCCAAAATGTTTACATACTGTATATTAGAGCTCATACATAAACCTCTCTAGAAAGTTGTAAAAATCAGGACGACCCACTTCTAAAAATCTTGGTGTGGAGCCCTAATCATACACAATTGGCACTCACAGGTGAGAACTGTAAGTACTACAGTAAACATTTCTAATGACACGTACATGTAGAGTACCTGTGGCAGTTCTTTGGTTATGCTTTTGTTAACTGCCATACCTGTGTTTTCATTACCTGACAGAAAGTGAAAGTCACAGGTCAAGTCAACAAAATGAAGTTGGAAAGTTAACTCCTCATTGTATTCTTACCCATGGGCAACAACTTGTGGGGAAAGCGGTGATTAGGGTGAGGGGGGGGGGGGGGGGGGGGGGGAGGGAATAGGATGCCCCTCCCTTAGGTTTTGACAGGTAATCAATTGTAATACAATATGTTGTTCAGACTTCAGAGGGAACAGAAAGTGTTCTTTTCCTTTGGGCAACACGTGTACAGTACATGTAGCTATAGGGGGAATGAGCCATTATTGCCCCCTCCGTGTCCAACACTGTTGCCCCCCCCCCCCCTCTGACATTGTTGGACACATGTTATGCCACCATGTATCAGACAGTACAGTCATTTCTGTCTTTGACAGGAGGGAGAAGGCTCATCTCTTGTCAGTTGTCACTTTTATTAGATGTTGGGACTAACAATGTACATGTAGGAGTCTGCCGACAGTTTTAAAGGGATAGGTTAGGATGTTTGACTTTAGTATGTAATTTCTTTATGGAGATTTGCATAAATAATTACCAATTGAATATACCATATATTGTTAATAAAAAGTACAAATTATTACAAGCTTCTGGATACTTATTCTGAAAAGCTGAACAAATTAGGAATGTCCTTATTCAATAGGCAGTATTTTAGGGCTTTTTAAAGACGTACACTGTAAAACAAAACTTTTTTTTAATAGGAAAGGGAATAATTTTACCGTATCAAGATCGATTTATACATTTCATTTTCATCACTGATGCGGATTAAATGCTATTCAATGAAGACTTTATATGATAATGTCCAATATCTAGCTGATTTCTACTAAAAAAAAACAATCTGTTATAGAGAGTAATCAAGCATTTTAAAAATGATCTTTCTGATTATGTTATTATAATAATGAAATCAATGTATTGAAAGTATTTCATCAAAGCTTCATTGTGCATACATGTACATGTACATACACATGTACTCATGAGTATCCTGTAGACTGAAACATGTATCCTTTTTTATTAATAAGTGGGACGTGCAGCTCGATCAGCTAAAGACTGAGTGTATGCATGCTGCCTTGTGCTTGGCAGTCTGTATATGTAACAAAGGAAGAAACATGAACGATTCACAACGAGCTGTTCAGAAAACAGGAAACTACCTTTTCCTCAGGCTCCCGTAACGAGGGGAACCCGGCTAGTTCTCTTCTTCAAATATGTGCTGAGAGAGAACAAGGGGGTCCTAGCTGACTCATTAAACAATCCAGACACAGGATATTTCAAAGGGGTTCTTGAGTGTGACAGACTCAGAGTGTACATTTATAGTACCGGTACATTGTGGAAATTAATGTGCACTCTATGAAACATGGTATTATATTTAAGTTATTTGGCAAAGACAAATATCAAGAAAGCAGTAAAGTTTCAAGTAAGTCACATGGATGGCTGAAAAAAGAGAGACATTAACTATTATGACTATTCAACCCAAAGATCTTCTCTTTTTCCTTTTCATTTTACGTTACATAGATTTAATGTCTTGAATCTACTCGCATAATAGCAAAATACATCAAATAATGATTGGACAACAAAAATGATGTTGTATGTACACCTGTACATACCTGTAAGGTATGTCTCCAGATTTGAACATGTATATGAAATAGAAGGGAGAAGGAAAAAAAGGCCTCGATCTGCATCAAATAATGCTATGATGTTGAAGTAAAGATTGATAGACCAAGGATGGAAAGTCCCCCCCCCCCTTCCAAAATAAAAGTGTGAAAAGAAAAGAAGAAAAAGAGAAGCAAAGAAAAAGAAAGAAAGAGAAGGATTTGATGTGATAGTACACTGTAGTTTTTAAAATTGATTACATTTCTTCTAATCCAATTCCTATACAGGTCAGTCACTACTTCAAATTGCCGAGACTTACAGGCAGATAGAAACTGAGAGAGAAATCACGGTAAGTACAAAGTATATGGGCAGGGTCGATGTTTACATCTTCTTATCAACTGTAGAAGAATCATGTTGCAGAGAACCTTTGTGTATACATGTACTTTAATATGTAGATCTCAAAGTTGTACTTTATCAATGTTGAATCATAAAAGGTGTCAGATTACAATACAATGTACATGTTACTGCTTTGCTTTTATCTTATTAAGATTAAGTTGGGAATGATATGGTTTTCTGTGTCATATTGTTTTGTCCTGGACTGACTTCCTAACCTGTTGACAACCGGATTCTCACGTTGCCATAGGCTTAATACAGGTTCAACCCAGTTCCAGTACTAGGGAATGGGTTAAGAATGTAGAGAATGCTAGTGGGCTACATACAAGTCAACACATGGTGGCTTGATTTTACTTCCTATATCACTATGAATATGACTGACAAAGAAAGCGGACAAAATGTACAGTTCCTCAGGTAGACAAAGGAACATCCCTTCACTGCTTTTATGTAAAAATGTGTAGAACAGGTGTCACATGCATATTCACCTTTTTACATAATAGCAGTGAAGGGATGTTCCTTTGTCTACCTGAGGAACTGTATATTTTGTCCGCTTTCTTTGTCTGCCATTTTCATAGTGTATGTTTCTCCATGAGGTTTTCTGAGCTAACCATGTGGACTTTTGTGTTGAAATATTCATGTTAAAAGTGAGCACTACATTTGAAGTGTAAATAGTATATGTACATATTTGTGTAGCCAGGTTTTTGATAATAGAGGTATATTGTTGATCACTTTGAAAATTTATAGAAAAAAATAACACCATTGAAAAAGAAAAAAAAAGTCAGAATTAGTCAAATGTAGGGATTAGATAAGTTGGAACATGAATCATTATCCAGAGTTTGATGTCCAAGTTTTAAGCAATGTATTTGTTATAACATTAATGTGAATTTGATCCTACAAGAAGGAAAAAGTGAGCAAGAAAATGACAAAAAATGAAATCAAAGAAATATTCGAGGAATGAAAACATAGTAGGTTACATCTATATTTTCAATTTCAATGATTTATTTTTCTTCTGTTCATTATTCAGGTGCATGCATTGAGGAAAGAGCTTTTGCATCCATTAGAAGGCAAACTAGAGCAGGAATGGAAGACTGTGCTTCAGGTTCAGAAATCATATTTATCAGAAAACAAGGCAAAATCAGAGGTGAGTAAGGTTCAATAATATATTTAATTTTGTAAAGGAGCAAAACAAAACAAATTATTTGTATGCCCATGTTAAAGTACTCTATTCATAAACTTCAAACTTCACTCATTTTTGTAAGTGTTTTTCTCATGAATTTTGACATATTGCAATTTATATTTAATTTTGTTCCTTTTTAAAATTACTATTAGAGTTTGCTTAGCTTGCTTTTACTTCGTATATATTCAAGCATTTCTTTTCCATATTATGTGTTCATGTATGTGGACTGGACTAATACTTTTTTTGTTGGTTTTTTGTTTTGTTATTCTTTTATTTACATATCCATAAATTGAGCTGTCAAATAACATACTAGTACAAGATTCCTTATGTGATACCTAATGTACTTTGGATTAGTGACCCCTTTGTTTGTTCTGTAGGCTGTGGAGAAATGTCGCTCAGAGGTGAAGAAAGTATTTAGCTCTTAAATGCATAGTTACACACTTGCTAGATTTGTTATCTTTCCTGTAATGAATGTACTTTGAATTTGAGACGCCTTTGTTTGTTTTGTAGGCTGTGGAAAAATGTCGCTCAGAGGTGAAGAAATTTAATTGTCAAACGCATACATACTTGTAGGCCTGTCCTCATCAGCTCAAGATTGCCAAATAGCCCGTTATTTCTAATTTGGGAAATAAGCCCGAAGTTACAAATCGCGTCTTCGTCAGCTCGAGACTCGACCTCAAAACTGGGGTCGAGATATTTTGATCAGCGTTCGCCCATAGTGCGAGTCTTCTGGCTGGTGAAGACGCACCGGACAAATAGCGGGACATTTTGTGAACTAGCCCAAGATATCTTGGGATGATTATCCTGCTTACTGCAACTGCGGGCTGATGAAGATGCAAATTAGCTGGATAGTTTGCGATCGGGATAGTTAAAATAGCAGGTTATTTACCAATCTCGAGCTGATGGAAACAGGCTTATCTTTCGTGTAATAATGTACTTTGAATTTGTTACCCATTTGTTTGTTTGTTTTGTAGGCTGTGGATAAGTGTCGCTCCGAGGTGAAGAAACTTCAGAAGAAAACCCAGAAGAATCACAGTGAAAAGTACATAGAGAAAGAACAGAGGACAGCAGAAGAGCTTCAACTTCTCACCAAACAACTACATAACTTCAGATCTAATGGGCTGAGAGAGGTAAGAACTGTTATGTGGTGATATTTTATAATAATAATAATAATGATAATAATAATAATAGGCATTTATATAGTGAGGCGCACAAATTAATTATTACCCCGGCTTTAGCCTAGCTGCAATTGCAGCGCTCTAGCATTTCTAGGAATTAATTCCTGCCAGGTACCCATTTACCTCACATGGGTCGAGTGTGGCAAATATAGATTAATGCCTTGCCAAAGGACATTAGGGCCATGGCAGGGATCCAACAACAACCTTTGAATTTCATGTCAAGTGCTTAAGCCACTCGGTTTTGTATGAAAAAAACATAAAACAGCCCATGTCGAAGAGCTTAGCTTACAAGATGAATTTCAGTCGGCATACAGGAGACATCATAGTACTGAATCTGCACTAACCCGTGTTAGAAATGATATTCTATGTGAAATTGATAAAAGGCGTGGTGTGATACTAGTTCTATTAGATTTAAGCGCAGCCTTTGATACCATTGACCACGGATTTTTGATTGATAGGCTTTCCTCAGAATTTGGAATACGTGACACGGCTCTGCAGTGGTTTCGGTCGTATCTTAACTGTCGGACCTATCGGGTTCGCATAGATAGCACTTACTCTGATGTTCATACTTTAGATTATGGAGTTCCACAAGGGTCCGTACTCGGCCCGCTCCTTTTTACGCTATACGTCAAACCTTTGGGAAGAATTATTAGTCGCTACGGTCTTAGATATCATATGTATGCTGACGACACACAAATATACACAAGTTTCAACCCCAAAAGTCTTGCAAATTTTCAAGAAGAAATAAGTAAACTGGAACAATGTATCTCTGAAATTAGTATATGGATGACCTTAAATAAACTCAAACTGAACGAAGGAAAGACGGAACTACTGCTGGCCATGTCACCAAAGCTTAGACATCACTTACCGCGTGATATAAGTATAAACATAGGAAATAGAAGAGTACAAATGTCTGACAATGTCAAAAACTTAGGTATTTTCTTTCAATCTTCAATGTCCATGTCTAAACAAATTACTGCTTTGTGTAAATCGCTTAACTTTCATTTGTACAATATTTCTAGAATCAAGAATCTGTTGACCTCTGATGCGTGCCATCATGTCGTAAGATCATTAATCCTCAGTAGAATAGACTATGCCAACTCTCTTCTTTTGAATGCTAATGTGACAGACATTCAAAGATTACAACGAATCCAAAATCGTGCTGCCCGGGTTGTTTTGGGAGGGAGCAGGTATGAATCAGCATCTCCTCTACTTAAGCAATTACACTGGTTAACCGTAAATAACAGAATCATATACAAAGTTTCCCTAATTGTCTACCAATGTTTGAATAATTGTGCACCAATGTATCTGTCTGTGCTTCTACATACTCCTCCTAGACTTCAATACAACCTCCGCTCTTCTAACGACCCCACGCTCCTCCGATTACCACGTATCAATTCAAGATCGGGGGAGTGTAGTTTCTTTTATTATGGCCCCAAAATTTGGAATACCCTCCCTTTCGACCTCCGTACCTCTCCCTCAGTTGAAATTTTCAAGAAAAAACTAAAAACGTACCTCTTCAATAAGTAAATTGTAATTCTAATATTTTTGTTTGTTATTATAATTACTCTTTTATACATGTATTATCTTGTGTTTACTATGTCATTATTTCTGTAAAGCGCTTCGAGCAATTCGTTGGATGTTGCGCTATATAAAAGACAATTGTATGTATGTATGTATGTATAAAATTTATAGCTAGGACAGTGTGTGTGGATGTAGAAGAATGCTATAGGAGGAATATACTTCAGTAAAATATCTGAGAGAACTTGGCATGGTGGTATTAAACACTTAAGTTTTCTTTCCCAAGATCCTCTAAGGACAAGCTTTATATTGAGGGCTAAATTCATCACATATTGTTCTTCTAATAATTGGCAACAATAATATTTTTCTTTTATTTTTACATTGTCAAAATAAAATGTGTGTCTCTGAAAACAAGAATGTTGTTGAAAGAATGAAAAAAAATGACCAATTTAGATTAAAAAAAACATTGATTTGGAATCTTTCAATGTGTTGCCAATTTGAGGAATTTAAAGCTTATTTTCCTTTTTATAAATTTCTGGCATCAAATACAATATAGTCATGAACAAATATGGAGGCAGTGTGTTCAGAACTCTTTGCCCTTTCTTCCCTGAATAAATGATTGTTGGGCCAAACCACAGAGTATGAAATGATTATCACGGAAGGGGTTCAGTATTGAGGAAAAAATGTCTAGACTCCTCTGTAATGTAAAAAAAAATAGAACATTAATGTTGTTGCTCATCTTGCATTTATGATATTTACAACTGGACAATGTTTCATTTTAAGTATACAGTTCACGTTACTACTTTAAATATTACATCTTTGAAATGTTATGTATTATTCACTTCAGCCAAACTTTTTATCCTCTTCTCCTCGCAATTCATGATAATTGTAATAAAGAAATTGAAGTTTTATTGCATTTTATTCACAGTGAATGAAACAAGATCTCCATCTCCATATGTTTCCAAAGTGCTTTAGAAATTCAGAATCGCTTTCAGTCGAAGCAATTTCGTTCATCCTATTAATACATCACATCATATAGTTTGATTTTATTAGGTTACTCATATTTAAGCCTTTCTTTTTCTGCTGGTCGCTTATTTCTGCTGAGTTATGGCTGAAGTCCCTGCGGCATTAAGCAAATATCTTTGGACGGGGGCAGGAGGGGGATGTTATATTAAGGCTATCCTGCTTTGGAGGTTCATGAACTCTTAATTGGCAGTTAATCTAGCTTCTGCAGTGGCATGAGGCAGGATTATGGGGATTAGTCTCAATTAACAGGTAGCCATGATATGTAACAAAGTCCACGCAATCAATGCGCACTTACAAATATATACATGTAAACTTGTGAGTCTTGTACTGTACATGTGCATACCTAGACTAAAATATTGTCAACAAAATATAAGGGTACTTATGTATCTAACCAACTTTTGGGGAAATCATATATATGCTCAAATTGGATGGTTATTGCTCAGTTTGTAGATAGTCATGTTTGGGCAAAACATTACCAAAGTTGGTTGTAATATTGCCTAAAATTGGTCTGGCACAAAGTTGCCCTTAATTGTTCGCATCCTACCGGGTACCCATTTAACACCTGGGTGGAGAGCAGCAATGTAGACAAAATGCCTTGCTCAAGGACATGGATATGTTATTGCAGTGCTGGGATTTGAACCCACAACCTTCGCATTTCCAGTCAAGGGATTAAACAACTCGACTGCTAGACCTCCACGGAGTAAACAAAGATCCCACCACCATATCGTACTTCAGGATGTGTATCACTTTTTAAAGAAATAATAACAATATAGTATTTGAATCCTGCACGTTTTGACAAATGAACTTTTGATTCAGAGTCTTTTTGTTAATAAATCACTTTTAATCAGCTAAAATACCTGGGACCCGATTCATAAAACTGGTTACCATTGATAACAAAGTTACATATTAAAACTACTGGATATTTAATTGGCAGTGAGCAAATTTGATATAGAAAACAAAACATTATTTATTTTAAATGAGATTATAAGCCCTGGATGGGTAGGCAATGAGAGTATATCCTGGCTCATTTATTATATGTATAAACTGTTCTAAAGATAACAAAAAAAATAAGTTTCTGTGTGTGGGAGTGGCGGAGTGCACTTAAACCCAATACATACCGACAGATATGTGGTTTTGTGAATAATCTCAGGCAACTATTCTCAGCATATGTATTTCTGATCGTGACGTGTATTAATGGGCTGTTCAGACTTAAGAAAATTTATACAAAACTCCTAAAGAAACGTCATATAAAGAATCAACATTTAGCAATAGGTGCGTACAGACTAGACAAATTCTTGTTTAAAGAAATGTCGTATTAAGAAACTAATATATTAAAGAGATCAATTGATATGATAAGTCCTGCCTAGTTGAACACGATTTTTATTTGATATAATGTTCATGTGCTTTGCTTTATGACATTTTGTTACACCAGATTTCATTAAACAATATCCACAATAGAAAACAGGTGGTTGTATCCTACATACAATGTGTATATACATTGTAGCTGTACCAGGGGAAAAAAGTACACAGGGGCTCTGGGCGAAGTAGCCCCCGAAATGCCAAAAAGTTTCCCGAAAGTCATAAAAGAGCCCCAATAAATTTGCATACATGTAGAGTTCAATGAAAACAACTTGTATAGGGTGTTTTTTTCATGCAAGCAAGCTTTAAAAGTAGCCCCCAATTTTTAAAAATATTTGTTTGCCTGAGCTGTACGATTCTTGTATTGCTATATACAATAGATTCAGGTAGTCTGAATACATAGTAATACTCTCTCTCCATTGTCAACACAGACCTTTGTAGCAGGAAGTCCACTATCTCTGCTCTGCCCACCAGTGATAATCATAGACTTCCTTTAATACAGTTCTAATTTCAGGGTGCCCTTTCAATGGAATTTCCATTGCTCTGTTTAAAAAGGAGAATGCAAATGATAGTTTGCCTATATATCAAAGTAGCTACATAGAAAGCTTGGTCTGGAAGCTTTGTTTATAAAGTTGTTGGGTAGAAAGTTTGGTTGGAAAGTGTTGTTTAGAAAGTGTCTGTTTAGAAAATTTGGTAGGAAATAATTAGGTCAGAATATAGGGATTGTTCATAGCTGTCATATAAAGCTGTATGTAGTGCAGGTCGGGGGCGGGGGATAAACATTAAACAAGAGGAAAAGAACATGAACAACGTCATAATTTGATACCTCCAATACAACTACCAAGTCTGAGCTAAAGAACTTACAATCTCATGCACTTCTTTTATTGTATATTGTATGTATATTGCAGTTGTTTATTAGAAGTTAGTGAACTTCACTAGTATGTTCAATTCAATTCAATTTTAAATTCAATTCAGTGTGGTTTATTAAGAATACAAAGTATAGTAGGCAAGGAACTAATTGCACGATGTTTACAATGTAAAATGTGAATTGATATGATATGAATTCAACATGCCAAAGGTCAATGCTGATTCCTTGAGATAGCTAAATGATGAGAATTTCTAACATGCTTTACATGGAATAACAGTGTGTGTGTACAGTATGTTTGTATGTAGCCTATACGCCCATCGTTCCGCTCTCACAGACAATTGACTACCGGTATTTAACCTTTAGACAATCCAAATAAAAGTTTGGAACCAATATAATTTGAATTGTTGTTTCAATTTTATTCATCCCTCTAGCAAATGATGAGAATTTCTAACGGGCTTACATAGGATATCCATATGTAGCCTACCCCATTGTTCCATTTGACCTAATAGATAATACAAATACAAAGTTTGGAATTTGAACGATATAGTTTTTGAACCCAATATGGCAATAAATGAGAGGTGATTTGTGTTTTGGTTAATTGCTTATGCTGAATAGAAATAGATAATATTGGGCTTACCTGGCATAGCAACATTTAGTACTCTGACTATTGAAGAACTGATAACAGATAGTTAAAAATGTATATATTATGTATCTTGTAAGTTGACAATTTGGGAAGGATAAGGTCAAGGTAAGATTGAATTCTGGTAAAGATGAAAGGAAATTGTCAGCTTTTTCATCCTTTTTATTGTCAATTCTTAAGAATGTCCTCTGGAAAGGATTACTCTTCAAGTGCTTTCATACTATTTCAATATAATTAAAAAATGACAAAAAATTGCTGAAAAGTTTGGACCAACCTATCATTCCGGGTATGTGTCGTCCCATTGCCCGTTACTGTGTGCATGTAATCTTCAGCTAGATTGAGAATATTACATGTAGGTTGGTTTTGATCATTCCAAAACCTCACAGTTCATAAGGTATGAATTCTTGTGGGCCACATTATATTTAATTACCTATTTAATTACCTATGGAAACTTCTGAATGCAGGCTTGAGCCTTTTTATTCAGTTCTGAATCATAATCACCCCTTCCCACCCTTCCCAAATGGGTTCAGACAATGTCTTTCACAATGTTATCAAATGACCATTACTTAACCTTATCTTTAAGAGTGGCTCTCAGGTCAACATCCGATTTGTCCCAAATTACAGAGTCATACAGTTGCATTTGAATAGTACCCTACTTACAAATGTATCATGTGCATGGGAAAATGCTGTCCTTCAGATATTAAAGTACAATTGGCGTTGATCGATCTGATTGAGACCGATTCATTGCTTTAAATCATCAAAAAGACTGATAAATCTCTAGAAACAATAGAACGATTAAATCAATAAATAAGTAATGCTGTTTGCACACTCCTTAGTTCAATGACAGGCTGAAGATAAGAAGCGAGGAGTTACAATCATAAAATGTCATTAAGGTTATAGTTCTTTGCACTTTAATCTTGTCCAGCTACATGTATGTGTTTGAAAGGGAAGTCCATTGTCACTGAGTCAGTGTAAAGAAAAGCATTACAAAATAAGAGAGGAAAATATTTATTGAAATTTTGTGCAAATTCATAAAAGCTACATGTAAGAAAATTATGAGAGTTTTACAATCGTGAACAATCAGAACACAATATGGGAACTTTGTGCTTTTCGTTGTGAGCACCCATGATCATCTCAACTTTGTCGTGTCTTTCTCAGGTGGTCTGCCAAGGGCAGGTCTACACACTATATAGCCATCAATTTCTCCATCCCTCTCTATCTTTAGCCTCCTTCGTAAATGTCACATGATCTTTCGCCTATAAAGGAAATCTTATAGTTTATTTTATCATCGGAAAATATGTAATCACACCTGTGTCTGACATGTAGAATTATTATTGGTTGCATATTTTGCCACACCCTTTTGCTGTTCCCTATTCAATAACTAAAAAGTGGGAGTTTTATGGAATTTTTAGATGAAATGAAATGACGGCGATGTACACAAGGTAAATCACAGATATGTCATTTTGTGTTTGATGGAAAGTTAATTCAAAGATTCTATCTATTATTAGACCCTCCTCCAATTTTCTGTAATCCGCATTATTTTCTAATTATTAATTACTGCTGTTATTTAAACCAACTTAAAATACTCATGTAAGCTGTAACACCCCATTATTACAATATTTTTCAAACTCTTGATTGGTAGATCTGAATATCTATCCTACACTGTACTTAAAACTATTTTGTTTATAAAAGTAATAGTTTAGAATTCAATGACCATGGCCTCATTGTGGTTGGACCATGTGCCTGGCAACCTTGTAAAATTGAGGTTTGGTAGAGGAAGTGTTCAAAAAGTAAAAAAGGAAGGATATTTTGGGTATTTCTATTACTCTATTCTGGGGAAGGAAATACTTGGCTATAGTTGATTTACTATGAGTTGTATCTGTCATTGTTGTGTGCACTCTGAGTTATTACATTTATGCATTTTATAGGGATAGGATAATTAGAATTATAGGCTTATATTTATGATTCTTCATTTATTTGCTCTTGAGTTCATGGTGAAACTTGAAATGTAATACTTTACGAAAGCTCATTACATTTAAATAAGTTCAAGTAGAAGGTAACGTAATATTTGACTTTATTGTTGCTGGTATCACATGGTAATTGAATTGATTTTCATTTCATGGTAACAGGGTGATTACGAAACTCAAAATAAACGGCAAGGACAAAAAAAAAAGGGGGGGGGGGAGAAATCAATGGTGAATAGAAGAACTTCAAGCGTAGTATTTTTTTGGTACAATGTCTAGATTGAATTTCATTAATTAATCATACCATGGTTTAGAATAATGCATTCTTCATGATGTATGTTTAGCATGCATGTGTTTACCATGTATATGAACACATCGTATAGAGCAAGAAAGGTGTTAACTATGTGTTAAAGTATGAGACTTAACGCCCTTTTGGTCCCAAAGTCCAACTAGACGACATATGTTTCATAGCGTATCAAGGGCATCTATCCGACAGTGTTCAAGATGAAACATGAAATCAGCAAGGGATGTTATTGTAATTATATGAATTCCATTTATTAAAGAGGGAGCTAGACTTCATCAAGAAACTCACTCTCTCTTCTCCTTTCTCTTCTTTCAAACTGTCTCCTCAACGCGCTACCAAAATTCTAGTGCTACACCGATATATATTAATATGGCGTATCCACGTATTTCTTGAAAATTGCTCTAAATTTCCTTGTACTTTGCCATTTCTTCTTTTTATTACTCTTTGTTCATGGACCTAAATCTCCTGGTACCCTCGTCTTTATGAAGTAATTTTCAATTGTTGTCACCTCTTCTCACTTCAAACGTAAGGACAAATTTTCCTAAAAGCAGGGCTTAAACTAGCAGGCACCTTGGACACATGGGCGCCAAGAATCTAGGATCTAGAATTTTGGACCTCCAAAATGTCAAGTTTGTTTGTACATAGGGCTCCTGCATAAAGACTCTAAAAAGTGAAATCCAGACTCCCTTCCCTAGTGTTGGGCCCTGCTGGAAGTTTTGTTTCAAGAAAAATAAAAGTTTGTTTAGGAATAGAGGAAGTATTGTTTTAAGTATTCGATAAGAACAAGTTTGATTCTATTTTTGATGAGATATGAACAATCATACATTTGCATGTTACTATATAGCAATAGTTTTCAGATTTATGGAAAGCAATCTTTTAGGCACCCTCAAATAAAATTGTGCTTCCCATAAACTTTTTGGATTGATGTTTCAGCATGTATTTTCAAAAGCCCAATAGTACTTTGACGCGCTTGGTTGATTTTAAAGGAAATAATAATGATGTCTGAGAATCGATTTTTGTGGGCTTCCTTACATATGTACCAGCACAATTTTTATTTACGTTATTGAAGTTACCCTGTTTAGTGTCTGCTTGGAGAGAAATGAGAAATTCTCAAAATAGATGTCTATGACGTCACAGCTTCGGTACTCTATATGCATTTCAAACTTGTCTTTTCGTTTCCCACTATAATTCGCTAAGCTACATTATTTGCTTGTATGTTCAGTTCTAATCATGTTTTATGTGGCTCTTGTTAAAGTTAATTAACCATCATCTTATTTCTTCATCTCTCTCTCTCTCTCTCTCTCTCTTTACAGGCATGGACCGAAGAGAGGAGACGCTATTGTTACCTTGTCGATCGGTATTGCTCTCTCATCAAAAACAATGCTGCTTTCTTTAGCAAGGTGGGGTGGCGGTCTACTAAACATCTATCTCTTATCCTAAAATCATCAATTATATGCTATACATAATGTCGTAGCACATTTTCTCATAAAATAAACGATAACATTTGATATTCATAATCAAAGAGCGTCATATAAACAAGCACCATATATATTTTCCCATTGTTTTAATGGCAATCTTTGTGTAATTGAGGAAGGAATCAGATTATGGGACATGCACATTGTACTTGTTTGTACATTGCTAGTCTTTCCTTCCTGAATTGATTACCTCAGACATTGGATTATATTGCTTCTTGTAACGGGGCCCCGTTTTATACAAAATGTTATCAATAACAAGTTACAATAACTGTTATAAGCTACTGAAATCATGGCATAATTTGTTCGGCTGAGAGCAGCTTTGTCATAGAAGGTTAGCATTTGTTATTAATACAACCTATTAGGGAACTGGGCCCAGGTCTTTCGTACCTTATGAAGTAAACTAAAAAAATCGTTCTAAATTTTGCTGTGGTTGAAGTATTTATGCACAATATAATACTGTTCATATCTAAATGCTACCATAACCCCACAACATATATCATCCGTTGAGAGGAAGAAAGACATTATCTTTGTGTTTAAAGGATATGATTTAATGCCCTTCTGGCTCTCAGCAGGCAATATATTCCTATCTATTCTTGTCATTAAAATGCTGAGAGCACCTTCCGCTATAATCTACTCTGCATACAGGTACTAGCCATCTTAATGTATTTGATCAGTAAATAACAGCATAGTGGGATTTAGATTAAAGCTTTTTCCCTGTTTACTTCCCGACTATCCCACATGTTTCCTTAACATTGAATAAATTTCTATTCATGTCTGTAGAATACATTTTAAGATTGGCTTTCTCTACATTCAGAATCATTTCCTACTTGAAATCCGTTTTTTGTAATTGATATTCATTTCAAAAGTACATGCTATTAGTTCATCGTTTCATGACAAGTTTTGAGAGTTTTTTCATCTTTTTCTTTTTAAATGACAGGTTTTGATAAGTTTGCCAAGCACTACACAGAAAGATTCCTTGTTTTCTTTGGCATTTCCTTTTGTAGATGATGAACAGCCATTGTTTCTCATTAAGCATGCAAATTAAAATCACAAGATAAATTTATTGGTCCCCCTTTGAGTCTGGACAGATTCCAGTTTACAATGTTGCCAACAATAGTATGTTTCAACTGCTATTTTAGAGTACAAAGGCAATAAGAAATATGAGCAATATGGAATTCTAATCCTTCACAATTCACCAGGAAGTTAAAGAGGGCAAAAGTCACTTTCTTGGTAATTGTATCTGCAGAGATGATGGAAGTTTCAAAACATTCTTCCCCTGCAAAGGCTCTGACATACAAATGCAAAGCAAAATAAGGTTCTGATTTCAATATCAGATTTGATAGTTATGCCTTGTATCCATAAACAAATACATGGGAGAGGAAACCATTGTATCTACAAGTTTATGTTAAAAGATGTACTGTGTACTTCTGTATGTACATGAACTTTAGGGTATTGTTTAAGATTTGTTTTGCCATCTACTATTTAGACTCCACTTCTGTAGTAGCAGTCTGTAGCTTTCACTTTGCACAATTGTAATTCATGTTTGCTGTGTTCACATTTTATAGCTTATAATAAAATCTGGCAGGTTTAGATATCCTAGACCAAAATGTAAACCTAACCTAACCTAACATGTACTTTCCCTAACCTTATATAACCCTACCACTAACCGCAAACTAACCTTAAATGAACCTAAGCTTTCAATCTTTGTCTTTGAAAAGAAAAAAGTGTGTGCCAAAGATACTGGAGCAATGTCAAATTACCACAAATCAACCGCAATGCATTGAATACTAATAGCCTGACAAATCTTTAGCCGCAAGATCCAAAATGGAAAATATATGAATACCACCATTTAAAAAAAAAAAAAAAACCCATTTTATAGTGCTATATTGTAGGACAGTTCCCAAAATATGTTTCCATGTAGCTTAAGTCTGCTAACTGTACACATCTAAGGAAGATGTCTGACCCAACAAACTGGCATAGGTTAACAAATTCGGGATGTGTCATAGAACTTACTTCTAATTATTCAAACGGTTATGATGAACCTGTTCAGCACATTTATAGGGCTTTCACAGAAATTACAATTTAATTTTTATCATCCAAAATGTTTTTCCAGTAGGTGGACACTCCAGTAAGGTGTGTAAATTAGTTACCCATTGCTTCAATTTGATCGGCATAAACCTTTTTCACTGGCTTTACCATTTAGCAACTCACTTTGAAAACGTAAATCAACCCGTTGATTCCTTCTCATGTGAACAACCCCTAGGTGTTTTCACACTCTAAACTTGGTTGAAGTGAGTTGTTCTCATTTGCACCATCCTTAAGGTTTCAGTTCCCTAGCTGACACACGTAAACAGGTGACAGTTGGATATCATTTATTTACTCAGGTGAAGTACATGTAGGTTGCTAGGTGTACCTTGTAGAATGAATGTCTCGTCTGGTGCAATGATTGATGAGATAACGTGGTCTACACAGTTACGACCGACCGTTATCTGTAACTGATGTTCGAATGAGGAAGCTTGGCATGGGAAAATACTGTCCGGTGACAACCCTAAGACCCCAGAATTGATGATTATAGATTGTTTACTAGATTAATTATTTTATCTAGCAAACAACTACAGAAATATGCACTAAAGTTTTGAATTTCAATATCAGCTTTTGCATGTAACTAAGAGCTGATAACTAAACTTGTCATACATGTAAGTTCCTTGTATGAAATTAATTATTTCAATAACTCCAGAGAGAAGCTTTCAGAGTCTCAGGATATATCACTGTTCAATATCTGTTAATTAATCATGATCATTATTCTTTTCTCTTTGCCCTTTCTCTTTCTATCTGCCTGGCTATTTGTACCCCCCCCCACCATCTCTCTCTCTCACCTTATTTTTCCTTTCTTCCTTCTGGTATTCTCAAATGTCTGCCTTTTCATTTATGTCACCCCCTCACCCCTTCCCGCTCTCGCACTCTCTCTCTCTCTTACTCTCTTACTCTCTCTTACCCTCTCTTAAATTTCTCTGTCTTGTTCTGTCTCTTGCTATATCTCTCTCTTTCTGTCTCTCTGTCTGTCTGTCTCTTCTGCTTTTTGTCTCTTTCTGTCCATCTTTCTCTTTCTTTTCTATTTTCTCTGTCTCTCTAACCCTTTCTCTCTTTCTCTTCCCTTCTCTTCCTCTATCTTTCTATCTCTGTCTGTCTGTCTCTCCTGATTTTTTGTCTCTCTATATGTCTTTCACTTTTCTTTTTTTCTGTCTTTTCTCTGTCTCTCTGACCCTTTCTCCCTTTCTCTACCTTTCTATATCTGTCTGTCTGTCTGTGTGTGTCTGTCTTCAGGCTCAGAGTGTTCTTCATCATCGCCTTCCCAAGTGGAATGAGTCATGTGACAAACCAGACAAGCTGCCTGAAGAATGTGAAGACATCCTCAGCTTTGTGAGTAACCTTACAAACCTCATTTGTACTTATTTACTCATACATACATATACCCAGGGTGTTCCACAAGATGTTTAAGCATGTAAGAACAAAAGGTTTGAATTCTGTCTGTTGTACAGGTTTGAAAATCTGCTACATGTTTGAATTTTTATTACTGGTTTGAAAATCTGATACAGGTTTGAACTAAGATTGTACAGATTTGAAGATCTGTTACATTTTTGAATTTCTATTGTACAGGTTTGAAAATCGGCTACCGGTTTGAATTGTTATTATAATGGTTTGAACATCTGGTACTGGTTTGAATTCAGATTGTACAGGTGTAAAAATTTGCCATCGGTTTGAATATTTATCATACAGGTTAGAAAATCTGCTACCTGTTTGAATTTTTATTGTACAGGTTTAAAAATCTGATACAGGTTTGAATTAAGATTGTACAGGTTATTGCACAGGTTTGAAAATCTGTTACAGTTTTGAATTAAGATTGAACAGGGTCGAAAATCTGCTACTGGTTCAAATTAAGATTGTACAGGTTTGAAAATATGTTAAAGGTTAACAACCTAAATGCACCAAAGTGCATCTGAAGACCTTAGAGCTCTTCAGTAAGCACTGGCCACAAGGGACTTCCTGCTTTGCATGTCAGCTAAGTTCCTTCCACTTTCTAACTTAACATGTTTGAACTTTGTTTGTGGATCACCCTGATGCGCCTTATACAGGTATCGTCACATTAATAAAATAAAAAAAGGAAGTTTTGATACTTCTCATTCTGTAGTCTCGGTTTAGTTTCTGATTCAATTGATTTAGGCGCTTTGCATTTTGATAAAGTCCTCAAATTTTGTTTGGAGACAAAGTAAATGCAAAAGCTCATAATGGTGATTAGTGTAAAGTTGTACCTGTAATGGGCTTACGGCCTTTCATTGATTCTGAGTTTATTATGCTATTAGTGTGTGGATTTAATTAGTAGTAACTGTACATGTATTATGTAGTGTTATTATTTGATTGGTTTCTATGTGGACCGTATATGTTATTGATACAAAATGTTTAGTTTGATGTGGAACAAGAACAAAGATTAACACAGTACAATACTCTGATGTTCCTAGATTCTTTGAAACTTTCAAACTGGCCCTTGTAGTACTAGTACAGAATCATCTAAAAGACTCTTTGTGTATAGAGATGACCCTTCAGGTAGAGGTAAGGAAGTCCAGAAGATATTAGAAAATAACTTTAAAGCCCCTTTAAAGTGTTGGGAGACCCAAAACTTTGATGGCAACAATTCACTTGCACTGTATCATAATGTGAAAGAGGATGTCATTTAAGACACATTTCAGCAAGGATTTTCAAAACAAATGTGTGTTTGAAGTCGAAAAGTGATGAAAGAATACAAAATGTAGGTTTTTGCGGTACAACAGAAAACCCAAATTGTGTATTCTTTTATCGATATTTGTCTTCAAACACATTTATGTTTGGGGTAATCTTTGCTAAAGTGTGTCTTAAATGACACCCTCTTTCACATTATGATACAATTAAAGTGAAATTTTGCCATCAAATTGTTGGCAAATTTGGGGCTCCCAACACTTTAGAGGGGCTTTAACCTCAGTATCTACAGCATGATGATGATGATGATGATGAGTCTAGCTTCCTCATTGAGTTTCTCTTGGTCTGTCTTACAGGATTTCTCTGGTCCCCTTGAGACGCCCCTTCAGGTAGAGCTAAGGAACTCTAGAAGACTCTACGAACGCAACGTCCTGCTCACCCAGAATGAAGAGAGAATCAAGAAGTCCCCTGTACATGAGGTATGATATCAAATTGGCAACACCAATATATTTGTCAGCTATCGGCGTAATCATTTTTGTAGGAATATGTAGCCAAGTGAGTCATGAAATGTAATAACATGAGACATTAAAGAAAGCACTCCAACAACAAGATAAATGTCTTTGTTGGCAATACAATTTTAACTGCAGCATATATGAAAAACACAAAACAACAAAATCAAACTCACAAACTCTGTGAACGTACTATAATTTGGAGATTATCATATTAAAGAAGAAAAAAACATTCAAAGATATCCTGTCTGCACATTTAATTTTGACCATGATTGTTGACAGATTTTACATACAGCTTAATTGGTTAAATATAAAGGATTACCGGTAGCTTAAAAATATTTCTTGGTTCTTTTAATTTTTTAATTTTTTCTTCAAAACTTTGACGTCATATGCCTACATACATGTAACCTTGTTTTTATTTCCTGTGAAGTTAATTTTTCATGTCCCTGTCCCGTGGGCTAAACCAATGTTTGTTTTATCTATGGCTACCATATACCAAGAATAGAATTAAGAGACTTTAGCCTTGAGTAGATCACATATAAACAGGTGTGTTGCCATGGGATACTAGTTCAGCTTTGAAACAGTAACATACATTAAAGGGTCAATTCTGTGCGATGTGCGCGCTCTCTCTCTCTCTCTCTCTCCCCCCCTCTCCTCCCCTCTTTCTCTCTCTCTCTCTCTCTCACACACACACTCTGCAGGAAATTTCTTTTATAGTATGTCATCTAACAATGAAACAATCTCTTGATTTGAATGTTGAAGAATCGTTTTGATACTGAAAGAACCAATAGTCATTGGTCATATCAAGATATTTTTCATTTTTGGATGAAATTAAATGGAAAGATGTCAAATGTCATATAGACTCAATGCATCGATAGGCCTAAAGATATTAATAACTGTTGAGAATGCATATTGAAAAATGAGCCCAAAAGGAGACAAGATTGAATTATAACATTCATATGGAATTCCTTTGCAAGCACTGTTATGGCACAATGTATGGTTTTATGAGAATTCAATTATCATTTTTAATGAAAACAAACATTGATTTTGCTTTTACTATTAAAAATATTGATTGTTTTCCTTCAGTGCTTTTACATGTAACGTCATTCAAATCCAACAAATAAACAATGTATTTCTACATGTACTTTCATAGCCATGTTAACCGATACCCTTGACAACTGAGCCCAAAATGGTTAGTTTCACATCCATTGGAAACGCAAGAATGATTTAGCTAGTTCTTCTTTTAAAAAACTGTCAACACTTAACCATTCTCTGATTGTGACTTTCTCCTTGGGAAACTGAATGAAACCATTCTTTGTTTAGGACAGCTAGTACATGGCTACACTCAAGAAATGCCCATTAGACCAAAAATGACATTTATGCTAACTGACAGTGATTATGTGGTTTGCGAAGCGCTGAGTCACTAATGAAAGGCAAGTTAAGGCAAGGTCTTATATTCCAACACAGGCTCGTCAACCTTATGTACTTGTGATGCTGATTGCTGTTCAATATACACCCCTTCTCTTTATTTTGCTTGCTTGAAAAAATCTTGATTCATCATGAGTGACTGTGTAAGTGGACTAGACAAACATGGGTTGAGATAAGCGCACCCTAGTAACATGCACCTCCCTGCTTTAAGGTCATACAATTAAGCCATGTTTGAAATATCACAGATCCTGATCCTGAAACTTCAAGAAAGTACTTTATGTGTTAATTGGTCCGAGAAAGACACTGTATTGCTTGAGAAGAAAAAAATTATGACTAAATTCAAATCTTTGACAAACTCATTGACCTGTCCGATGGATCTTGAGGACTCTCTCAAAACATTCAACAAAACCACTGGCTTGTCTCCTGATGACCAAGAGCTGTTTGTTGATTCAGCAGTTTATAAATTACAATGTTTCTCTTGAAGTAAATTTTCCAAAAGTTGGTTTCAAGAACTTTTATGCCATCTCACCAAAATTCAGATCATTTGATAAACCTCATGACCTGTCTGGTGACCCTGAGAGGTTCATGGAGGGATGTTACAAACCTTTCTTTAGAGCTCAGTTTTTCCTGACTACCTGCAGAACTAATTTTCCTGAAGTTACTTTTGAGAACTTTGCTTGGCTTTAGTCCCATTTGAATTTGAATCACTTGACAAACCCAATGACCTGTCTGATGACCTCAGTTTTTGACGGGGTAGGGGTGTTAAGAAGGTTTCCCCCTCTAATTAATTAGGAGATCCTTATTAAGCCCATGACCGTAGGGCAGGTGTTTCTCATAAGCAGGCTTGAATCAATGGCCTGCATCCTCCTTGTTGAGAGAGAAAGGGAGAGAGAAGGGGAAGTGTGGGGAGGGGGAATGAGAGGGGGTGAGAGAGATTGGGAGGGAGAGGGTGAGAGAGAGAGAAAGATAGAGAGAAAGATAGAGAGAGAAAGAGAAGAGGAGGGGATGGATACAGACTGACAGACAGAGAGAGGGAGTTAGAGAGTTGAAGGGAGAGCATGAGAGAGAGAGAGAGAGAGAGAGAGAGAGAGAGAGAGAGAGAGGGTGAGAGAAGAAAGGAAGGAAAGGTAGATATTTGAGGCAGGATGAAGGGAATCAAGGCAGCCACAGCAAGTTAGTCTGGCTTTCAGGCTGACTAAACAGTCCCTCACTCCTGAGTGATTGTGTAGGACAAGAAACTTTCACATGTCATGAAGTTTTTACATTTCTTCAGATTCCCCAAAGTGTCATTCTGTGAAATAATTGAATCACAATTAACACAACATAACATTTTTACATTTAGCGAAAGTATCTTTTTTGATACACAGTACCCTTTTTAATCGACTGCTATGAAGGGTTTAGTCTGGATTTCAAATATGAAATGAAAGCTGTTTCTCTGAATGGTGGGCTTAATGAGAGAACAAAACAACATCCATGATGACCTTTAGGGGAGGTGTCATTGTTAAGGGGTGTTCACACTTGACTTTCAAAAAAGAGGTTGAGTTGCCATGGCAATAGCGTCAATTGAAACTGTAGTCGTTCATCCACAATTGCTACTCTCAACCTAATATTCATTTGGTACATACATTGCTGGCCACTTGGCTATGATCTGAGTAACATTGTTGGGAGTTTCTGGACCATTACCTTGTGACGGACATGGCATGTGAAATAAATTGTTACCCTTTCGTTTTTCAAAATTTCCTTAAACAGTCGGACCAGGGCCCCTGCTTCTAAAGAGTTGCGATTGATTTAAATCAATCGCAACTCTTTATAATACAGGGCCAAGCTGGGTAACTCTGCATTAACATAAATTAGCATCATTTATCATGCAAATTGACCTGCTAACATCACATTTATCAGGAAAAGAAAGTATTTTGCTTTCAAGGGAATGTTGGTCTAATTACTTTCATTTCTTGACGTTGTTTCACGATGTCCAATTATTCAATGGAAATGAGGTTAATTTGTGATGATAATTGGTATTGATCTGTGACATGCACCTGTAATTAAGAGGATGTTAATTGATGGAATCTAGATACTATTGTACCTTTGAGTAATCCTTTGCAGTCTTAGATAAGGTTACTTTCGATCCTGCATGTACATTTATTACCTGGTGTGTCATGCTATATTTATATTAATTAAAGAAGTTTGTCTACAAATGTACGTTATTTTTTTCAATTTATCAGATCAATCAATCAATGATACAAAATGCCAGTCAGTCGACCAATCGATCCATCGATTGGTATGATTACCAAGGTATGATCATGATGTACCCCCACACAGGCTTCAAGCATGTAATAGGGGAGATTTACATGTAGGGTTAGTAATAATAATAATAACAATAATAATAGAGAACATTTATAATGTGCCATGTCTGTCCAAAATTGACACGCCTGACGCAGTTGCGAGAAAATTGTATAATTGTGGACATACTTCTATTAACTTAGTTATTCAAGAAAGAAAGCAAAATATACATAAGTTTAAGTTTGACATACTTCAGGACATAATTTTGTAAAAATAGAATCATAACGTCATATTTAACATAAAAGCAAGGTTACATACGCTTAATATACAGGTATGAATTGAAACATATAGGAGAAACTGTTGTTAATATCCAAAACAAGGTACATGTATACAGTATTACAGTAACAAAAGTTATATTTAAGGGTAGTACAGAGTAAGACGTAATAAAAACAAGCTAAGATGTTGGGAACAGAAGCGGTTTTAATGTGCGAATGTAATTACATGTACATGACAACACAACCTGTCTCATCAAAAAGTAATTCTGACTATTAATAATAATAATATAATAGTCGGTTCTTGTATAGGGCTCATGTCTGTCAGACTTGACACTCCTGGTGCTCCCTATTGAGGCAGTTTTGAAAGGTTGTCTTTGCTTTTAATTGAGAATTGATATCTGGATCAGTCAATTACATGTATCATGATTAGATATCTTATCTCCAGTTGAATCTCTTAATTGACCGGGGTGTATTAAACGAACAGTGGGAATGAAGACATTCCTAAAGTCATTGGAGCTCACTCTCTACAGATGTACTGCTTATCTACCATACTCGCATGGAGAGGGTGAACAAATTATCTTGGCTAAAGATCCTATAGCTATTTGAATCTGTGTTTTACTGTTGAATAATCTCAATGTTCCTTATTTTAATCTTTATGTAGTGATGACATTAATGTCATTGGAGTTGTAAAGCAATTTTGTCTGGAGATTCAAAGTGCTTAATTCATTCATCACCCTGGCTTTACTTAAGTCAAACTTCCAAGATTTAACTAAAGCCAGGATGATAAATCAATTTAGCACTTTGAATCTGCAGTCTCAAATATGCATGGAATTTCCTCCTACTAGGTACCCATTATTATAACAAAACTGAATACCGTAGGTACAAAAACACATAACACATTAAAAATTACTGATATAAAGTCTTCAAACAGTGTTTCGAAAAAGAGGTCATTAATTTTTTTGCTTTATTCTCCCAACAGCCTCACTCCCCCAAAACTGGTAACAATCCCGACCGGCCCCTTTCTGTGGATGTTGAGCCCCAGCAGCCGCCCCCTCCCAGCAGCACGGGGATGACCTCCAGCTACAGTGCTACCCTCCCCAACATCAAGAAGCTAGGGAGCGGCTCGTCGCACCCCTCCGTCCACCAGCTACCCCCCTTCCAGAGCGGCAACCAGCAACAGATGGTCCCCCCGATGACACAGGCCGCAACAACACCGTCATCGCCACCACCGCAATCACCCCAGCCACAGACTAATGTGCCTTCGGGTTTAGCAGGGAGGCATTCCAAGTCTCTTAAGTCACCTCATCATCTCAATGGTAAGATCAGTATGAAATTAGAGTTTGCTCATTCTGTTCATGCAATTGTTCATCCTGAAAAATCTAATTACGAATGTGATTACTAGAAAAAGAAGTGGGGTCCTTGGATGTGTACTGAAGAGATTAAATAATCAAAATCATAGTTTTCATGATAAAATAGTCGGTTTAATATTGAAGGCTTGTTTTTATAATGGTTTTTCTTCTTCGTCAGAAATGAGTACTAATTTATGATTTCACATCAAATGGAAAGTGAAAATGAAATTGATTTGATTAATGATTTCATCAACTTAAGTTTGTTGTGCCACCAACTTCTGAAACATTTCTAGAATACCAGTTCAAGAGACAAGTTATCCATCATTTCATTTGTCATCATCATTGCTTGATAACCTTTCATGTAATTCCACAATTCTTGAATCTAATCCCAATTTTCAAACGAAAAGTGAAACATTAGTTTTGTTCAAAGTGTTTGATGCAACATCAATTAATGCAGATTTGGAACTACATACCTTTTAATCATTAATGTCAGATTTTTACGTGCTTTCCAGATTGCCTCCTGTTCAATTCAATCCAAATTCAATTTAAAAAATGATTTATTAGACTACCTGTCTTGCAGCAATATGCTGAATTGTTCACATATCTAAAAGATAAGAACAACATTGAAGATGCAATTTATATAGGAATATGTACAAGTTATAAAAAATGTTGTCATAATTTTTTTTTGCTAGGTACATATAAAATTGTGAATACACAGTCTGATCATTTCCGTCTTTGTCATGAATTTCTTTGCAGCCATATCTCAGACGATGCCTCGTCAAACATTCATGCGTCGGGTATCGGAGGCAGGTGACATGATGGAGAATGAGCAGAAGATGCCTCGCGTTCAGGCCGTCTACACCCACGCTGCGACGGGAGAAACCCAACTTCCTTTCAATGAGGTATGACATCAATAAGGCAGGGAAAAGAAGCATCTTGAAACCAAAAAGCATTTTAAGTTTTGGTGGTATTAGTAATGTTTATTCACTTATATCCTCTGTTCAAAGCCTAAAAGGCATTGTTTCAAAACTCAGTGTTTAAGTTTAAGTACAAGAGTTTATGTCTTTCTGACTCCAAACAGAAGATAAATGCTTGACTGATTTTGTATTACGAAGTCTAATCAAGGCCATATAATTATTGTACCAGGTCTGTGATCTAAAGATATGGTTTGACCTCTGTGCCATGACAAATTATGATTTTCCACAATTATGCATCTCTTAATGTTCCATTACATTTTGTTCAGTAGCTTTATGTAAGATGGTATGTACATGTATTCACTTGGTAAATCGTAAAACTTTACTAAAAAATCAGAAGAAAATATGCCTTGAAGCAACTTTGATGCTGAAGCGAGATGTCACAATGGGAAAAACGTCTGCCTTTCGAGTGAAGTCTTGTTGGCTGGGATTCTGCTTGAGCAAATGACTAAAGTCTGCCACATCAAAGATGCAGGCTAGGAAAACAATGGGATAATTTAGTCTTTCATATGGAATGTTGACATTTCTATGTGTAGGATATCCATTCCATATGGTTTTCTTATGAAGAGTAAGATGAAAACATGTGGAAACCTGCACACATCATTATCATCGCCACTGTCATCCTCTTCCTCCTCATCCTCCTCCTCCGTCTTATCTTCATCATTGTCATCACCATCACCACTATCACCACTATCACCATCATTCTTCTCTTCTTCCTCATGATCATCATCACCTAATCAGTCTCATTACCTTTCTTCCAGGGAGACATCATTGGCTTGGTTGGTCCTAAGAACAACGGTTGGTTCTATGGACACAACTACAGGAGTAGGAGGAATGGATGGTTTCCTATTACCTACACACAACCCTTGCCTGAAATCTCACCCAAAACTAATGGAACAAGGTGAGTTTGTATGCTTCACTCTGGATTCAGTGAGCCTGATTTACGAGTAATTGGTCTGCACTAGTTTGGCCAGGATGGATTAGACCACACAGCGTGGTCACTGACAGGTCGCTACTCGTCAAGTCAGCTCTCAATTAAAATAAGAAAAAGAAGATCACGGGGGACCAACAGGCACCGATGAGGCATTGTGTGCTTTATAGAGGGCACAAGAAGCTATAAGTAGTGCAATGGGGCTTTAAGAGTAATTGGTTGAGACATGTTTAAGGGACAGGGTCATCAGTTTCCAGATGCAAGGAGGCCACAATTGGCTGACACCAGACTGGGTGGAAATACCATTCATGGGAGTACAAGTCTGCAAGCAGCAAACCCGTAGTCCTATCCAGAAATACTCATTAGTCTCTTGGAGAGTCTTCGGATGAGGAAATGAAAGATAGTGACTTTACCAAAATGGGGAATGGGTGGAAACAACAATGCATTACTTAAGCCTCTTGGTCATAAAACTAAACGCTAGTCCTGGTTAATGACAACACCTGTTATTAGATAAACACCCAAATGGTGTCTAGTTTCCCATGAGAGCCCACTGCTGCTCTTTAAACAGTTGTTTGCTCTTTGTTAGATTACATTTACAAACAGTTTATGCAGGTAACATTTGAATGGCATTTCCTGCTATTTAGAAAGAAATGTACATTTTCTTGTAACACATTTGCAGACTTCCAAATCTACTCCTTAGTTTCGGTTCATTTGAAAGTGAGAGCCATTTTAATTTGTAACTTCAAGACTTCGCAACTGTAAGTTCCTTGAAACTTAATCGGTGCTCACAGTGCATATCAAAATTATCAAGCTGCACATATCCATTGTAACATGAATTACAGGTACAAGTATTTCTCAGAAATATACAGGATGTGTGGATTGCGCAACACAATTAGTTGAATGTTGTAAAATGTTCCCAACATTAGTTTAGTATGAAGTGCTGTCGAATATGTTTATGAGATCGTGCTAGAGCATGAAAGTGTCCATTTTAAAAGGCAATTGTATACTTCAAAGGTTTCTAAAATATGTATTTTTGCTTCAAAAGGAAAATGGAAGTTACTATTTTATTGCCAGTTTGTGTTAAGTTACACATTAAAGAATTATTTATATTCCTTCTTGGCAGTAATATATTGAGCACCAAGGGTGTAGCAGCCAGTATGGACAACCTCCAATCCGTGGGCAATGACTACCCTACCCCTGACTACTCCGGCCCCGGCAGCCCCGTCTCCCCCATGGCCCCCGCTGCATCAACCCTCTCCCTCCCCCAGGTCGGCATCGCCGTACCGACCAACCTCTCGACCGTGTCGCCCTACACCAACCCCTCCTCATCCTCCTCCAACAACAACGGCATGGGCAACGGTGGGGTGAAACCCTCGGGGTTGCTGATGACCGCACCCGTGGGAGTGGTCGAGGGAGAGGAAAGGAACGTCTTTCAGAATCAGCAGAAACAGCAGACCGGAAACTCGACCTTTAATACCGCTGTGCCAAACGCTCTTGCTCAAAAGCAGTCTGCTTCCATCCAGGTACAGAAACTTTTGAAAGTGATTTATACAAGTATAAGACTTGAGACCTTGGGTGAGAGAACATTTGTAATCTGAATATTGTATGATGTCTTTAAAGGGAGCCACAAATGCCCCTTTGCTTAATTTTATTTAGAGAAATCTTCAATGCATTTTAAAAAAATTATTTCCTTAAAAAAATTGCACAAAATGTATGCAGTTCTAGAGTTCATAACCATACTCATTCTGCACAATAAGGTGTGGATTACACTGGGCTTCATTCTGCCAAAATATAGACATATTTTATTTGCCTTGACGTACCAGGGTTTCCCCCTACTCTTATGTAAAGTGTAATGTACTTCTATATACTGTAGATGGTGAGCCTTCTAGTTTCAGCACATTGGGCATTTCCGTAACATTTTGGCAGCAGTGTAATGAAAAGGCCAGGGCCCTCTTGCAGTAACTCAGATCAAATGCAAATATCATGCGCAACTTTCAATCAAACGCAACTGCGCATTGCATAAAGAGAGTTGCGATTGAAATCAAATGCAACATTGCGTTTGGTCATATGTCTATCATAAAGTTGCGTTTGATCAGGAAAAGTTGCGCTTGAGAGTTGCGTTTAAAATTAAACGCAACTCTTTATGCAATCGCAAAGTTCCATTTGATTTTTAGGACTTGCGTTTGATGTTCAGAGGGCCCAGGGTGACTTTCAAAATGATAATAATATAATAATAGTGGGTTCTTGTATAGCTCTCATGTCTGTCAGGCTTGATTCTATTGGATGTGTATTGTTTATCGTTATTATGAAATTATAACTCCTCAAATATTATGAGTGCTTACATTTGTTTGATATGATTTGTTTATTTTGATGGTGATAGCCTGATGTCCAGCTCTCTCAAATCCAACTCTCTGTGCCTGATGAAAACACCAATGTGCCCTCACAAAACAACGGAGATCAGGGAGACGGGTAATAACTTTTAAACAGCAATAAAGTACAGTCAAACCTGCTTTAGTGACCACCTGTCTACAAAGACCACCTGTCTGCAAGGACCACATTTTTGTTTTCCTTGAAAAATGGTTTCTCATTGAAACATGTACTAAAGGAACCTGTCTACAAAGACCACCTGTCTACAGGGACCACTTTTTGTGTTTCCCTTGGGCTGTCGCTATAGACAGGTTTGACTGTAGATAGTTTCATAATCAGAGTATTTTAAATACCCTAGTTAATATGTTATTTTATTTTGCATGTTTTAGACCAAAACTACCTGCTATCACCTTTAATGTGCACCAATCTCCTATAAAATATAACTTGTGTACAGCTAACATGTATACATTCAATCTCAAATAACTCTACCAAGTGTTCTACCATTTTAACAGGTAAGGAGTATGAAAAAAAAATCACATAAAATCGTGCACAAATTGTGCAGGCCATATTTTATGCAAGGAGGTATGGGTGTGTTGACTATAAATCACAAGTTCTCTTTTAGGCTAATTGAGAGTGTGTTTAAATTTCCAATATCTCTTTATAGAAGTATTGTTTTATAGCTCATACATACATGTACATAATTATGTATTTTAAATATAGTGTAGCGACATGGAACTACACTGTACTTTTATACAGTGCACAGTATGTTAAGTGATTGGAATGAGGATGAGGATTTATTTCTTCTTTAAAAGTGGTATTTCTCTTCTCTTTTCCTTCTCCAGCAACCCTTTTGGATCGATTCAGCTTCGTAAGACGGTGACGAACGATCGTTCTGCTCCTATCATCCCTAGAGACTATCAGATGGGTGAATTTGCACGGTAAGTGGACAGTCAGACACTCTGAAGGAGGGAGGCTCAGATATATAGGCCCAAATTCACAAAGGAGGTTTAACTTAACCCATGGTTTAAACCCTCATTTACTTAACACATGAATTAAAAATCAGTGCAAAATAAGCGTACCTTGCCTTGCGCGTATCTAATATTGGACCTCTGACTGTGTCACGCTTATTTTGCGCCAATTTTAGACCATTGGTTATGTACAGTGTAAATGAAGATTTGAACCATGGATTAAATGTAAACCTCCTTTGTGAATTCGGGCCATGATCTCTGCAGAGCCAGAAAAAACGTTAACTCTGTGTTAAAGTTTTTCCCTTGCTGGTTCCAAAGAGATGATATTCTCTGTTGATAATTGCTCTGTGCTTATTTTTCGCCACATATATAGGGTTAGAGTTCGGGTTAGGGTTGCAATTGGGATATGTGTTAGATTCAGGCTTATGGCTAGGATCGGAGTAGTTCTTGGTCCAGGGTTGAAATTTTGGTCACCGTAGGATATTGGACGTAGAGCAATTTTCGCCGGAGCGTGTGTCCGTACAAGTGAAGGAAGTGCAATCAGAGAGACTTGAGTTCCCTCGTTATCAAGAGCTGTCTTTGATCCCAATTGATTCATTGGAATTTCATTATTTAGCTTAGCAAGATATAATCACAGCAAAGGTTCCACCAAAACACAGCAGGCACAATCATTGGGGATATGTCCGTGTATGTGAGAGTGTAATCCGACTACATATATTCTGAATGAAATTGTAATGTGTTGATTTTGGGTGCTGCAAGTTATGCTTCATACAAAAAGGAGAGGCAAAGTTCACCTCATAGTCTGAGCTAACTGCAGTTTTTCTTTTTTGAAATTGCCAAGGTTTTGTCTCCAGTATGTCATGTGTGAACACAATTACAGCAAAAGTGCAAAGAAAAATCTTGCCAACATGGAAATGCTGATTCCTTATTCTCTCTCAATTATCCTGTCCCGTGTTTTCTTTATAAACAATGAAACCATCAAGTGGCTTATGTTGAAAACATTCCAAATAAATCTTGAAGTCCCTCTGCACTAGTTTGGCATGGAGGGATAAAACCTCCCTGCAAAGTCACTGGCAGGTGGTTATTTCATCAAATCAGCTCTCAATTAACATAAGAAAAAGGGCATCATGGGGATCAACGGGTACCGCTGAGGCATTGTTGGCTGTATAGAGGGCGCAAGTAGATATAAGTAGTGCAGTGGGGCTTTAAATAGAGTATCATACACTGTATGTGATGTAATGATAATGTGAGTCACATGCATGTACCTGTAATAGCTTCCTCATGTAGGGGCTAATTGATTGATACACACATGTCTGTACAAACATAATGTACACTGTACATAGGTCTGCACTATATTTTTTTTCTCTATACTGGTGTGATCACCCTCGGAATGTGAGGAAACCCCTGTTGGATCTCATCCAGGATTCAGATCCTATTTTTCTGAACCAGCTTCCCTCTTTGTCTAAGTTGCCCTTTGGTCTATTTCCTTTTGTTGGATATTGACCAGGCCAGGATGAATGACTTTGATACATGATGTACTTTGCATGGATTTTAGTCAGACCAAAGGGGAATCAGTCTGCATTTTGAACTTAAGTTGTTGATAAAATGGAGTATGTTATCGTTTGCTGAGAGGCAGAGGGATGTTAGATCATGTACAGTCTGTGTTTGGACAGACTTCATTTTGGATCGGCCATGTCAAAATTATTACATTCAAAACATTTAAGTCATCCTAGGAAATTGTTAGTTAAGCAGATGAATGATAGATTTACATTATTTCTGGTTAATTATATACATAAACAATGTGATACAAACATTCAGTATTGGAGTTGGATGTGAGGAAAGGTCTCCCCATGACTTTTTATGTAAGGAATTTTCTTTTTAAATCAATATTGATCAGGATAGTATGATTGATATGAGTTCTCATCTATTTTTGTATATATTTGTTTTACATATATAGGTACTGTTTTATCATTCTCAAATGAAATTGAAAGCATTCGATCATTGCATACCACCTTAAATAGTGGAAAAATAAACTTAAAAGCCATGTACAGTGCTTTGTAAGGCCCCTTTCTCTCCCCCCCCCCAATTTCTTCAACTCCTTCTTCAAGGATGGCTTTGTGCAACACAATGGCTTTGCAAAGTGATATACATGTATGTTGCAAAAGGAATCCAGAGAATAAAGGCTGCATAGCTGAAATCAAGTCAGGGAACTTTGATTCAAGCTACGCAATCATTATTTCACTCATTTCCTTTTGCATTGTATAAATTTCCACAAGAGTTGCCAAAGCTGTTGTATATTTTATTTCCTTACACTTACACGTATGTAATATATAGTGTGATTTTGGAATAATTTTGGAATAACAAGTAGGCGTACATGTCCATAAATAGGTATAGTAATTTGCAAAAGGCTTCATGATGGCTTTGAAAGCTCACTGGCAAATCATTGAGAATTTGTGTATATTACTGCTTTTTGTAAAATACATTTATGTTTATATTCAACATTCATTTGACTCATGCATGCATGCACATAAAGCCTGGACACAAAACCAGCAGATGACATTGCAAAATGCGATGATGGCCCCCAACATGACCCGGCTACAACGGAAATTGATACAAATCGACAGAGAACTTGTAAACTTGGAGATGGGGATAGATCTCCCTCATTCTATTCATAATAATCAGGTCTGCTGTGCTGTAACCCCTTGATCCATAACCAGTGTTACATTGTTAAACCATATAGTGGACTATCTTGTTTTATGTTTTTCTTTGTCAGTGTGGTTCATCTTCTGAATTACATTGTTTGCAATCCGTGTTACTGCAGTGATGCTTTAATTATGCAAAAAATATGATTTCAACATTTCTATACAATTTGTGTTACAACATTGTTTTATAGTGTTGTGAATTTGTATTTTGTATAACATTTCGTTTCAATCAAAGTATGTCAATATTGAATTTCCTTGGCATCCCCATCCCTTGAAAATGGTGTCATTATACATGTACGACTCCACTTTATACCCTGTCTAAATGTTCAAGTACTTGTACATGTATGATGTTATATTCCAATATGCAGTCAATATCCTCATTGACTGGTTCTTTTTGTTTATATTTAGTTTTATCACTAACATTGGCTGATAATCTTGTACTCTGGCTAGTTTTTTTTGATATATTTATATATTAATAGTAGATGAGCGATGTACATAAATTGTGTAGGCTTGACATTCCCATGTTCATTGATATATTAAACACTAATATATATTTTTATTCCCCTGCTAAAGCATATTAAATTTGTGCTATGAGTGTGCACAGTCATGTCAATTTTATTGTTGCATCTGAAGAAAAGAAAAAACCCACCTTCTAATGGCTGTGAGCAACCCTGTGTAATTATTGGAAATGCATATATATATATATATATATTTATACTAAAAGATCATGAATTATTCTAATAAAGAAGTACATCAAGTTTGTTTGCTTTATTTCTGGAAAAAGCCAGGGTACTGCATAAAGTAATATAAATGCCTGAAGCACACAATGCACAACAATCCATTATTTCCTGGTCCTGCCTTACCTAGGTCTATTTGTTGGTTATATGCTACAAAGATTGTCAGTTCATATTTTAACAGGAATGTGACTTTGTGACATTTTCTCCGTAACTGCAAGCCTAATGTTTGATATACTGTAGTCTTGCCATAAGTACATGATATATACATGATTAATATTTAAAAAAAAGATGTTATTAAATTACTTCTTTACCCCACTTTATCATTAATTCAATTTTCTCCTTATTTGATTTTCCCCTCTCTATTTTGCAGGCACTAATCTATTCTCCAAGCATACTGAAACAAGATATACCATTCAACTCGACTGAGAAGAAACGTTGTCAAACTCTGCAATATTATTTAACTCATGCGAGGAAAAACGTATATATACCATGCACTGAATATTATGGTAATATTACATCACAACATTCCCAAATACATCGTTGCCATGTCAGGCAACACACCTACGTGGATTTTCATGAAACCAGGAACATTTTAGGTGCATAGGGTATCATCGCCTATTGAAATATGCAAGCATTTCTGTGATGTCATACTTTGTAATATTCAGAACAAATTTCTGTAGGTGATGCAGCTGGAACTACATGTAATTGTCCTAAAGTAAGATTTCTTGAAAGTCTTTGCGACAATGTCAGACTTGCTTTAAAGTCTTAGGTGGAAGTCAGTTGCTTTCATCCAACTCTACATATGCCAGTTACGTCATTTTTCGGAATGAAGATAGTATTTGCTTAAATTTCAGGAGGGCATTAACTGATAAGGCTTTACATATGGTATATGTAATGCCCATCTGGCAGACAAACTGTAGTAAGAGTAATTACTAAAATATTGTGTCATTATTTGCAAGATAAATCTTGTTGTTATTTGGATTAAAATGTGTACATTGTACATGCATTCACATGTATCTGTGTTTATGGATGTTATTAAAATTTGACAAATGGTCTTAAAATTTGATCCGAGACCAAAGTGGCCATTTTTTAGCCAAAATTTGTGCTATAAATGAGACAAAAGGTCTTTTGTATTATGCAACTCAACAAATTAATGTATGTGCCTACATATTGCCTTTCGTGTAAATTGCAATATTTTATGAACAAAATCAAATATAGTATCCTTTCTAGTCACATAAAGTGAGTACATACTTGTATTAAGAAGAATAAAACGGCTTTTATGTAAAATGATGCTGGTATTGGAATATATATTTGTATATGCATTTTGTTTTTCATATTGCATGTGTAAATAGACTAAACTGCAACTTGCAATATAATCATGTCGTTCAGATGTTGTATGCATTTGGCCGTCTTGTAAATAAGAAAGTTTTTAAGAATGCTCTTATGGTCAATATATTTGCCCACTTTTTGTATATGTCTGAAGTAAATTGTCAAATCATGTCATATAATTATTGATTTTTTTTAAAAATATTGCTTATTTATAATTTTTATGTTACTTTTACAAAATATCAGTTATCTCAAAATGCTACAACGTTTATATTATGATGTTAAAAGAGGCCTGTTTATAATAATTACACTGTTACAAATCACTGTACAGCTTGTGACAAATATTAAGAATACATCTAATTATTTTTGTATGCATGTATGATTTTTGTAATGCTAAACAGTAAATTAGCTATGCCAAGATGTCATCTATTTTAAGGTTTGGCAGTTAGTCATATCAAATTTAGTTTTAAAACATCAATGTCACTTTATTACATCATGTGTAGCGTAGTCATAGACCTTAAAATATATGTAGCGATTTTCTTTAAGTTTGGAATGATGTTCTAAAATGTCTAACTGTGAAGAGGGAAAAGCTTTTGAAAGGAATCACAAAGTTACTTGCATGATATCATACAACGCCTGCCAATTGTGTTTTCAGCCATAACATATTCAAACCAGAGAATTACATGTGTTACCATAGCAACATAAATATTTTCTAAAACTCAACCCAAGGCAATTGCAACATCCTTGTGGGTCGCCTATTGAAATGTGCAAACATAAAAATGTTGAAAAAAATCATGAATTTTGATCAAAAAAACAATAATTTTGAATCTCTCAAAGTGTTGCCAATTTAAGGATTTTGAAGCTTATTTTCCTTTTTCAAAATTCTTGGTTTCAACGCAATATAGACATGAAACAAGGTTGCCCTTTCTACTAATGCATCTGGCATATTTTTAGGGCTCTGATCAAAGATTATAGAGCAAACCACAAAATGTGGTATAGTTGCCGCAAAAGGGTTAAATGGATTACATATGAAGAGGCTGCTTTAGACAACTTTTTAATGATTTTAGGGGTGAAACATGGTCTGCTGATAGAAAGTATCTGCAGAAAAAGCAGTTGTTGGAGAAACACAGTATTATCAATACCGTACACTGTATAGGCAAGTAATGTTGTACAATGTATATATGCAAACTTGTGCATTATATATCCAGAGTCTTCCAAATTTACAGGTTTACAAGGTCGCTCTCTCAACTCATGGAAAAACAATATTTTGACCAAAAATATGTTTACAAGGTAGCTCTGCTCTCTAAACTCAAGGGAAACTATTTTTGATAGAGAAACAAATTTGAAGTTGTATGCATGTAAAATGATGTTTTAGGAATTGAAGGGAAGAAAAAAAAAAAAAAAAATCGAATTTTTTTATACTAAAGCAAGAAGTGGGAGGTCACTTTTGATCAATGATATTTAATGTTAACTATGTTGCATCTATTCTGCACATGAATGCTGTGTAGGCCTAGTATGGGTCCTGTTTCATGAAACTTTTTATCAATAAGAAGTTGCAATAACTGTTCAAAGCTTCTGAAATCGTTGCATTTGATTGGCTGAGAACAAATTTGTTAAAGAAATGTGACTCGTGTTATTAATGACGAGTTTCAAGTTCAAGTTCAAGTTCAGTTTATTCAATTCCAATAAAATATACAAAACAGAATACAATCATGACAGAATAAGAGTATAAGTCGATCAATAATACAAAATAAGGTAAAATTATAAAACTATAAAGTGATACATCAGATAACAACATAAGATTATTGGAATTTTCATGAGACAAGGTCCTGAATTTCATCTGGATCAAAATGATGTACTGTTAACAACTAAATTATTCATACCAATCAATTTGATGTTGTTTGTGTTTAACGTAACTCAAGAATGAACAGTGTACTGGTTTAGATTAGGGCTTTTGTTGAATATGTTTTACATGTAAGCTTTAATATGTCATTTTCTCAAGAAACATAAATGAGGACAAATCAATTTTTCACATACTTAAAAAATGACAAAACTTGGTAAGGGTATGTTTACTGTATTAGTACCTGTGTTTATTACACCTACATGTACATGTATGTTATGAAATACAGGCCCATTTGCATCATTTTAGTAATGAGAAATCAAGATATCAGAATAATGACTGTATATCACATCAAACAATTACAATTTCTATCATGACACTTCCCCTCTTCTATGATACATGCGATTATGTACATGTATCTGTTTACATGACAGATACTGCATTCAAGCTGCATGTATTTATAACTTATAATAATATTATGTATTTCTACTGTGCACTTCCTTATATCATATCACTCAAGGCACTACAATGTAATATGATATGATTTTGATACTTCAGTGTTATCTTATCAAAAAACACAGAAACAACAAAAACAATATAAGTGATTTCTACAAAATAATCACAACACAATCTATAATTATGCACCGCATAACCTGTTATACACTTGTCCATCTGTAGACTGTTCGCAGGACGAAAGTATTCTAAGCACAATAAAAAAACGACTGATATAATATTGTCTTTGTTTTTTTTTTAAGGAAGTAGTATTGTTGCCAGAAGTTATGTTCTTAAATGCAGTGATAGTAAAAGATCACAAACTCCACAAGTTGTTTTCTTCAAGAACATTCTATATTTTTTAGAATAAATTTGAGATGATTAGATGTAATATGTTGATGAATAGCTGTCAAAGTAAATTTGATGCAATTTACAGTCACTTGGTATGTTGGTTTGAAAAGACTGCAATACCAATTTGAAGATGAACATTTATTGCGATATATGTACATGTATAGTGCTTTCATAACTATTAAAAACATGTACAAGATTGTTTTTGTTTGTTCACGATTTTTGTGAAAATGTTTTTAGTAATTCCTGAATGGTAAAAAGAATTGGAGTAAATGTAATTGATATGATCATGTTTTTTTAGAGAAGTAAAGACACTTTATAACTATTGTACAACTTACGTGAATGAGACAAGTTTCATTAAAAATCATTTCTTTAATAGATTGTTTCAATTAAACTGCAATGTTAGGCTAATGTTTAGAAGTATTTAAATGTTATTTTAAGTTACTGGTATCCTTAAATTTAAGTTTGAACACTCATAAATAGGTGCTTTAAAAACCTCAATGATATAATATATTTTTTACTCACATAAAGGCCTATTCTTTGTATTGCCTTTGTCGATACATGTATGTGTTGGATAATACTATATTGCACGTCCATAAGTTTTGTATATATTTGATGCACCAAAATGTGATTGATATAATGAATATTGATTGCTATTTTTGATTGTTTATATCAAAAGAGACAAGATCAAAGCAAATCATATATTTTGATAATTTAGAAAACTGATATGTAAGTCATGTTGAAGTATGGTATATAACAAAGCTTGTTTATTGCAATGACTTAATATTACGATCATGTTGTGCATTAGTATTTCACCAGTTAACATATGTTAACCAATGTGAAACTTTGTGAAAGATTAAAGAATAAATACACTGTAAATGTTCTCATATTGGCATTTGTATAATTGAGCAATTTGTTGTATTTTCATTCTTATATTATTACCTGGCATAACTTTTATTTAGAGATATAAATAAATTAACACAACTACATAAGAAATATAGATGTAGTGTTAGGGGAGGGGTGTAGCTGCCCTTCTTAAGGTTTTGCTCAATAATTCCTATGGATCTTTTTTTCTTCTTTGTTTCCTTTTCTTTCTCACACTCCCCTCTCTCTTTCTTTCGCTCTCTCTCTCTCTCTCTCTCTCTCTCTCTCTCTCTCTCTCTCCTCTCTCTCCCTCTATTTCCCGTCCCACTCTTGGATGAATTTTTTCCCATTAGCATATTTCCGTTTGACCTTCATGTAGAACAATATTTGACATTTTAAGCCATGCAACTTTGAAAGACAGAACGAGCTGACACAGTACTACTGTACCTGTCAGATGTATAACGCCCTCTATAGATCTGTCACTATTTCGTGATTAGTCTTGCCAATTTTCAAAAAAATAATAAAAACAAACACAACCACACTTCTTGTGGGGTTGGTGTAATAGAGTGAATGCGGAATTTTAAACGCAAAATACATGATTTCTGAAGTCCTGAAGATTATATATATTTTTTTTTCTTCTGAAGATTAGATTTAATAAATTGAAGCACAAACTGAAATCTTTCGTGGTACAAATTTCAAGAAACTTTCTAGAAAACTGACGAATCAATATGAATAAGTTTTCTCCTGTTCTTGGGGGGGGGGGGGGGGTAGTATATTGTATTCTAATACATGATTATCTTGACATACAGAATTTTACGCCCCAAAAATGTGTTTCCCTTCCTAACAAGGTTGTTGTTCGAACATTATATCTCTTAACCATATTTATAGTTTGATGCACACTAGAAATGTAACTGTAACACATTCGTTTCTTCTTGGATCTTCTCTGTGTCTTTTTCTCTTCATTCTATTACATCTGTTAATCTCTGTTAAAGTAATGTTTGCATGTACTGTCCGCATGTCATCGTGTTTGTCTAAATACCGTCTGCCCGCTCTTTCACCTCACATGTTATCTTTCTCACCTTTTTTCCTGCTTCTCTCAATATTCCCCCCCCCCTCCCCAGGCGCATACGCAGGGGGTGTTTTGGTGTTTACCCCCCCCCCCCTCAATTTTGTTTAGGGAAAAAAACGAATACCCCTTACCCCCAACCCCCTCCCCCCACTGAGCGCAATATCGGTCGGCGCGATTTCTAAATTTCAAACACCCTTCTTGAAAAAAATTCTGCGTACGCCACTGCCCCCCTCTCTTTCTCTCTTTCTCTCACTACTCTTTACACTCCCCTTTCCATCTTTCCGTTTTTGTATTTTGTATATGCCATTGTTTTACCCCCATCCCATTCTCGTGTTCAAGTTTATCCCACTCTTCCCCTTTCTTTGTATGATTCTTCCCATCTCTCTCTCCCCCCCCCCCCCCCCCTCTCTCTCTCTCTCTCTCTCTCTCTCTCTCTCTCTCCGTCTATCTATTCAGCACCACAATCGTTCCCTTTCTTCCACCAAATTCTCTCTTCTCTCACGTTGATGTTGTTGTGAGAAACTTTTAGGGTCAGTAAAGTCAAGTGATATATCGCACACAGCCCCCTGCTATTATAGCGCTGGCCTCAAAATAGAGACCCTGCCATGATATTCCAGACATTACTTCAATTCTAATCCTGCTGGCAGGGAAGACGCTCTGTTTCTCACAGCTTTTGCGCTCAGTCGTCGAGGAGATCGTTGTCACTGGGGCGTTTCGAATATTCAGGAGCTTGGTGCTCGTCGAGGGAGTCATTGCGGTTGGCAACTTTGTAGTTTCCATGTTTTTCCACCGGACGGCGAAATCGTAGAACGGTAAGTATTTACTCTTTTATCAACACGACAAATAAAATGCCCTGAAATAATTGCATTAGTCAGTATTAAAGTGGGTGCCCCGGCCCCCACCTCCCGATCTTTTCTCTAGATTTATCATGAAAAGAGAAGGAGGGGACGGAGAAGGACGAAGAGGGAGAAAAGAGGAAAAAGATGATGACGTAGAAGAAGCAGAAGAACAACAAGAAGAAAGAGAACAAGAACAAGAACAAGGAGAACAATAATCCCCGGGAGGGGGAGGGGGGGGGGGGGGGGGTTACGAAGATTTGGTTTGTACGGGGTGTGCCGCTCAAGCCTCGAAACCCTACCCCTTTTTTAAGGGTCATTTGGAGGATTTTTCTCGAAATAAAGGCACACTTTTCACAATTTTTGGGTGTTTGCCAAGCAAAAACCTGAAATATATATTTTTTAATTTCGACAAAGTGGACCCATGTTTAGTGATATTTTTGTTTTTAAATGGGACCCGTCTTTTGGGATTTGTGTGCGTGAAAAAGTGACCCATGAGAGCGGCACACCCCCGTTTGACTTAATATGTGAGTACCACCCCCACCCCCGCCGGGACAAGAACAAGAAGGAAAAGAAGTACAAGAGGAAGACGACGATGATGATGATGATGAAGATGATGATGAAGATGATGAAGGAAAAAAAGAAGGGCAAGAAGAAGAAAAACAAGGAAAAATTTGAGGGGGAGAATGAGAAGAAGAAGAAGGTGATGACTGATGCAAAAGAAGATCAAAGAAGAAAACAGAAGGTAAAACAAAAAGGGAAAATAGCCTACAACGACGAAATAGATTTTTTCGTTGAGGTAGTAGTAATAGAGGCCGGAGAAGACGAAACGATGTTTTAAACAAGTTGAGAAGTTCAAGGCCTCTTTGAAAACCTCACCATGAATGTGACTGCCAAACTAGGAACATTAAAAGATTTGCATCTCGTACTCACTGTACATATAGCTTGATACCACATTGATTGTTTTACGCCCCTTTCACGAGATGGAGAAAATAAAACAAAACAAAACAAACAACAATAATAATTTTCCCCGGTAACTGAATTGCTATCATCTTGTTCATTTAATTGTGGATAGATTTATGTAGAATTCAATCAATTCATTTTCCCCTTGGAAACGGTTTTGAATTTCCCTTTGAAAGCTAGGAATAAGTCGTTTTTGTTCCATTTTCTACCCTGTTCTTTATTCTTCATATAACTGGGTCAGGTAAGAAGGTCTTGGAATGCCAGTTCAGTTCATGTTGATATGTGATTGGATCTTGATTTCAAATGTGCTTGCTGACATGAAAGGAACATTCCATGTTACCGTATATGATTATTATTGGCTCGGCTTGAACCATCACCCTCCCTTTTATCCCGATTTCTAGTGTATAAGTCTCCTTTAGTTGGCCTACTCAGAAAAATGTGCTATCAAAATAAAGTAACATTCTTCTTCAGTCAAAACACTCTAAAAATAGCTGGGTAAACTTTTACCTACGTTTTGTTTAAAAAAGGGGAGCATGAATGTTAGTTTGGTATGTAACCCAATATTTGGTAACACGTACTGTACACCAGGTTGTGTACAATTTTACTCAACAAACATGCACATTCCATCTTTTTGCTTTAGTTATAGGAATGCAATGTGAAGAAATGTTCAACTGTATAGAAATTGATTCTGAAGTACATTCATTCATTATAATATTTTAAAAACATGATAAAAGATATTTCCATTAAAAGGAGAAAACAAATGACGGGATACCACAATTTATTTCCGAGGCTTATTTCAGTCAAATCAGGCGCCTTGAGAGTTCGTGCGAAAACCACGCACTTTTTAAGTTCAAAGAAGATCTGGATCATCCCTGTCCTAAATACCAGAATGGCCGCCCCCGCCCCCACCCCCTAAAAATATCACCCTCTTCACCTACAAATTGACCGGCCCCCTAAATGTAATTCATTGTAGAAAGTGTTGTATTTATACTCATCAGGACATTAACAAAGGTGAACATCTTAAGAACAAAAATCTAAACAACTTGAAGACACTTTTGTATCCACCCTCCATTCAACTTACTTATAATTATAATTATTTAGACATGTTTTGATTTGCCCAGTTCTGTTTGACCATAATCAGTGCGCTCACTTAATGTTTTTTTCTTCTAGCTATTTTCAAAAGAGTTAAAACATTTTTTGACTTTGTATTTTTCACGAAAAACTAAACAAAACACTTTGACATGTCAGCACTTTCAACTAAACGAATTGATTTCTTCTAAGAATTAGGTCAAACCCCATGCACCCTCCAATTTCAATAGTCAAAGGGGTGAAGTGTCACGTCTTATAATATTTGGAAATCCATCTTGCAAACTACAGAAAACAGATGCTACAGCACTAGGTTAACGCTTGATATACACCCATTTATCAAGTAGCCACCTATAATGTCAAAGTAGGTCACAAACTTGATCTAATTTCCAGATAAAAAAAACATACGTGAATCTGTATAGTTTAGAGTATTTCTCAGGGTTATTCTCATTATTCTACAAGATGTGTTTCTCGGTTAATAACTTGACCCGACTTAATTCTTTCGAATGCTGAGCAATGTGGGGAATAGTTTTATTTCAACTTAATACAACCTCGGCCTTATTCGAATCTAGCCTTTAATTTCCGTCGCTGACTATCGAAATTTATATTTTGATCTTACAAAAATGTCGACATATTTGATGAAATGTCGTTATTAACGCTTTGACAACTAAATTTCTCGTTTGCATAAGCGATAATCCTTCATAATAACTACTTTAGGGATATAATAGATGGTGCTTCATGATTTTAAACCTAGTTTATGACACAACCATGACGGCAAAGACTTTCCATAAAACAAAACTAAGGCAGTTTTAATAGCCATGTCTATCACATATTGTGCGCGAGTGCTCTCAGTGACGTAATACGTATCGATATATATGAGATATAATATTCACGCAATGAAATTGCCCTAAACTAGATTTCTCAAAACAGCTTGGGTAAAAATTATGGTTTTATCAATAGTTTTTGTTTTTTGAAACTATTTCCTTGACGTTTTGTGTCAGAGGTCAAGCCACAGGAGGACATTCTTGGATTAAATTTGATTTAAGTTTTTATTAAATATCATGATCTGGTTTCTGAATCAGAGGCCTATTTAAAATTCAGGTGTGCGTACTTTATTCACACCAAAAATTAAATATTTTGCCGGCGATTTTTTTTTGTTGCTTTTCTTTTAGCTCATAGTTTCAGAATGTACCGGAAAATGTGATACATTTTGTTGAAGTTAAGTTGATGTTGTCGCTGCTGTTGTCATTGTTGTTGCCATCGGTGTTGTTATGGCTGCTTGCCAGAGGTCTTTTTCTGAATTGCGCCTTTTTTTTCCTTGTTCCGCCCCTGCCCTATTTATTTCAAATAATAAGAATCTTCCTCAATTGCTAAGTTCACACGGCCCAAATTCGAAACTATTTTTTGGGTTGTTTTTGTTTTTGTTTGGGGGGGGGGGGGATGTTGCCTTCCAAGATTTACAAAAGCTTAAACTTCATGGTATGATTACCCCCAACTTATGAAAACTCCAGCAGAAATACCATTGCATTAATGTTTGTTTGTATGAATGAACGTATGCCAAGTTTCGTCGAATTGTTGGGCGCACATAACTCTTCTTCCATATTCATTGGTATAGCGTTTTATAACTGGAAATCTAGCATTGATCTCTTTCTTTAAAGATCTTTTTTTTTCTTTAACCCTTCCGAATGCCTCGAGGTTAATTCAATCAGCTCTCGACCTGCATGGCAGGTTAAATCTCAACCCTAGATAATTGAAAATCATGACTTCTGCAGCGGGATTCTTTAAGTCACATGACAGCTGAAAAACGGGAGAACTCGATGAAAGAAGGATTGCAAATGGTGGGAAAATCCCATTTGATGCAGCAAGTCAAAAACGCTTTATTTAACATCGCGTAAATTGTTATCCCTTTTATGATACGTGCTCTCTTAACGTACACGAGTCTATGCTCACAATAGTGGATTCCACTCTCAAGCAGGCCCGTAGCCAGAGTTTGATGTTTTTTTTTTGGGGGGGGGAGGGGGGGGGGGCACATATTGTAATCGATCGAGGTAAACAAAAAAGGGGTCTAAAAAAGTTCAACCGTTCTCGGAAAATGTTTTGGGGCACGTGCCCCCAACCCCCCGTGCCCCCCGTGGCTACGTGCCTGCTCTCAAGAGAGTATTTAACCGCTACTTGCGAGCGGATTGTGATATTATAGAGTGGATTCAACTTTGGAGGAAAGGAAGCGATCCCCCGAAAAATATTCAAAAAATGTGGATTTCCAATTCCCTTGAATTTGTTTAAACAGAAAACATGGAGCAGAGCTAAAAGTACGTACAACAATGTTGCACGCACCGGTCAACTGCAAAAATTCAGAAAAATTAGAATTATTGAAATATTTCTTGTCATTATTTACCTGTTATAGATATGATTATAGAAACAAGACATCGGATTTTTATTGAACGATCAATAAACGGTAAAAGAAAAGTTCATCTTAATAACAATGACAAGCTTTAGACAGAATTTACAAGTACATGTAGCTTCAAGATCCAATACGAGTAATAATATAGTTTTTACAAAACGTATCTACGAATAGGAAAACAAAATATTGGAGCCAGCTTTTCTATCAGGAATTACATATCAGAGAATCCATCACAGATAAGAATTTTTATTTTCATAGTGTATCCATCTTCGGCTCTCAAGACTTATTCACCTATTCGCATATCCAAAGATTTTGTATAGGGCACATTTTGCAAACAAATTACATTAGCTTATAAAGCTCACTACGCCCAGCAGTGGTCCGTGGCATTTGAATTTGGCTACCCTAGAAAAATGTAGTCCGAGTATCGATTTATAAAATCAAGTTCTAGAACCTTCGCCAAAGGGTCAACATTTTCCTAAAATTTCCATCAACTAAAAAGAAGAAGAAGAAAAAAAAAAAAAAAAAAAAAAGGATTTCCCTAGTTTGCCAAATTCACCCCCCCCCCTCCAAAAAAAAAAGGAAAGCGGTGCTCGTATTTTTCAAATATGCGGACAGGAAATTGAATACATTTGTCAGACAAACGGGACCGACACGAGACCGACTACAGACCGAAAGGAAAATTGCAGAACCGTCTCAAGGGCCCTAAATCGGTGGGTCCAAACTCCAAACAGTTAGAGTCGGTTTTGCGGTGTGTCGAGGGTCTAACCTAATTTTCGAGGGGAGTTTGGGTGAGCGGTGGTGATTGATTAGTTGGCACATGATCATATTCAATGCGAGGGGGCACCGTGGTATATTGATGAAGGCTCTTGACTCACATACGTAAGGTCATTGGTTCGACCCTCGCGTGGTGCATATAGTTCCCTGGACAAGGCGTTTTACCCTCATGATGTAATCCCTCTCTACCTGGCCCAGTTGTAAAAAGGGGTATCTGGCGATGTTGGGGGTAATTGCGTGTCCTGCATGAAGAACAGTACTGATGGACTATATACCCTGGGTATAATAAGACCCTGTTATAGGAAAGGAAATGTGTATGTTCTAGATGATATAAAAACTTGAGCATTGTAACGGACATCTTTGGTACTGGTGTGACTGATCTCTTTATTAATAAAGGCATATCAGAAAAATACAGACCTCATATTAATTTTATCTCTAGTAACGAATTAAATTCTAGTTTATAAACGTATCGTCTGGCTGGTTGTGGTGATGCAGCAGGCTGCGGGTGGATGTTTCGTTTAGGCCGGCCGCGGCCGGACGACCTATTTGTGACAAAGCTTTCTGACGCTCCATTCGGGAGGCTGCGGCAGGGGCTGCGGCCGGCGCATACATGCGGATATCTTCGGTATAAGTGGTCAAAGAAAGCAGTGTTTTGCATTGAATATAGATAAAGGTAGGAATACTTTTCGTTGTAAAGAAATAAGAATTAAACGCGAAGTTTCTTTCAATACAAATAATCGGCCAGATGTCAAGCAGAGTCAAATTAGATTGGATTAAGAATCACCTGATCATTCATTTTTGCCCGAATCAGGCAAAAGTTGGAATGACAAATGTATATTACCCCCACCCAATGACTTCTCATACTTGACTTAGTCATCATGTTGAGGTCCTATTTGTCTTATTTATAATCGCAGAAGGGAAGCTGGGTAGTGAATTACATATAAACTATGACTTTTGACCTACATGGGTGGCTTTTTCTGGGCGCGGGGGGGGGGGGGGTTGGGTGAGGAGACCAGAGTTTGAAGGTTGATCAAACGTACTATGCGAATGATGGTAGATTCATCTCTACTATCTTACAAAAGTTGCGATACTCTACGATGTAGCCAATATTTCAAACTCTCGGATGTCACGAATGCAGATTTTTCTACGTACTACTACGAAACGCTACGGAATACCGCCATATCGTCCGCCGGTTATACACTTCAAGGATTCTTGAAATTTGATTTAAGGGTATATCCCTTTCAAAATCAATCTCTAAGCTTTAAATGTTTTATTTTGTAGATAAGATAAACTCATTCTGATCTCGTATGGAAACATTAACCTTTGAACCGATTAGGGATCCCAAGGCGATAATTATTGCCTCGTGGTCAACTTACAACACTTGTCGAACTCCTAAATTTACTTGACATCAACCTAAAACGCAAGCAAGCACAATCATATCTAAAACCCTAACTCATACAATGATCTTTTCTTGACGAAATAAATATAAGATCACATCTAAATGGACTTTAAAAATCAAGTTGATCTTATTGTTTTTCTTCATTAAATCGCTATTGTGAAAGTCTTATGCCGTATGAAAACAACACTTCAGAAAAAGAAAACAACGAAAGTTGGGTATAGGATTAATTAATTGATGAAGAACTGGAAAATACTGCACACTTAAAGGTAGAGACTAGTTCTGGCCGTGCGATTGCATTGTGAAAGGAACGTTGTAGAATAAATCAGAAAAGGGTGATCATCTAGCATATATATGTATTGGTGTGCACTGCAAGGTTCTGGAATCATCAAAATGATACGAAATTTGACCAAGTCTTAGTAAAGTGACAAGCACTGTACAAAAAAAAATGTATATGGAACTACGTTATATCAATCCAGTCCGGATATATATAATAATTTACCAAATATATCAATGAGTAGGCGGTTTCCTGGCAAGATTTGTATCATCAGGTATCAGTCAAAACATATTCTTTCGCATGATTGGTAATAATAGCTTCCGTTTCATTTTTTGAGAGGGTGGGAGGGGGGGGGGGGCGTTTCCAAAACTGGTCTATACCTTTAAATCTATGTTGCCTTCATATTGAATCGTTTACCTGCAAGAACTTACCTGGGAGAGAGCTGACATGAATGTAGTCTGCATGTGGCCTTACAGAGGTCACAATCAGAACGTGCCTATGACTCTGATCCCAATATTAGCCGATATCAGCAGGACTTCTGTTGCCATGCCAACTACAGATTCAGCTATCCAAATAATAAGGGGAGGGGTGTTGAATGTTTCCATCGGGATGGTTCCTGCCTGCTCCTAACTTGTTTGCATTGTCTACTATAGGCGGGATACAATACAACCATAAAAATAAGATATTGCATGTGCTGGATAGGTTGATGTTACAGTTGTATTAAGTAGATTTTTATCCTCTTACTTTTAACCGACTAAAATGAAATGAATCTGATTAATTCTTTCAAAATGTTGCTATTCTTATTTATTTATTCATCTTAGTTTCTATTTCTATTTCTTTCTTTGTTCTACTTTCTTATTCCACTTTGCGGATAAGCAGACATTATCCTCTTTTTAGAGCTATTTAAGGGAGCAATGGACCTACCATGGATCTCGAAAAATAGTTTAATGGTTTTAATCAAACATTACACAATTGTATTTGTGCTTAAATGGAAGACATAATGACCATCGATCTTTGACATTAATTTCATTGTCTTTGTTGAAGCCTGGTACCATACACTATTTACCTTTATCACTTGATATATTTCCCCCAATTGTCATAACTTCGATCCTTCTTTACAATGCCTTTAGCATGTCTAAATAGATTAAGAATTATCTAGGTACGTATTGAACACCTGGGTCACGAGAGAAAACTGTAGATGAAAGGCACTGTTTTTATATTTTACGAACCGAGTTATGTACGTACTCTTTACTAAATCTGGCTACAAACTTTTAATTCTAAATCAAGTGAATTATCCACTAACAAAGTTGATTACCATTAAAAATGATCAAACCAAACATTTATTCTTTCCCAACAGATACCAGTAAATTCTGCTTCATCTTGTTAAGGACGAACCCGTCATGGATCGATTTGTGCCAAGCTTATTAGCGGTTCTTTGTCTGATCGTCTCTCTTCAGTGCTCAACGGCCCGCCGCCGAGGACCCTACCAAGGTGAAAATAATGATGGATGCTGATAATGAAGACGACGACGACAGTGACGATGATGATGGTCATAATGATGATGATGAATAGGACGACGACGACAATGATGATAGATATGACGATGATGATGATGATGGTGATAGTAGCAGTGGTGATGGTAGTGGAGATGATGGTGTTCGCGATGATGAAGATGATGATGGTAGTGATAATGGTGATAATGATGGTTGTTGTTGTTGGTGGTGGGGTGTTGCTGATGAGTTGTTGTTGTTGGTGATGTTGATGGTGTTGGTAGTGGTCATGGTGGTGTTGATTTGATGGTAATGATGGTGATGACGATGATGAATATGATGATGAAGATTATGATGAAGATGATAAAAACTATAATAGTATTGATGATGTGGACGATGATCATTATGGAAATGATTGTAAATATATTTTTTACTACCATTACTGTTACCGGTTTTACTGTTACCATTTGTTTATGTCATTATCCTTGTAACAGCACTAATGTTTTTTGGCAAGACATTAATCTACATTTTACACACTCTACCCAGGTGAGGTAAATGGGTATCCAGAAGTACGAAATTTCTTGAATGCTAGAGCGCCTTTTCATGATAGCTCGGCTAAAGCCGGGGAAATAATTATGATTGCAGGGCCCTCAGGGAGAACAGTATCAATTAATTATGATGACACTACCCTGGATAAACAAGAAATATTATTATCATTATTATTATTATCACCTTTATCGCAGAAACAACAAATTGTGGATTCCAGAGAGCAGACCTGGCTCCTGAGTTAATGATCACCGGAGGCCGCATAGCCCAAGCGGGAGAATGGCCGTGGCAGGTGGCTTTGCTGTACGAAGATTCCTTTCTCTGCGGCGGACAACTTATCGTAGAGGACTGGGTCTTGACTGCATCGCATTGCATGTAAGTAGCGCATGCAGCCGTAGAGCGTTAATTCTTCTTTCCGTATACCGGCTGCATACGCAGCGTCATTTCCATTGCGCTGTTTAGTAGGACCAGGGTCTTTGGTATACAGTCAGGCACATAATGCATAATTATGACAGTCCTATACTAGCATTCGCCAGGCACAGATGCAAGTCAATGGCGCAGGGATGCGATGGCTTAGCGCAAGGTTTGGGATTTAACAACAAAATTTACGTAGACGGAACATATATATAGCGCATGTAACCGTCGACGTATTGTTCTTATTTCCTTTTACTGACTGTACTGGGGGCGTCACTTCCACCGCGCTACTTAGTATAGGACATTCAGACAGAAAATGCACAGCACAGGCCAAAAACTATTCCACAGGCACACACTTATTTCACAGGCACAGACGAAAGTCAGTGGCACAGGGATGCGACGGTTTAGCACAAAGTCATCAATCTGAGATGGATTGAAACCCATGATCTATAGTTTGACTGGCTTACGAGAGTCGATAGTCGCTCTTTGTTGACTAAAACCACCTCCCTTCCTCAAGTTCTTTTGTCCGTTGCACACAAGGCGTCACTTCAGTTGCCTAATCATCTGCGTTATATATATCTGAGAAGGCATGTAACACATGCGCTATGCAGATGTTAGAAACATTGTTTGCACTGTACATGATATCACTCCCACATGACGTGGCAAAGACCAAGGGGGCGTTTCACAAAACTTGTCATCAATTACAAATTACATGTTGTGTTATAAGCTACTGAAATCCTTGCTTCTGATTGGTTATCAGCAGAATTGTCACTGATTTTTGTCATTTGTCAGTGAAAAGAGCTTTGTAAAACGGGTCCCGGAACATGCAATCACTGACGCAGACCTACGCCAATGCATGCAGGTGACGCATCGTGTACTACGGATTTGACTTATTTCTCTTTTCATATCCTTATCCCTGAAGCACCCACTTGAACAACCCAATGGGACACAGTATCATGATGGGTAGCATCCACCTCAACAACTTCACCGATGGGAGATACACGCAGGTCAAGGATGTCCTTGAAATCTTTCCTCATCCGAACTACTCTACGCTCATCAGCGACTTTGATCTCGCCCTCCTGCACCTAGCGGAACCTTTCGAGCTGACAGACTATGTCCAGACCATCTGCCTTGCCAAGGAAGGCATGGAAGAGATCTATGAACCTGGTACAGCCATGTGGGTGTCCGGATGGGGCGCCAAACAAGATATGGGTAAGAACAGAATTCCTTTAGACTGTGAAGCGTTGTCAAGTAAGATACGGTTACTATAGCTATAGGCGGACGGAGTACGTTGTCAAAAAATTCGCCATGTGGATTTGAATCGTATTTATATAACTCCGACTGTGAGACTGATCTTGATATCTTAAAGCCTATCTGTACTAGTTTGGCCAGGGGGATTATAACTCCCTGCAAGGTCACTGACAAGTGGTTATCTCATCAAATCAGCTCTCAATTAACATAAGAAAAAGGGGATCACGGGGGACCAACAGGCACCGACTAGGCATTGTTTGCTATATAGAGGGCGCAAGTACCTATAAGTAGTGCAGTGGGGCTTTAAACTTTTCTCCCTCTTAAAATTCTCTTAATTTGAAATTGTATAGGTGTTAATATGTTGTGTTAAATTGCTATTGAGACACTACTTGTTGTTCAGGTTTCTATGAATTTCGATTGCTATCATACTTTATGTCAATTATGATGATTTGAAATGGAAGTAAAATGTTTTGTGCCTGGGCGTATGTTGATATTTGTTTGTGATAAATAACAACCCAGCATGAGCCAAAATATTTTGGCGTGGTCATCGACCAACTATCGAGCTGATCCCATACATGTTCAATCAAATATCACCAGGGTTCTTATAGCTTCTCTTTCTCTGTACGTTTGTAATGCGTACTTTGTTTTGTTCTTGTTTTTCTTATACAAATCGAAAGGTATACATTTTTTATTCCGTAACGGGGTTCCATCTATCAATTTCATCCTTCATTGGGAACTTGTACACATGCCAAGACTTTTCTTCGAATAACGATAGGCTTCCAATCCTGCTGGGTTTATAAAAGATCAACGACCCAGGTCGATTGAATATCAGATGCAAGCGCGGTAAATAATACCACCTGCTTGAATTAGCTTCAAAAGGATCATGATTTGGCAAGGTATATGTTGATATTAGGCGGGACTGCACTACCTGTAGCTACTTGCGCCCTCTATATAGCAAACAATGCCTAAGCGGTACCCGTTGGTCCCCCATGATCTCCTTTTTCTTATGTTAATTGAGAGCTGATTTGATGTGACTGATAACCACCGGTCAGTGACCATGCGGGGAGGTCTAACCCCTCCTGGCCAAACTAGTGCAGACAGGCTTTATGTCCCATTCGATTATCGAGCATGATAGAATGATTAATAAAAGCATAGTTACATGTAATTGTCATTCGTATTTCGTCGCATTCCAGCTTTGGTGTGGCTATCAAGTATCAAGTTACAATCAACCTTTGACATGCCCTTAGTTTAGAACAAGATTAGGGTTGTATGCAACGTCTCGTTCACGTACCGTCTGCAAAGCAAAAAAACTGAAGTAAAAATGTTTATTTTTTCATTCACTTATTTAAAAATAATTATAAATGGTTATAAAATAAATTCTCAGAAGAGCAATGGTCCGAAGGTTGAACCTTGGGGACCCCACATGAGCTCATCAAGGAATTAGATGAAAACCACTTTGAATAATTAAACCTACTGCACTCTGTTCACGGGGCAGTGTTAAAACATATATACGTGACAGTTATAAGAATAAAATCCTTGAATAAGAAAATTTATTAGAATTGATATGAAATTGACTCAGCCTACATTGGACTACACACTTCTAGTATGGCTGTTTGGTCCTCGCACTCAAGTTATTTCTGGTCATATTTGAAGAGAAACCCTTTTCAGGAAACATTTCTCTCATGACTTTCTACCAAACTGACATGAAAAAATGACAAAGCCTTTAATATCTCATTTGTAATTGGTCACCTTTTTCCAGAATCTGGCTCTTCTTTAAACGTCAGTTGTGCCTTCCTTTCCTTATGCTCCACAGGTGGACTTCCTAAAACCTTGCATGAAGTGGAGATTCCTATGGTAGACCATGAGCAATGTCGGGTCATGTACATAGGTGAAGATAATATCACACCCAACATGATCTGTGCTGCACCTGTAGAAGGAGGGAAAGGACCATGTGGTGTAAGTATGATCATTAATGTATTCCCTTGACCTTTACCGGTCGATGATATAGAATCGCATGAATACATTACAACCATTTACCCTATTCTCTTAAAACACGATCGCAACTGCTTTCGAGAAATCAACCTATAAAGGCAATTTCAATATCCGTGTGCGTCACTTATTTAAAATGTGCGAACATGCCAATGATTTCTATGGAACATAAGATGTGTCCAATATATAACTCTACATCATGAATAGATGAGAGGTACATACACATTTTAAAGTTGGATGACATTAATTACAACAACAAGATCGTAACAACGAGTACATGCATGGGACAACATGAAACATTTCGACTTGTATTTCACCATCATAACACACAAGTAAGGAAACTTTGAATTGTATGAACTTTATTGCGATGGGGGAGGACCCTGTATATAAACACTGTGTTTACTTTTGACGATAGTTTGAATCATATTTCCTGTTTTGTTTGTATTGAAATACAAGATTTCAAAATCGGTTGCCAGTATGTCTACAAGATGTCTTACTGATATGTGGGTCATTGGCGCAACCAGGATTCTATGGGTCGGGGGGGGGGGGTACATCTGAAAAAGTGTGCTATGATTTTGATTTTCAAAGGAATATTCATGTCTGAATATTCTTTGACAAAAGCAAGAAAAAACTCCAATCTTCCGCAGAAGAGGAGGCACGCAATTTTGCCCCCCCCCCTCCACCGGGAAAAGGGGGGGGGGGATGCGTCCCATATGTCTCCCCCTTTAATCCATCATTGTACGTTCCTATGGAAATGTTGAAGGCGAATGAGAGGTATTGTGTGGAACAGTGCCTCAAAGTCCCCATGGGTTTGACATACGTGCTGTGAACCAATTCAGTAACTCGACCTCCAAGTTCATGACTATTTTCCGGTAATTTTAACATTGGCGCAGCAGCGGGAAGCAAAGGGGCTAAGGGATCGTTTAACAATGTTAAATCTGAGATACACGGCCCTACATGCTATCAGTGTCTGTGATATGGTGTAATATTGAAGCCCTAAAAAATTGCGCTTCAAAATGATCAAGAAGTGCCTCAAAAAAGTAAAAAATCTTTGAGTGACCGGTTTTACCATACTCGTTTTCCCCAATAGACTGTAGTGTTTTGAAAACCGTCAGGCGAACGGTTTTCAAAATTTGTAATTCCAATCATAAATATCTTGATAATCAGACAGGCGATCGGCTTGTAAAAGTCATGGGGGTCCTGACTGACCTAAAGGTTTATAATTATCATTGCATCATGAGCTAAATCCAGAATTTTGTTTCAGAATCTGAGACAAAGTTACCGGATCCCTTTAACGGTGCATCGAATAACGAGGGTTAATAAGTTGAAAAAGAGATAAACAGAGGGAGAAAAGAAAGTAGAGAGAGGAACGGGAACCCAAACTCGTCCCAAACTCGTCCACGCCCTCTCCACCCCCCCCCCCCCCCGTCGACATGACATCATTGTCACTGAATACATTAAATCCAATCTTGATACCAGACTACTCTAGAAGAAAAGAGAAGAAGCTGAAAAGTTTGAATGAAGTCATACCAAAAAATAAATAGATAAGGTCATGAATTTTTGACAGAACTAATCACTATGGGTACGGGCTTTTAAAATGGGCTGAATTGGGACGTTTCTGTGATATAGGGGTGGACAACTTTCCGAATACGGAAAAGGCCTATTACAAATCGTCTCTCAATTCATTTTTTCCCTCCTTGCTTTTCAAAATATCGTTTAGTCAATAACGCCATTTTGGGTCAGTTTAACTTAATTAAGTTAAGAAATCCTAGTTCCTGAAAAAACCTTATGCGTATTACATGCTTATACTGCTATTTCTATCAGTCACGACCATTATCACTATGTCAATGATGATGATTATCAATATTACCGACATTATTGTTAATATTGTTATCATCTTTTTCATTAGGTCGTGCTGCACCTATTGATGATATTCTTCAAAATTCATAATCATATGATTATCTTTTATAGTAATAATGTAATGGTTTTGTCTTTTATTATTTTTCCTTCTTCTTCTTCTTCCTCTTAATGTTTTTATCATCATTATTATCATCTTTATTATCATTTTATTACTATTATCATTTTCCTCATCATTATCATTATTATTATTATAATTATCATCATCGTCATCATCATAATCATCATTAGAATAGTCGCTAGTACTGCTATTATTTGGAGTATATAATACATACGCTCTAGATGAGATGGTGGGGGAAATCTGATTAGCCGACATTGATGGCACTGTCCACCTTGTACGTTTTTCGGTGATTGTTTTTAAAGCTTTCGGAGTGCAAAGAAATTACCCTTTAGATATGATTTTCGTTGCCAGGGGGACAGTGGAGGACCTCTTGTGTTAAAGAGAGGTGATCAATGGTGGCTAGCCGGGACTGTACTGGGTGGTAATGGATGCGGCAGCCCAGACTTTCCAAACGTTTTCCAGAACGTCATCGCTTACCAGGAATGGATTGAACCGATTTTCAGTAACCGTCTCCCCGAAGCCCGTAAGTACCTATAGGGTTAACACCCTCCCCTTTTTTATGAAAAAGGAATGACCTATGAAGGTAATCATGATATCAACAAATATTATACTACATATACTTTGGCGAGATTTTTCTCCGCGATCAATGCCAGGCAATAATGGGTCGTTCACATAATTATGACGCTTTTGACCGCCGCAGTTTCTCGCGTCATGTGCAAACGGACCTAAACACGAATTACTTTCTCCAACTCCTGACCAGCCACTCACTTAACCCTAATCATAAGCCAAATCCTAACCTTAAACCCGGTCGCAAACTAGGAGTACACTCTATTTTTGATTTGATATTTTCAGGTGAAAGTGTCGACTGAGCAAATATCGGACCATCTGCATGTCTCAATTTGTTGCTACATATTTAATATGACTTCTTAAAACACACCAATGTAATCCACTTCAATATGAGTATCCTTAACCTTTCCAAGTACGAGACGGATAGACGTGTAGGTAAATAATTAGATTTCAATTATGAAGTTCAGCCTCCTTTAGATCAAATCCACGAATCCGATACATCTACAGAATATTGAATGGAAGGGTTTAAGACGTTTGAAGGTATCTTAATAATCGAGTGGTTTAATCAATCGATTATAAATTACGAAGGTCGTCGGTTCGAGCCCCGGCACGACACGTATGTCCTTGAGCAAGGCACTTTATCTACATTGCTCCTCTCCACCCAGATGTCAATCGGATACCTAGTAAGATGCGAACGTCATCGTGGTTGTGCGCGTCCGTGAAGAAGGCAATCAGCTGGAATATTCCCCAGGGAGAGGAGAATGTACACTTTAATTTGTAGAATAGCAATTGAATTAAGTGACCGGGGTAATAATAATACTGTAAGTGCAGTGGTCAGTAAATTGTGCTTTTTAAGAAACTGGTATTACAAGTATTGTTAATAATAATTGATTAAATAATACTATTTATTTCTATACATATTTATCTGTTAATGTAGACATATCTAGTCAATTTTTTTTCACATTTAGGCATTCATTTAGTTATTGATTATTGATTGATTGAATTGTCTCTTCTAATTCTTGCCAGAAACAACACGTTGCCGGGATGATCAGTTTAGCTGCAAGGAGGGTTGGTGCATTGATTACTGGAGACGATGTAACGTGCGTGAAGACTGTATGCTCTCCACCGATGAACTCTACTGTGGTAAGTACGGGGGAGTTATAGCCCTTCGTCCAATTGGTCCTATATCGCAGTGGTTCCTTGTCCAATAATTTCCCTTCGACCCTTTCTTACGCCCTATTGACCATACGCCGAGACAGACCTACGTCATATTTGGTCCTAGATGCCACTAGTCCGATAGGCCTATGCCCCATTGTAAGTTAGTCCAATTCGTCTTACGTTCCTTGTTGTGCGTCACATTGGTCGAACATCCCGATAGCTTTAGGCTGGCTTCCTCCCATGTGTCCTCATTCCATCTGGTCTTATTGGTCCAACAAGCATTAGGTCTTACATCTCATAGTTCGTACGTCACATTGATTCTATGTCCGATCGGTCTTACAACCCACTGTTCTTCATCCTACACCAAATTCAAACCATTCTTTCTATATCCCATACTTCACATATATAATCTGTCTAAGAACTCTAGGTAGGCCTGACACTGGTCTTGCGATCCACTGTTCTTGTTTCCTACTGGTCGTATGAGCCACTTTTCACATTCCAGTACGTCCCACTGATCTTACATCCACTTCGTCTTACAACCCATAGTTCCCACATCTGTGCTCCTCCGTAGGTAATGGAAACTGTTTCCCCTAAATTCCACTGGTCCTACGTCCCTTTGGTTCTACAAATTCTTATTTAAAAAAAAGTAACCATCGTTCCTGCATCTCTTTGTTCATACATGTGTTTATTTTCATAACCTAGTGTTTTTACATATTTGGTAGATTGAACTATTGAAATAGTAATCAAACGATGAGAACTGAAGTTACATGACGAAGTGCCCTGCCGACTGTAATTTAGTATTTTTTAAGTTCGACGATGTAGGCCTACATTGGGAAAAACAGATTTTTTTAAAACTTTATAAAAGATTTACAGAAAAAATCGTCACGCACGGACTGGATTATATCCTGATGGTATTGACAAATAAATTTATCTTGCGGACACTGATACCATTTCAGGAAAATCTTAAGCAAATACCGACAATTAGTTCTGTAAAAACTGTTATGCCATCCGTTTCCTAAAGCAAAGCTTTTCACTCTCCATCTATGTAACATCATTTCATTTACAATAGAGGAAGAACTGAAGCTGTTTGACATGCATTTTCTCCGTCGGCTGAGCTACAAGAGCATCATAAGGAATTTTACAGTGGAAAATTCTCTCGAGTGCGCCAAGGCATGCGTCAGGACGAGAAAGCCGATGAAATGTGGAGCTTTCGACACGGTTGTTGGGCTGAACGACACTCGGAATTGCTCGCTGGGTGTTGAAGCATACTCTATCAAGGAATTAACTCATGAAGAAGCCGAGGAGGCCGGGGTATCCCACTTCACCTACAGATTCTACCCAGGTAAGTTGTGATGCCCTTCTTTCGTGAACTGTAGGCCTGGGGGTGTTTCACAAAGATCCTAATTTGAAATTATCTCCAAGTTGGACTTAACAATTATGGAAAGCCGTAATCATCTTTGAAAATATTTTGTAAAGTCATTTTGAAAGTCATAAAATGTTGATTCAAATCACTTTTATTTTCTATTATCAAGGAGATGTTATGTTCCTTGATGTGAATTTATAAAAAGTCTTAAATACTTAAATTTTCACTTTGAATATACTTCATTTAAGGCTACAAATGGCTCTCCATAATTGTTAAGTCCAACTTAGAGTTAAGTTCGACTTAGGATCTTTGTGAAACACCCCCAGGTCATATGCCTATAAACGACATACCTTTACTATATATGCCTGTTGTACACACGAGGCGCCATTTTGATGGCGACATTACCTACGTAGGCCCAAATAATGCCTGTTACGACTGACGACAATTAGGCGTAGTTAGATTCTATGAATATGAGCCTGGAGACCAATCCCGATCTTGATAAGGTGGGACCCAGACTTGTTTGATAAATTTTTCGGGTTCTGAAAATAAATTCAAAATAATAGAAAAACCTCAGTGGTTTGGTAAACTATAAATTTAGATGCGCTATTGATTCTTCCCTTTTTTATGATTCGCCTACAGAAGTCGGAGAGGACGAGATAACATATCACATCGGGATGCTCATTTCACCGAGCACCACTCGCAACTCCGACCAAGTCAAATTCGTCTGGAACCTCAACCTGGATGCCCCCGACTCCAACACCATCGTCTTTACCGTCATGAGTGTGAAGTCGTGGACAGAAGACTGCAGTAAACTTGGAAAGAGGGGCATGCTGATTGTAAAACCAGCAAAAAGTAGGAAGCGAAAGAAGAACAGGGAAAGGGCTGCTGAGGAACCCGACAGCATTAACACATGTCTGTCAGAGCTCACGAAAGGCGACAAGTTGCGATTCCATAGTCTTAAGGCTAAAGTGGTCTTCTACACTACCCATCTTCGTAAATATGCGCTCACTCTCGAGTATGAACCAGGTAAAAGGCTACCTTCTTTCTCGCTTTATCCTCTTTTGCGTTCCCTGTCATGGTCGCGTAGCACGACCTCAACTACTAGCGAAAAATCACCTCAATGGCAATTTCAAGACACCGTTGTACATTCCATAGAAATCATGTTCAGATTAAGTTGAGTTCTGTTCATGCGATTGCATTGCGAAAGAAATGTAGTGGAATCGATCACAAAAGGTTGATCATCTGATCTAGCATAATAAGTATTGGTGTGTACTGCAGGGTTCTGGAATTATCAAAAATGATAAGAAATTTGACCCAGTCTTGGTAAAGTTACAAGCACTGTACACAAGAAGATGTATATGCTACACGAACACATGGCATATAAATCCGTTCCGATTCTTATGATGCATATTTAGAATATTAAAGCATTGGAAGAGCAACATTTTTTAGGGAACATTTTTTATCTGATGTTCTACCACACTTGCATAATACAATGATAACGCTCACAAATTATGTTTCGCCTCTTCCCAGAGCTCAACCTTTTCTTTAAACACGACATTGTCATGTTTTACACATTTCATATTGGTGATGCACAATGCTACTGAAATTGCCTTTGGATGATTTTCCGAAAGAAGATGCGACTGTGTTCTTTCATAATCGTTATAAAATTACGTCTTTCTTCTAATCGCATGTTCTCTTTACGGTGATGGATTACGGTGGATTTCCCACATTATTATGGTGGTGGTGATTATTTTATCTGACTGTTAAGAAAGCATACATGCTTGTTAGTAAGCAACCAGACGGCCGACGGTTTTAGGTCCTCTCCGAGGGACCTGGTAATGAGGATTAATGCCTTACCAAAGGACACTAGCGCATCGACTTGATTTCGAACCCGGATCACCCCTTCATTTATAACTCTCTATTTATCTTTCTCCCATTCTCTTGTTCAATTCCTCTTGACCTCTTCATGGTCTTGGCTATTTCTTCTCGTTGACCTCTGATTATCGTCGTATTTCTCTTTTTTCAATGGTTGCTTTTTTTCCATTCGTTTGAATTGCCCCTCTAAAGTAGGCTTAAAATTCTCTCTTTTTCATTACATCTACTACGTAAATTAATATTGTATTAAATCAGATTTCAAGGTATTCTTATTTCTGTTTCTCTTTTTCAGTTCGTCACACTCCTCTATCTCTTGTTCACATAATATTATCGTACTCTAGCTGCCCTCGTCTACCTCCCGTATTCAACACTTTCTCCCCTCTCTTTATATCTCTTTCTCTCTTCCTCTTGATTCTCTTAAAATAATGTATTCCTTAAATGTAAATGCAATTCATTCTTTACGATGTTCTAAGTATTTCCACCTCGCTATCTTCACATTTTCTTTCGATACCTCTGCCTCAATATCATTACTCACTCTGTTTCTATTTTCAAAATTTTATTTTCACAATATTCCCTCATCGAATAGGTGCCCTTCATTCATTTCGTACACTATTTCCATAGGATACTATGATTTTGTAAACGTAGATTTCATTTTCAGAATATCATTTTAGATGAACTGGGGGTGTTTCACAAAACTTATCATCAATGACAAATGACAGTTTTTGTTATAAGCTAGTGAAATCCTTGCTCCTGATTGGTTATCAGCAGATTTGTCACTTGATTTTTGTCATTTGTCATTGAAAAAAGGCTTTGTGAAACACCCCTCCCTCCCCTGATCTCATCAATTGTCCAGGTCTGAGAGATCAGATACAACAGTAACTGTTTATTTTATTGTCAATTTTTGTAGCGGATTGTGACTTTACAACGTAGCCTTTTATTTTCCTAATGAAATGTTTTGTTGGTATTGTCTGATGACATAATGATGTTCTGTATCATTAATTTCCAGAATACAACTGCACTAAGACGATAATGTCCCCAGGTACCCTAAAGTCCCCGAAGTACCCCGGTAAATACCCACCTTCTCTTGAGTGCAGGTGGCACTACAAGGCGTTGCCCGGAAACGTCATCAATGTTCAGATGCGCGATTTCATGGTCGAGAAGGTACCCGATTGCGAGTTTGACTACGTACAGGTAAGACAATACTTCCGAAGGGCAGAGTCGCAGCCTGGAAATTTCGGGGGGGGGGGGGGGGGGTAAGGGTTCACCATTTCTTGTGGAAGAGGAGAGTACCGGATGGATGTCTTTTGTGGCAAAGCACGTTACATCATACAATCTCATTTAATATTCCGCAAGAGAATGTAGCGACCGAGGACACATTTGCATTTTGACTATTATTATTTGACATTTTAATTCATTACAGAGCTGTAATATGTAGTGTTACAAATTACACGAGAACAGAACGATTGTCTTTTTTAAGGGGTATTTTTGACATTTTTGTGGGGCACCTGGGGGAGGGGGTCACTGTTGGGAACCCACGCCCACCCCTTTGCTATGCCAGTTCCAACGGATGTACGACACTCGCTCCTGTAACAGTTGTTCCCCAGAAATTCTCTACACTAACCGAATACTTAACTTGAAACAATTCCACCCGGAAAAGTGTGATATAGGCTTCCTATAACATAAATTAGTATAAATAATCAGTTATTACTTTATCAAACGAATATTTTTTTTAATGTTATTACAATTTCCCTTTCGATTCCCCAAAATTAAATTAACACCCTCCCAAGCCTCTGTTTATATGGAGTAGTAAGAGTTGTCCTCTTTTGAGTCATTTCATGCCAGTTCTACTGTGCCAGACGAGGCCGATAAACAAGATCCATCCAATGTTAGGAACTGCTTGGTACTGGGATGGAATTGTCGATAATCTCTATTTCACTCATTATTCAATTTTTAGATATTTGATGGGAATACGACGGAGGCTACTCAGTTGACCGAGAAACGATGTGGCTTTGAATGGACAGACATTATCACGTCAACCAGTAATCAAATCCTCGTAGTTTTCGTCTCAGATTCTGAGGTCATGAAGACGGGCTTCAATGCTCTAGTCACATTCGAACGAAGTAAGTAAACACACATACACGTGTACAGTGACATCCAGCATTTATACAGTGGCGAATCAAATACTTAGTAATCTCTGACCGAGAGCCGGCAAAAAGTTCTAACATTATTTGAGAGAAAAGTCCTTCAGATTTGGCAGCATTTTTTTCGGCAGGGGGGGGGGGGGGTGTATAGCCGGGGCCACAGTTCTTTGTTTGTTGTTATAAAGTGTACTAAACATAATGTCATAGTAAAGTTTGTCTGGGGACTGGTTGCCTACCCCCCCCCCCCATCCTCTCGAGTCGCGTTGGAGTCGGCGTACCCCGTTGCCATTTTGCTGACCATGGCATACCTAAGATCGTTTTCTGCAAAACCTATCTGCCAAGGACTCCGGCAAATTCTTTTCTTGATTCAGTCAATTAAGGCTTCATAATTATAATCGAATTAATTTGTATAGATGGCCCCTAATTGGTTAACAGTAGGGGCGTTGCTCTTTTATACTGTACCTGTGTTCAAGTTTGTCGTCAGTCACCTAGTTTCCTGAGCTGGATTAAATTACCGCACTTCTATATCAGTGTAGAGTTCATTCAGCTCCGTCAATCCTCAGTTGATCAAATGCTTGATCTAATTCACACCTTCCGTTTCAGTTCAGTTCAGTTCAGTTCAGTTTATTTTATTCAAAACCACACAAAGCATGATATAATCTGTTACATAAAAAAGAGACTGGTACATCAATCAACATATTCTAACTTGATTACATCGTAAATCGTAATGCTAAATTTCCTGAACTTTTGTCACTTACTTGTTTTCAGGCACCGGCTCAAGACGGAGAGGCCAGCGACTGACTGCAGGCGACACGGGCGACTCTGTGAAGGACTCGAACTTCGTGTTTTATAGCCTTTGGGGGACAGCCGCTTTTGCTTTCGTTGTAATCACTATATTGGGCATTGTATGCTACATGTTGAAGAAACGCCTGAATGCAGCAAACGCCCTGGTTAGTACCTTCAAGAGGAACAACATCGTCTTCGATTCTCACTGAAAGCGTGAAGTCACAGGCTTATACTCTTGAAGGTGGACTAGTTTAAAACTTTGTTTAACTTGGTCCACTTGATGTATGGAGCGCCAAGTGTAAAGATCTTTATTCTATACAATTACTGTTGTCGTATTTTACCAAAATAAACGAAAAATATTCTGTCATAAAATAAAAATTATACCGGTAAATTAATTTCATATTGAAATGAATTTTGTTTCTTCATCTAGTTACAGAACTATTGTATTTTTTTAAAATTAGGGAATAGGGAGTTTTACACTTAGCGCTCCATAAATCAGTATACTAAGTCTACACCCTTAAACCTGGAACTGACTTTAGTACGCCTATAATCGGTAGCTCGCGAAGTGAATGGCTAAAATCTGCCGCTGTCAATAAATTGTTTAAGTAAATCAGAATATTGTTTCTATAATCCAAGTTTACCTTCAATTATGTGTTATAGTTTGCACAAAGAGTGCATACGTTACATTTTGGTCCTGATAACAATTTATGAGAGTTTCTCGAATGGTAAGAATTATTTGAATTTGTATTGTAGAAATGTTTGAATTTCAAATGTCACGAATTCAAATAATTCCTGCCAACCTACAGACCCTCAAGAATGTCATCCTCATCGTTCATGGTTATTCTATATGTCATTTAACTTGCCTACGGCAAAGGATGTGATTTTGATGTTGATACTTGTACGCACAAGAATTTTATTTGCCGTTTCGAAATAGTTACGTTAAAAGATAGTGTAATAAAAATGAAAATTGGATGTAGAAATTATAATGAAAAGAGAAATGTTTCTATAGCAAAGGACAACTATTAGACCTATTACCCTACAGTAATATTTTCAAAATTTCCATTAACCACCCCCCCCCCCCATTCTCCCCCGGAATTACTGATATTTAGCAAATTAGTTAACATTTTGTGTCGCCCAAACTGTGGATTGTTGTGTTAAAGTACGAGATCCGAATATTTTGTATATAACATTTTCATATTTTGTACATTTTGTATATTATTCACAATATCCCCATTTAAAACATTTTTCTGTGAAGTAAAACATCAAAAAGAATTTTGCGAACATTAAAAATCCTACTTTTTTATGAATTTCTGCGGGAATACACATTTCAATGCCTTTGATGTTAAGGCAAACAGCTATGAAAATGCATTTACTCTGCATTTCCTATTCTTGCATATATATTCTTACTACTATTTATGCTAGCAGTAGCATGTATAAGATCAGTAAATGTAATATTATATCAGAGCTGAAAATGCCAATATATTTGTTACTCAATAATTACCCTTTTTGAAGTGCATGTTCCTAGACAAGTTTATTTCATATTACTTAAATCGCATATCATTTGCAGCTTTAAGATCCTCAAAAGAACATCAGGCTCGCTAATATGTTTTTTTTTTAATCTATCCTTTTCATCGGTAAGGCCTACCTTTGAATTGCTAAATAAACTTGTATAAATGTTTGGTTTCGGTGTTATAACAGCATGTGTGTTACCACGCCACGGTATCCATTTCAAAATTGGTTCAGCTCAAACACGTCTATGCACTTTTTGATATTTTATCCTTTGTAATTAAGATGTTCATGAAATGTAGAAATTAAAGTTCTTACACAGGTTATATCTGTACACCCTTTTGCTGAACGTCAAGGAATTTATAGTTCTCTTGATGGTCTTCACTGTATTTCATAACTTTTTTAAAACATGTTTAATGAGAATTTTTTCTCTCATTCTCTACTTTTGGTGGGGGTACGAGAAGGGAGTACAAAGCCACGTGCCCCTAAAAGCTAGTTATACAGAGATCCATCTATTTTTATCAATCTTGCTTCCTCCGCAACGGAGAAAGAAAATTCGATAAGAATAAGAGGAATAATCCGTATTTAAACCGAGAGAAGAAAGTGAGCCAGAGAGAGAAAGAGAGAGAGAAAAAAAAAAGAGGAAGAGAGAGAGAGAGAGAGAGAGAGAGAGAGAGAGAAAGAGAGGGGAGGGGGACATGAACAGACGGAGTAAAACAGGTTTCTTTGTACTTAGAGAGGGAGAACGCAGGAAAGAGAGAGAGAGGCAGAGTCGTAGTTCGGGATTTTCTCTTTCTGTCATTCTCTCTCTGTGTCTCTGTCTCTCATCTCCCAATCATCCATTCTATCTGTCTATAATCTCCATCAACTAATCTCCGCCCACTCCTTCCTGTCTCTCTCTTTCTCCTCCCCTCTCTTCCTCACTTTCCCTCATTCGCTCCACTCTCTAAACCTCAATCTCTATCTAACTGTAATAATCACGCCAGATATATCAAGTAAAAACTTATTTCTTCATCGAATAATTTTATTTGAAAAATTATATGATCATAGTATAAAAAATGATGATTTGTAAAAATGATTAGAGTATCACAATATTAAAACACACATGCACCAAACTTCAGTCTAATGTTTGAATATGAAAACAGGAGGGATTTATGGCGTCATTAGCAAGATAGTAATTCGTATATATAACTACATTGCTATCAGGGGCAGGTCCCCTAACCCCAAACGTTAGAGGGCGTAGAATCCCCCAAATATGTGACAAAAATTGAAAAGGGGGAAAATATCACATTTGCATTGCCTTTTGTGACTGAAACTAATCAAATGATCATTTATAATTACAAATAATCGTTTAAATTGCTAGATTAGGGCCTTCTTAAAATAACGGTCAGTTGTATTCCATGCACAAATACGATTGTCACCATTAACATAAATGACGCTAAGTATCTGAAGCAAAGAGTCCCTTCGTAGAAGAATTACGATAACCCATGATATTATATGCCGTTCTTTTACCACTATAACGAAGCAGTTAGCAGACGAACATTTATATTCAAATCTGAGCTAAGCAGCTCTAACTAGAAAGAAAATTGAACGCCATTTTGTTTTAAAAAAAAGGACGAACGTGACGTAGCTCTATATGTTTTTAAGGGGCTCAGGCACAAAAAGGAGACATTACATGCATTTCCAAGACAATGAGCCCTTCTAACAAGCACAATAAATAGGCAATATATATGTATGTATATTCCATTCAAATTCATTTGTGTCTTCAAATTTAAATGATTTATTTCACATCCCTTAAAAAATACAATGTATGCAGAAATAAGCAATTTTAGAGCAATTTTAGAAATTGTTACTGATAATACATATAATAACCTCCCAACTTCTAAGTTTATTATTTATATATAGAATCTTAGAAGTCGTATTTAATCGGTCTACCACACATTATTACAGAACAAAAACAGTACTGATACGAGTATTTGCACAAGCTTTTCTTTTTACAATATTCTCGTACATCTGTTACCATAATGAAATTGCAGCATCAAGCTGTATCATTAAAAAAAAAAACCTTTGTATCATTATGCCGTTGAGCTGACAGGGACATTGCGATAGTGGGTTATGCACTGTAAAGATCCTTTGTCTGACGCTAACTATAAAATATTAGGCTTCGAAAATAGAAGGGTGTTTTTAGAAATCTCTCTTGATTTGATAATAATATAATAGCTACATATATATTGCGCACTCATCCATCCCTTGGCATGTACAAGGCGCCTATAAAGTAATATTATAACGCTGGCTTTAACCCAGCTATACCCTAAGTCGGTAAAAGCATTCAATAAATAAATCCCTGCCAAGTATCCATCTACTACACCTGGGTCGAGAGTGGAAAATTCAGATGAATGTCTTGCCAAAGGACATTAGTGTCGCGGCGGGACTCGAACCGCGAACCATGTGATCAACAGTCTGGTGACGTAACCACTAGACCACGACATATCTACTTCTACTTTATATATTACGTCACATAAACATCAATCCAAATGTGATGAGCAATACAAAACTATACAAGTGCAACAACTGCTCAACTGCCGTAACCATATATGTTATCATACTTATAGCACATAAATGAAATGTATGGCGATATGCATGGTTCTACATGCACGAAGCAAGAGAGGGGGTTACGGTTTCCTCGCTGGTGCCATACTTTGTTTATACCTCGTCCATTTATCTTGCCCTACTCTGAGAGTTAGAAACAAAAAGGGGAGAAATAATATTGGAGAACGTTAGTTTTGATTATTCAAAATGATTTTAATGTTAAATTTCCAGATATAATACTTGAATAGCTACCAACGTTTTGGTATCTATACTGCTTTCTTTGTTACTACTACGTCTACCACCAGTGCTACTACTACTTCTACTACTACTACTACTACTACTACTACTACTACTACTATATTACTAATTTTACTACTACTTCTACTACTACTACTACTACTACTACTACTACTACTACAAGTACTACTAATACAACTGATGTTGCCATGTCGTTAACATCATCACCATCATCATATCGATGATGATGATGATGATAATAACGACAACGATGATAATAATAATGATTATCATAATTATTACGATAATAATAATGATGATGATGATGATGATACTATTACTTATAATGATAATATAACATTAATAACAATAATGATAATAATAATGATCTTTCTGCCCAAGGCCTTCTGGGTGTACTACAATACTTCTGGAAAAGCGATAATTACCCGAACGATTTCTTCGCGTCTTCACAGCCATTCGTTCTCTTACACGAAGTCCACATCGTAAAAAGGATTTCTTCACCCCCGCACAGCGCACACTGGCCAGTCCACGTGGTTACCTTCTTACCTCCATCTTCGGAGAGCGTAAAACCGAAGGTGGTATAATGATAGCGACGTGATGCGTAGCCTATGAGGTGGCCTAGAGCTGGAGAATGGAACAAAATATGATCGCAAAGGCTTTCCAGAAATTTGGGTTTTGTATTTATTAACATTTATTTTCTTCTCAACAGTACAATATCAAACACAATGGCCCGAATTCACAAAGCAAGGTTTGAGCTCAGACCGGGTTTGAGCTCAAACCTCCTTTTGTTTCGCCAAACCTCCTTTTGTTATTTACAAACCTGGTTTGTAAATAACAAAAGGAGGTTTGGCGAAACAAAAGGAGGTTTGACCTCAAACCTTGGTCTGAGCTCAAACCTTGCTTTGTGAATTCGGGCCAATGTATATATACATGATATATGTAACAATTATTTCAACATAGAGTACACAGTAAATAATTCAGATACAGAAGGAGGCGAAAGCCCGGAAAGCATAGCTTGAGTTGGGAACGCCCATAATAAATTATCACAGTTACCGAGAGAACATTATAGACATTATTGTGAAATCAACGAAAAGCAAATTAAAATGATATTGTTCATTAATTATTGAAACGCGTGAACATTGCAATCAGATCCTCTAAAACAAGTCTCCTGCTCATGCGCATAGTAATATAATTATGTACAGGAATATCTATGAGATTCGTAACAATGTTTTAAAAAAGAAAGTGGAAAGCAAGAGAGAAATACTCACGCCCTTGACCAGTAGAGTTGGCGAGATCGGTAATGTAATCCCCAAGGATCAGTCCGGTTGAAGTTAGGTCAATGTCTATACGATCGTTACATTCATTGTACCAGTCACCCGAAAGGTCACAGAATCCAACTAAAATCGAAACAGATCAAAGTTATTTGCTTGATCAAAATCAACTGCAGTTATAAAACCTGAAGGGAAAGTATCTCAGGCAAAATACTATACGGGCTAACACAACTGGAAGAATGTAAGAATTACACGATTGTAAACACTTTCGCCAAATCTAACTATTAAAGCAATGTCAGTAGCCTTGTGCGTCATGGTTTGATAAAATGGTGAACGGGACAATGACAAATTTCATAATCAGAGCAGTGAATCATAAAGGAAATGCATTAGTTTACTTAAATTGGCCCTAATGCGATTTCGAGAGTATTTGCGATCGTGTGAAATGTATATTTGAGAAAGGAGTCAATGTTTAGCAAAGTTACGTAAATGTGACGTCGTCACTATTAAATGAATTAATATTTATCTTTATACAGCTATCAGCATGAACACACACTGCAAAATGTATGTTTTTTAAAAGAGAATTTTTAATAGCCAAACATTTCGTTATAATCATCTCCTCTTTTACATCAAATATGCCGAGCCTACCAACGGTGTAGCTGAAGATTCCAAGTAGTACATCATATTAGACCAACAGCCATCGGGACCGATCGATAAAACCGTTTTGGTCAACGTTCAATTTTATTCTAAAGACCCACGAGACGGATATTTTGGTCTCGTTGGCTGTCGGTCTCATGATTATGTTGTTATATATTGTTCATCTTGAATGGGATGATATATCCGTACCTGTTCGACAATTCCTACCGGAGTACCCTTGTCTGCACTTGCATTGGTATACACCGACTCCTTCTACACAAGTGCCACCATTTTGACAGGGTAGACTGCTACATTCGTTGATATCTGAAATATAAGAAACAAGTTACACGTAAACGAGCCTCGGTTTATGAGGAGAAATGTATGAAAATATATCACAATTTTACATCTTTGTGGAAAAAATTATTGCATTTTGTTTTCGTTGAAATAATCGTATGTTGTGGATTTAATCAGCCGGTATGTCTCCATCATCATCATCATTATCATCATCATCATTATCACCATCATCATCATCATCGCTACTATCATCATCATCGTTATCATTATCATCATCGCTATCATCATCATCATCAAGTTGGAACAACCTCACAACAGTTATTTTGAGAGTAACTCCTTTGCACACATCGAGAGGGTAAGTTTATATCATTATTACGCCTATTCATCCCACTAGTCACTAGGTAATGTCATCCTAATTCTACTTCCTTTTAAAAAAAAAATCTTTAAAAAGCGTTTCTTTAAACCCTCGCTATTAGCGGTAAATATTTAAAGGAAGGAAAAGTGAAACAAAGTACAGTGTATATGCATGTACATACCGATTTCACATCGATCTCCGAAATATCCAACAGGACACTCGCAAATGTAGTCAGTAGAACCTTGAACTAGGCTCACACATGTGCCTCCGTTAGAACATGACCAGGGTCTACAGACATCGGAAACTACACAGAGAAGAAACAATGATCAGATTCTTTAAAAAGAACTTTTCGGATATAGGGTCGTTCAGATAATTATGAAGCGGTAAACTGCCGCACAAAACCGCTGCGTTTTTTTAAACGTGTAAATGAATAGTACATTTAAATGCGCGCAGCGAAGCTCTCACGAGTATTCACTGAGCTCTGTTTTATACGATGCAGAAGTGTGAAGCGTATACTTTACGTCATCATGAAACAAACCGCCGCGGTTATTCAGCGTCACTTTCAAAACAAGGCTTTAGACAGTGAAATCATATAGGATGTAAATCTTTAGAAGCCTTAAGAGCAGTTAGACATCGTAATTACACACCCTAAAATGACAAATATCACTCATTTGAGCTGCCACTAAACAAATGTTTCGATAATCCAATTACAAATTTGTAGAATCCTCAAGAGTAGTTACATATCCTCACGTGAGTCTCTATTAAGACAAGGGTTACCAAGGGTGACTACACAACTTGAAATAACATTACAAAGATGGAGGACCTCCCCTATTTAGGACTAATATAATGTATACCTCTCCTTAGGATTATTTCCCTGATGCACAATTTACAACGTACATTCCTAACCCATTGCCTGCTGGAACCGGGCGGTTTCTGCAAATGCAGAAATTTAGTAGTCAACCGGTTAAGCAAACAAGGAAACCAATTTTCACCGGCCCCAAAGTTTTTTGTTTTGTTTTATTTTGTTTCCAATGTGACTAAGGCTACTATCTTACTTTACAAGTTATAACAGAAGATAGATAGGGTGCTTCCCCTTCCCCCACCTACCCTCACATCTCACCTTATATCAATATCTGTCTATAGTGTGAGCAAAGTTTCTTACCAGAGGCACAGTTTTCCCCGTAGTATCCCTGAGAGCAGTTACACGTATAACCATTGACTTCATCCTCACAGGCTCCTCCATTGAGACAAGGGCTACTTTCACATTCGTTCACATCTGAAATGAAGAAAATATTGTAAATATTGTGAAAATTAGAGAATAAAAGTAAAGGAGCTAATACTCAAAAATCGGGAAAATTAGCAGTAAGTTGCATAAAAGTCCTACTGAATGATTGGTTTTGTAAAGTACATTGGAATAGTCTAATGTGGTGGTAAAGTTTGTATTGTGCTTCGGAAAACTTCGGAAAGTAGAACAAGTTTCAAATAAATAAATCATTATTTGTCAATTGCACGGAATCATTTATTTATTTTCAATTTTTTCTATGTAATAATAGTAATGTGTATTGGAGTGGCGTATGCATAAGCAATAATATTTAGTGGTTAGAAAGAACAATTTAATTAGCAACAACATGTTTAAAATAATGTTGTATTATAGCTTGTACTTGTAAAATGGTTCAGAGACACATTACAGGTTGTAATCACGGAATCATCGTCATACCAAAGGCCGAAAGCGAGGGGATTAAAATATTAAAACAAACTTTTGAGTGATGATAATGATGATGGGGAGAAGGAGGAGAAACACGAGGGCGAGGAGGACCGGGGAGGATGAGGAGGAGGAGGAGGAGGAGGAGGAAGATGATGGGGGGGGGGGGGGGGAGGGGGAAATAAGTGGTAATCAAGAAAGGGATGATACTATCATGGTAAGTAGGCAAACGACGATAATGATGATGACGACGATGATGATGAAGACGATGGCGAAAAAGATGATGATGGTTTCAGGGGTCACGATGATTATCATGATACGAACATGCAACTTTGTAAAGTCTCACCTGTTTCACAGTTTGATCCAGTATAACCAAGGGCGCAGTCACAACGATATCCGTTGATTAAGTCACTGCATACACCACCATACAAACATGTGATACTCTGACATACCTCGATGTCTAAAAATAAAAAACAAAACAAATGGAATTCTTGTTAAGGGAATTGTTGTACAGTTGAGGGAAAATACACCATCTAATTGTAAACCCATACATCTGATTTGTTGTAAAGAAGGATTAAACAGTCCAACATAGGCAAACTCCATGGTTGTCTATATATTTTCGTTGTTCCTGTGTATAAGGAACACAATATTAGGCATGTAATAAGGGGGAGGGAGGGGGCATTGGCCGAATGATAGCGAGATGTCTGTCTGAATATCGGGGCTTTTGAGAACGTTTCATCTTGTCTTATGAACTGTCATATGACTTAAAGAAGGTCCGCAAGCTAGATCATCGTTTACGTGGGCTAACACCTTTTCGGTGCGGCCTGTCGAACAGCTGTGCTGCATCAGAACTGCATCCCAGGGGAGAGGAGATGGTAACGTTGATCGTCATCGGAGTAGGAGTTTTCATCTTTTGTACTTATATGTGAGAGTTTTGTTTTATAAGTATCCTATACTAGACTTGGTAATTATCTTTAAACAATCAATTTGATATTACAAATTATCCACCTGATGCACAATGCGTTCCTGTATAACCTGCAGAGCAATTGCAAGTATATCCATTGACTTCATCGGTACACGCGGCGCCATTCTGACACGGGTTGCTTTCACACTCGTTGATATCTGAAATTAATTCAAAATACTTAAATCCAGTTAAAATGTGATATAAGAATGCGTGTCACCGTATTGCACAATGTCCCAAAAGCCATAAAACAGCAGTCATATCAATAATTATAATTATAATAGTTAATAATTATTATCCTTGCTTATATAGCGCCTAGCACTTACTTTATCAGAAATCTCTAAGCACTCTACAATAATGCAGCATAATTACCCTGGCTTTAGCAGTGCAGCTGCTACGCGCGCTGCGTTTCAAGAAATAAATTTCTACCAGGTATCCATTTACTTCACCTGGGTGGAGTGTGGCAAATGTAGATCAATGTCTTGCCAAAGGACATTAGTGCGGCGGCGGGACTCGAACCGCGGACCTTGTGATCGACAGTCCGGCGACGTATCCACTCGACCACAACACCTCTACGCATTAGGCCGGTGTTTTGTTGTTGATTTTCATATGAATTAAAAAAATATTTTAAACACATTACATCGGGTGAATATAAAATCTTTCTTCGTGAAGCTCATGGTAGGGAAATAAAACAGGTAGTTAGAGAAGTTCCATTTTTTTTTCATTAGGAATTCTATTTACCTGCTTCAAATAATATCTTTTATGAAAATATTATGTTTAATTCACCAAATTTCGCGAGGTCAAAGGAGTCTTAGATGAGTTTAGAATTTTCCGAAGATCATATGAGTACATAAAGACAAATGCAATCTTATTCATTTCACATCATTAAATAATTTCATTTCAAAATCAAGCGACCTTCACCTTCATCACATGAGGATCCTGTATAACCTGGTGCGCATGTGCAGGTGAATCCACCAATCCCGTCAAAGCAGGTTGCTCCATTTTGACAAGGTTTCGGTAAACAGTCGTCTATATCTGAAAATTAATAATTAAAAAAAAATCAGTCAGTATCCAACTTTGTTTCTGAAATTAAATTTGACTCATTCTATTTCCGACGCACTTAACAAGTACCATATTCATATTTGATTATACATATATAGGCCTATATGTTCCTCCTATTCGTCACCCACATTTGTTTTAATCATTGAAATGAAGATGAAATCTGTTGACTCATCCAAAGGATAAAATATTTAGTGAGGAAACAATGTACATATGTAAATGATACGTTTTGACTCTGTCATTTAGGGTAAACAATGGGTTGCCCTAACATGCCTGTTAGTTGATTTTGAAAATGATGTTATGGCTACGTATATCTGCCAGTTACACCTTGGTAGGCATTCATACACGCAGAACTTAAATTCATACTTTACTTGAAATATTGAGTCCCTATCTTACTAGATTCACAATTCGATCCGTTAAAACCAACCAGGCAGTCACATCGATATGCATTGATTTCATCTATACACATTGCTCCGTTTTCACACGGGTTAATGGCGCATTCGTTGATATCTGAAAAGAAATGAAGCAGCACGGGGCACACAAAGATATAAATGAATTTACAGTATTATAATGATAAAGCAAAAAGAAAAAAAAACGCAACTGTTGCTATAATGACCTAACTTGTAGAATCTGAACATGACCAAAAAAAGTATCGACATGTCTCTGATATATCTTTATCTTTATCCATGATAACTGAACGAATAAAGCATATCTGTACTAGTTTGGCCAGGAGGGATTATACCACACTGTCACACAGCGAGGTCACTGACAGGTGGCTATCTCATCAACTCAGCTCTCAATAACATAATAAATAAAGGATCATGGGGGACAAACATGCACCGAGAGGGAAATTTTCTATAAAGAGGGAGCAAGTAGCTACAAGTAGTACAATGGGCTTTTAAGTAGAATAAATTTATGAATTAGAAAACAGAAGAGAATAATCATAGAATAGACTCCTAATGAACCTCGTATTGATTTCACTAATTGCGAGTAAAACGAAAAGTGTCTGAAATTTCTTACTCGATTCACAGTCTGATCCGTTATAACCTGGCAGGCAATCGCATTGATATCCGTTGATTTCATCTGCACACGTGCCTCCATTCTGACAGGGGTTCGATGCACACTCATCGACGTCTATAAAACAAACAATAACATACCAGTCACACAAAGCAAGTGGATAAAACGATTGCTTTGTTCTGAAGATTAATGGAAGTAAAACTACATTCTTTACGTTATCAACATTTTGAAATGAATTTTGGCCGCTTGAATCAGTTAATATTTTCTTAATTCATTAAATTCTTACTTGATGCACACTCTGCTCCAGTGAAACCTGGTGAACATTGACAGTTGTAACCGTTAATTTCATCCATACAGTTTCCTCCATTTTGACACGGGGTACTTGCACATTCATTGATATCTGAAATAGATGGAAAATCGAATTACTACGTATATCAACTCGAATTACTGCGTATAACTACTCGAATTACTACGTATAACTACTCGAATTACTACGTATATCAACTCGAATTACTACGTATATCAACTCGAATTACTACGTATATCAACTCGAATTACTACGCATATCAACTCGAAAGTGAAATTCGAAGCAAAATCTAAAAAGTGGAGACGGCCTAACATTCTGTCAACTACACGGCAAAGACTCTTTACAGAACTAGTATGGGGATGATCTCCTTTAGAATGCTGGTAGAAAAAAGCCTTTGCATAATTATGTTAAACTTTGCTACCACCTTTTCCGAAACATAGGGTTGCTGGATCATAGCAAATTTTCAACAAAACAAAAAGTCATTAGAAATTACTAATAGAAACACACAGTCCACATCTTTAAGCTACCGTCTACAGTAACTGTATGTGTAATAGCATAACGCTGGCGGTCATTTTTAAAAGCGTGAAGATGTAAATGTATTTTCCTTTGTCTAAAATCCTACCTGAAGCGCAATTTGATCCTGTATATCCTGGAGAGCAGGCGCATTGATATCCATTGATTCCATCCGTACAAGTACCACCATTCTGGCAAGGGTTCGAGGAACACTCATCGATATCTAGTGACAAATAACAAAATATGAATTACAAAAAGCACAATCTCAAAACCTTTAAGAAATCAACCTATGTCAAAAGCCTTGTACATCACTTTTTGGAATATGCTAACATAATAGTAACATGTTACATAATCCGACTATGAACTTCTTAAGGCAATACAACATGGTTTCCAAATTTGCCTTAAGTTGATTTCTCTAAGTCTTTGCGGTCATGTAAAAATGAGTGATTTGTGATATAGATCAATGAAAGTAAATATTAAAATGCCAGACATTACTGTAGTATCACAGAAAAAACAAAACAGGTCAGCTTACATCGGCTAACATTTAAATATTTGATAAATTCTTACTTGATGCACATTCTGCTCCATTGTAACCCGGTGTGCAATCACAGTTGTAGCCGTTGATTTCATCCGTACACGTACCATCATTTTGGCAAGGGTTTGATGCACACTCATCGATATCTGGAGATAATCAACAAATTATGAATTATAAAAAAAAGCATGATCGCAAATACATTCAAGAAATGAACCTAAGGCAATGTATAGCCTGGTGCACAACCCATTATAACGAAATGTAATAATATCCGACAACCCATTATAACGACATGTTATAATAACCGACTATGATTTCGTAAGGCAATACAAAGAGGTATTCAAATTGGCCTTGATTTGATTTATCCAAGTCTTTGCGGTCATGCAAAATTAAGTGATTTGTTATATAGATCAATGAAAGTAAATACTTAATGCCAGGCATTACTGCAGCATCACGAGAGAACTTAAAATAAAAACACGTCAGATGCTTTCATCGGCGAACATTTTAATATTTTGTTAAATTCTTACTTGATGCACATTCTGTTCCAGTGTAACCCGGTGAGCAGTCACAGTTGTAGCCGTTGATTTCATCCATACAGTTTCCTCCATTTTGACACGGGTTACTTGCACATTCATTGATATCTGAAATAGATGGAAAACATGATTACTCTGTTGCAAACCAGGTAATTGAAAAAAGAGTGGAACTGGCCTTTTCTGACACCACACGTGTTCTAACACTTTGCACCTGTGTTCCTGAAAGCCCCTCTGCACTACTTTTGCATGGAGGGATTAGACCTCCCTGCAAGGTCACTGGCAGTTGGTTATCTTATCAAATCAGCTCTAAATTAACAAGGGCATCATGGGGATCAACGGGTCACGCTAAGGCGTTGTTGGCTGTATAGAGGGGGCAAGTAGCTATAAGTAGTGCAGTTGGGCTTTAATGGGAATGTTTTGCTTTTATAATCGCGGTAGTTTAAATCTTCTAAATGTGTGTTGTTCCTTTGATGAAACAGAAGCATGTCAGAACACAGCGAAATAACCTTCAAATGAAAAAAGAGATAGAGTCAATGTCTATACTATCTTGAATGAATCCCATTTGCATTTTCTTTTTTAAAGTGGAAGAGTGTCTTATCTATATTTGTTCTACCATCAGCTTATTGGGAGGGGCTCACAAGCGAGGTTATTTTCCTTTCGTGCTTCGTGAGCATTAGCTGATGGTTTCATTTTCCCTCTCTTTCTCTCTCTCTCTCTCTTGTTATTGTGTGTCGCTTCCTTAAATTTTGGTTATTATGATACTCATGTTCGTCCTTGTAAAAGAAATAAACTATAAAATATAAATAATAATTTGTATAACTACCTGAAGCGCAATCTGATCCTGTATATCCTGGAGAGCAGGTGCACTGATACCCATTGATTACATCCGCACAAGTACCGCCATTCTGACAGGGGTTCGATGCACATTCATCAATATCTGAAATAAGAATTGCAAAGAAATCGAAATGGAGATTAGAAAACAAAAAACAAGTTATTCGTAATCACGTTCATTACCATAAATAAATCTAGGGTAGATTCTAATCCAATCCAATCCGAGACTTTGTATAGTGTCAGTATTTAGTTGCCTAACCAAAGGCGATGATGAGACTGAAAAGCTACTGTATACTGGGAAAGACTGGGGTAGTGGTTAGTGGTAAACAATGTGGAATAGGTACGTCTTTAGCTGGGTGTTGTGGATAGTGGATAGAAGTTTACATACCATAGCTGCAGGAGCGGTGAATGATCTATCGCCAAACAGAGACAATTTTTGATGACTCTCAATCAGTTACTTACCTTCTGATCGCTAATTCGCTCGAGGATTATATAGGGGTAAGTATGTCCGAAATATACACTGGGGCAAATCCATGCATTGCATACCATGTTAATACAATAATGTTTTATCTATTCTTTTTTTTTACAGGAAGCCATTGCATTGCAGTAAGTGTTAGGGGTTATGCGGTTATACTATCAATAACTTGGATTGCAACATCTTGACGGCAATTCATCAAATTTTGAGCCAGACGGGCTTTAACTCTTATACTTTAAAAACAATGTAACGCCCTTTTGGTTTTGAACAGACATAGTGTTTAATAAAGCTTTCGGTCGATATTAAGAACCACAACGCATTTAAACTTAAACTGAAAAGAACGATACTTGCCATTTATTGATTTATTGAAATACATAATTGATTCATATATTTTGTTAGCATGTAACATTATTATTATTGTATTGTATTGTATCTGTTTGTTTTTATGTTTTGGGTTGCTCGTTTACAAGTTTTTAACTTATTTTAGCAATCCCGGTATTTATAATGATTTCATTTGTAATGATTTCATTTTGATGTTTTTATCTTTTGCCGAATAAATGTGAATTTGAATTGAATTGAATTGATTAAAGACGCATCGTAGTTGGCTCTCATTTGGAATTCAAGGCCATTCGGATGTTTACCCAATCATAGGTGTGGTCAAACGCCAAGATTAGCCTTCATTGTTATGACCAACAGGCCTTAGGTAATGCTCAGCATTATCCACAAATCGCCCCACATTGAGAAGTCAAACGAAGACTCTTCGAGGACTGGGGGGGGGGGGGGTTAATTCTTGATGGGACTACGGGTTCACTGTTCACAGCAGGACTCGTACACCCATTAATAGTTTTTCCACCAAGTCTGATGTCAGCGAAAGATGACTTAATGCACATGGAAACTAGCTACGATCTTTCTTTAACATCGTGTGCTAACATCTTGTCAATGGAATTTATTCTTACTTGATGTACACTCAGATCCATTATACCCGGGTGAGCATACACAGAGATATCCATTGACTACATCTGTACAACTACCACCATTTTGGCACGGATTACTCTTACATTCGTCGATATCTGAAATATGAAAAGGAAGGAGGATGAAAATACAAATGTGAAAATAACCAAAATCATAAATTGATTCGTTTTAAACTGATACATTTATTATGATTATGTCACGGCATATCGGATCGCGAAGTAAAGAACATTAACATGTTTTCCATTGTTTAGATTATGTATGAATATATTCTCAAGTAAACAATCCATCGGTAGGATTGTTCAAAATAGAACATTCATCGATGAACAAAAAGAATGTCGTAAAGACCAGTTTGTAGATAGCGCGTGGTAAAAAAATGACCCCAAATATCCAAATGTCTTTCAATCATGGAGAAGCCACTTTGCGCATTTGAGAATAATCAATTCTAAAGACCAGCTCAATTGAAAAAAATTGGTCCCATCTGCGTTGGTGTATGAATGAATAATGATTACTAATTTGCATGAACACGTATCAAATATTTGTCTCGGTGGGTTTTGCAATTTTGTATAAATGACCTTTATTTACATATTGGCTTTTCATTGGATACTAATGGCGGGAAATTGCAGTGAAGAAAACGAATACGGTGAGCTACTTGATTCGAGTTTCCATGACAAATGTTTCCACGCGCAACGTTTTACTCCTTTTTTTGGCGAATTTGAGGCTGAATAGAACAGTTGATCTTCCTTTTTCTGACATTTGCATTAAACAACGTTACGTTAATGATGTTATGTTGAAATCGAGAAATCTAACTTGATTGACAGTTTATCCCACTGTAACCAAGGAGCATGTGCACTAATATCTGTTGATTTCATCCTAACAGGTCGCCCATTCATACACGGTTTACCCGGATGACATGAACATAGTTTGCGTACATAAAGACACGTGCTATCTTATTCATTCCACATCATTAAAACCATATCCGGACACCTACCCCTGGACATCCACCCGGATAACCACCCATAGTCAACTACAACCTAGGACAACTACCCCTCGGACAACTACCCACAGACAACTATCCCCTAGGACATCTCCCCCCGGACAACTACCCCCACACAACTACCCCCGACGACAAATACCCCTGGACAACAACCAACCGGACAACTACCCCCTAGGATAGTTGTCCGGGGGTAGGTGTCATAGAGGATGGTTGTCGTAGGGGGTAGTTGTCTGGGGGTAGTTGTAGGGGGAGTAGTTGTCCGCGGGTAGTTGTCTGGTGGGTAGTTGTCCTAGGGGGTAGTTGTCCTAGGGAATAGGTGACTGGGGGTGGTTATCTGGGGGTGGATATCCAGGGGATATGTGTCAAAACAATTTTATTTCAAAATCAAGCGTTCTTCACCTTCATCACATGAGGGACCTGTATAACCTGGTGCGCATGTGCAGGTGAATCCACCAATCCCATCGATACAGGTTGCTCCATTTTGACAAGGGTTCGGTAAACAGTCATCTATATCTGAAAAATGTAATTAATAAAAAAAGAATCAGTATCCATCTTTGTTTCTGAAATAAATTATGACTTATCCTATTTCTGACGCACTCAACAACTGCCACAATTTTTTTTTGTAAAATCACTTTTGGGATAGTACACCCTTATCAGCACAAGTGTTGCTTTCCATAGGTGTCCACTTCCTCGGAAGAGTCCCATACATATGATATCATGTTCCTCTTGTTCTACTAAAATTGTTTTCCTTCTAATTATTCAATTTAAGAGGACATCTGTTTGCTCACCCTAAGTCTAAAATTATTATTGGGGAAACAATGTAAATATGTCAGATATATACGTTCTGTTAGTTGATTTTGAAATGATGCTATGGCTACGTGTATCTGTCAGTTACGCCTTGGTTTGAATTTAGGCCTTCATGCATGTAGTAGTTAAATTAATACTTTACTTGAAATATTGAGTCTTATCTTACTAGATTCGCAATTCGTTCCGTTGAAACCAACCCGGCAGTCACATCGATATCCATTGATTTCATCTATACAAATTGCTCCATTTTGACACGGGGTACTTGCACATTCGTTGATATCTATAGTAAATGGAAAAAATCGAATTACTACGTATAACGACTCGAAAGTAAAATTATAAACAAAATCTAAAATATGGAGAGGGCCTTACATTTCGTCACCAACACGACAAAGACTATTTGCAAAATCAGTATGGGGTATGATTTCCTTTACAATGCAGGTGAGAAAAGTCTTCGTGTTTGCTTAAACTGTGCTACCCTACTATCTTACTCAGAAACATCGGGCTGCTAGATTATAACAAATTTTCAACAATTAAAAAAAAAGAAGAAATTACTAATAGAAACACGCGGCCCACATCTTTAAACTACAGTATATGTGTAATAGCTTAGTGTTGGCCATTTGCAAATGTGTCGTTATAATCAAACAGTCAAGCTATAGCAATGTCGATAGCCAAGTAGACTACCTTTTGAGTTGTGCGAACATTACAGTAACATGTTACCTAATTCGACTGGTATGGTAATTTCTTAAAATTATAAGCATGGTATTCAAATTGATTCCGAAAAATCCCGTGCAACTAAATAACAGAAAAGATGAATTAAATTCAAACAGATATATTTTTAAAATAATCAGGTGCCCTTTGGGATCGTGAATATTAGGGTGGGGAAGGACACGTACACAAAATTAAGGGGGAATATAATTTGTAATGCAAAATATGACCAATATTGTCATCATACAGTTACCAACTTGTTAATACGATGAATCGGTAGGCTTCTCTAAGCTTAATTCAAGATCATTAAGTTAAAAACATACCCTACATCAGACAAATCTTAGATTATACCTCTTTATTAAATAGTAGTGGAGCCTAATGAGCTTGTGTATCTATGATAATGAAATGAATTTGTAATTTTTACTAAATTGGCAGGTTGTCCCGTTGAAACCAGGAGAGCAGTCACACAAGAATCCGTTGATTTCATCCGCACATGCTCCTCCATTTTGACAAGGGTTGCTGGCACATTCATTGATATCTGAGATTAAGGCATGGTGTGAACGACCAAGATAAATTGTTAACTTAAAAGTCAGATTTCAGATCTGAAAATATTACGGGCAAATCAAAAACAGCGTTTCATGATATTTCACATGTCACCCTCAAGCAGTGTAACCTTTGCCTTATCTTTGGGCTCTTTTCTCGTTTATCTACAGGTAATCTGTCTATAAAGACCACCCAAGGGAGACAAGAAAAAGCGGTTGTTATAGGCAGGTGGTCTTAATGTACAGGTTCGTTCAGTACATGGTTCAACAACAAATATTTTCAAGGGAAATATATATTGTGGGCACTAAAGCAGGTTTGTTGACTTTGACTTTATTTCTATATAATTCATGACATATGAATACATTCCCTCAACTAGGGCAAACTGATCTTTAACTACATTTGTGTTTCTTAGAGTTTCTTTTCAGTACAGTGAATGTTAGGTCAGAGTTCATTCACATAGGATACAGACATTTGAATATACTGGACAATACTTCACAAGTTAGCACGTAAGCGAATCCAGATGGAAGGATATATATCGGAATTGCTTAATAAATAGCAGGAGGGTGATATGTGCTAACCATAAAGAAGCCGTGAATTTTGTTGAGGATCAACAAATTAAGATTAGTTGAGGTTTGATTCGTCTATATTTGTTGAGATTAATCAATTTGATATCCATACCTTCTCGGCAGGTTGGACCAGAATATCCAGGAGCACAGGAGCACGTGTAGGCGTTCAGGCCAACTTCTCTACAAGTGCCTCCATTCTTACAAGGATTGCTAGCACATTCCTGGATGTCTAGAAATTCAAAAAGATTAAATTACATTTTCATTTTCATTTCATTTTATTTCTTTTATTTTAATTTCTAAAAATAAAATATAACAATATATCATGTTGACCTGTGCAGGGCTTGTTCCTAATTATATTAAACAAATTCACAATAAATACATGTACAACATGCCTTGAATCATAAAAAAATAACAATACGTACATAACGTATATGATGTAAAAGAAATTTCATAGTTTGATAATCTATTTAACATCTACAAATGTTTGAAAATGCAGGGCCGACATGGAAGCCAAAGGCTTGTGAATAATTGAAGGCCCCTAAATGTGAAAACATGACCTCGTTGGACTTTTTAAAGAATACCTGTGATTACTTATCTCGTATTTAAACAGCGTCTGGTAGAGACGTAAGTTTTCTTAGATTTGCTGTATGTTTTTTTTCTTCAGAAAGTGTCGGGTAAACTGCACCCGAGACTTTTGCGACAAGAGAGTGTATTTTAACTCAACCTGACCCATCTGGAATTAGGGCTTGATTATTCACAAAAGTTCATTTAACCCAGTTTAAGGGGGGGGGGGGTTCACCAAGATCCCAAGTCGAACTTAACTCGGACTTAACAATTATGGAGAGCGATTTGTAGCCTTAAAATAAAATATATACAAAAGCAAAAATTTAAGTATTTTAGACTTTTCATAAATTCCACATTAAGAACATGAAATCTTCTTGATAATAGAAAATATGAACGACTTGAATCAACTTTTTATGCCTTTTAAAATAACTTTTACAAAAAAAAATCAAAGATGCTAGCGGCTTTCCATAATTGTTAGGTCCGACTTAGAGATAAGTTCAACTTAGGATCTTTGGGAAACACCCCCCAGACTTAAGGCCCGGTCACACAGGGAGGACGCATGGGGAACGCACGGCCAGCGCATTGGAAATTTGCAATTTGGGCCAGTGCGTTGTCGTTCGCTAGGCGTGCGTCATCATTCGTTACTCGTTCGTCGAGCGCGCTGGACCAACGCTGGACCAGCGCTATGCATGCGTCGTCATTCGCTGTGTGCATCGGGATTTTTTGAGCATGCTCAAAAACGTGCGCCGAGCTCGACGCATGAATATACACGCCAAAGGCACGCCAGGCATGCGCCGGAGCGCGCTAGACCAGCGCCAGACATGCGTGGAGCGCGCTAGACCAGCGCCAGACAAACGCGGAGCACACGCCCTGTATACGCACAGCGCGCTAGCTACACGCCGTGCATTTTGTGTCAGCTCGCTAGCTTTTCCAAAATTATGACAAAAGTTAGGCACACGTTCTTTTCCGATTTCCAATGCGCTGGCCGTGCGTCGTAGAACGCGGTGCATGCGTGGACCATTCGTCCAGCGCGCTAGCAACACGCTGTGCATTCGTGGAAGTTGTTTTCATGTGCGCTCTGTGTGCGCCCTGTGTGCGCCCTGTGTGCGCCCTGTATACGCCCTGTATGCGTCCAGCGCGCTATGCATTTGGTGTCAGCTAGCTGTATAGCTTCGACAAAAGTTGGGCGCACGACAACGCACTGGCCAAAATTGCAAATTTTCCATGCGCCGGCCGTGCGTCCCCCATGCGTCCCCTCTGTGTGACCGGGCCTTTACCTATTTCACATATGGATCCCGTCAATCCAAGATCGCAGATACACAGAAAACTATCAACCTTATCTGAGCAACGGCCGCCGTTCAAACAAGGATTAGAGTTGCATTCATTAATATCTATGGTGAACAAAAACAAATAATATTATTATTATTTTCATTTATTATATTATTATTATCATTATTAAGATTATCATTGCCATCACAGTCAACATTTGTATCATCATCATAATCATTATTATCTTCATTGTTATCACATCCGTTATCACATTATCATTATCATTAACGTCGTCATGATCATCATTATCGATATCATTGCGATTATAATCAATTTCTGTCATCATGATCATCATCATCATCATGATCATCATCGTCGTATTTTACCTTCTTCACATTCGATTCCGGTGTAACCTGGTGCGCATATGCAGGAGAATCCAGCAATCCCGTCGATACAAGTAGCGCCATTTTTACATGGGTTTGGTGAACATTCATCTATATCTGAATATACGATATGTTGTGTTTGTGTTGTTAGTACACGTTACGACTCAATGTATATATTTGAATACAAATTATTTCAATTCAATTCATTTATTTCCACAGATTCATAAAAGAAAATATAAATTACAATCAAATATAAAAGCATTACAACAAAAGATGAACCTGCAGAGGGGGTGATCAAAAACCACAGAGGTCTATATCATTCTTTTAAAGTCACAACCACGTATAATGAAAAAAAAAAACATATCTAAAAACAATGTGTAGTACAAGTCGGAAAAACTGGAAATAAACTCTGGCCCGACATTGCAATCTTGAAGCTCTTTGAAATATTATACAAAAAATGAAATCACAAAATTTGTTGACTTTGAAATGCCTGAAAGTTGTTGAAGCAGCCACAAAGTACCCTAGGAAAATGGGTCTGGTCTGTTTGAGGAATCAAATGAACCACACCTAAACAAATTTTTTTCTTGAAAGATTATTTCACTCACTTATTTCACAGAAGGTGCCAAAGAATCCATCAATACAGATACAGGTGAAACCATTGATCATGTCTTCACAAACGCCGCCATTGATGCAGTCTACAACCTCACACTCGTCGATATCTGTAAAGTAATGCAAAAAAACAAATTCAACAATGAATTATCTTGCTTTTGTGACCAGTAGCGGAATTATAATGATACTTTGCCCTGAGAGCTGGGGCCACAGGTGTAACAATACTTTTTTAAAAATCAAATTTGCCAGAATTTTGATTATGTCACTAATATCTCCGACAAGCAACAACAAAAATCAGATGTTCTCATTTGTGCCATGTAGGGGCACAAGGGGAGATTTGCTTCATGATGGATATTAGAGATATTGCTGTAATGATCTGGACGGGCAAAACTCGAATTCAACCCCCCCCCCTCCCCCTCCCCCTTCCCCTTTCCCCCACACACACCAATCCCTGAGATCCGCCACTGGTTTTAGTGACTGGTATCGCCTTTAAAATCACCCCTAAACTCATGAGTAACAGTGTTATAATTGGCGTTTGTGTATTTCCACAGCTATCACATATTAGTGAGTATTATTATTTGGATTTCTCATTTCCTGAAATCAATGTCAGAAATTAATATTTTACAATTTAAGGTATAACTTTTAATACCAGTGAAAAGTTCCTCTCATTCCAACCTTCTTCATATATTGCGTAATTGAACAGCCTATATGTGTTCGAACATAAATGAGGGTTATTATTATATTTTAATTTTGTACCTGTAGTGCAATTTTTGTCAGTCCAGCCATCTGAGCAACTGCAATTATAGTCATACTCTTGATCAGTGCAGGTTCCATTGTTATTGCACGGGGTGTCTCTGCAGTTGTCTCTATCTGGAAATAACGATTTGTGCAAAACATCCATCACCACAATGAAAAACATAGATTATTGCATGAAATGTCCATCACCACAATGACAGAAATAAATGATTGCCTAATATTAATCATTAGGTTTACAAATCATACATAAAAGCGGATATTGCCTAAAAATGTGCGTGTTTTACTTAAGCGTTTTTTGTTCTAATAATAATCTTTATAAGTGCAGAAGTACGTGTTCTTTCATAAAGTTGACAACTTTCAGGAGCAGTCCTATATTCCGTCCATACAAGAGGGTTTATATGGCAATTACAGTCAATTATCACCGCATATTACACACCCTCACATATTTTAATCAGGGGAAATTGTCATGTGGGGTAGATGTCCATGATACGAACAGGGGCTGTTGTCCAAGGGTATTTTTCAGGGTGAGTTATCTGAAGCGACAGTCTAGGAGCAGTTGCAGAATCCAAAAGAAGAATACAGTCTATATCTGCATTTCTTGGGGGGGGGGGGGGATTTTAGAGGGCGGGAGAGGTATGTATATGTAGTTGCATATAATGGGGTTTTGATAATTAGATTTCAATCTAAGCTTAGTAATATGTACCTGAATCATATGTGATGTTAAATCCTCTGAAGCTCGTATCTCGATCCGAGGTGAAATAGATCCACGCTTGATCAGAGCTTACTGTGAAAGCGTCCCCTGACGATTGAACGGCTCCTTCGCCATTCACATCAACAGTCGATCCTGGACCAATGATGACATTATCACTGCTCCCAGGAGTGGTTTCGATCTCCAGATCATTGACGTAGAATGTGATGTCCAACGCACCAAGCACCCTGACGAGGTAAACGCACTCCTGGAGGTTGGGGTAGTTAGCGGGATAGGAGGGACTGAGAATCTCTCCAGTGGTGTCGGAAAATGTCTCACCGCAAGTTGATTCTGAAGCCAGAACGAAAAATGTGACTTCCAAATTCAGTTTCATTTGTGACTTTCAAGCTCAGTTTCCAAGTTTAAGGCATTCGTTTTCATGAAATATTGCCATCACTGAAATCATATTTACCGAGTTGAAGACGAGGTCATGATTTTAATAAGGGAAATATACCATTGTATCTCCCGAAAGATAAGCCAGTCAATAATATTATTTTTACCTATTCCTTTGTGAATATGAGCAATATGTGAACTTTCATTGCATGGTGAAATTACCTCGCATAGTTATTAAATATAAATGTGAGTCAGTCCTGGCCTTGTAGCTATTCAGAAAGTTAATTGTCTTGAACAAAACAAATATTTTGTACAATTCTAAGGGACATTTTGCTGAGGTGACCTCTCTCCTACCTCGCCTGGAAAAAAACATTCTTATTCGATGATCTCTTTATTTCGTTTAAATGACTTTAGATCAGTTGCATTGTCGGTTTTAGTAACTTTAAAATCTGTTTATACAATATACCTCTGCCTAATAATCTGATGTAGAGTGACAATTCTTGAACCTTCATGGAAATAATGAAATGAATAAAGCCTCGTTCATATTATGACGCGGCCAAACTGCGGACTTTTATTTCTTTTAATGAATCAAAAAAGTATAATACGCGTCTCACTTCTGAATCTCTTAAACGGAACTTATGGAAAACGCGGAGGAACTGTGTTGCCATTCATTTACTGCTTTTTTTCGGCGGTTAATGGCGGTTAACCACGGCATATCTTAACACGCCTTAAAGATACTGTATATTTTCACAATGAAAATATGTTATTATATTATATCTATTTTACTGTGATTATTAAGACACTTTAAAATGTTTTATGAAAATAATGTTCATATTATATTTATTCTTGGGAACCTACAAAAACAAGCAATGCTTCCAGTAGGTTCCTGTTTCATTCCATAATTTTGAACTTACTTTGTCAACTATAAACAATTGATATATGAAATGGAATGAAATCAATTAATCAATCAATCAAATTGAATCAATTAGGAAACTGGTCTTAGAAATGTAATTTGAGATAAAGAACGTAACACTAGATAATAAATAGTACATAAGAGGATAAAATACTCACGAGTCGACTGATCACAGGTAGATCCCTGATAGAAGGTTGGACTGTCCCCTCTGCTCTGGGAGCACAGGCATAAGAACCGACCCCCTCCTGACACACAGGTAGACGGGGGAATACAAGGGCCACTATCACAAGGATCTGATCATCGGTAGGAGGATAATGAAAAAATGATTAAAGAAACATTTTTCCCTTTTTTTTTTTAGGTAGCAGACATCATAGCAAAAAACAATAACATGAATGGGATGATGAATTTGTTAAAATCATACTGATGAATTTCATAATATTAATGTGGTGGTGGTGGTAGTAATGGTAGTGGTTTAATGATGACAGTGATGGTGATAATGATGAAGGTTATAAATATAATGATGGTGGTCCTATGGATGACGGTAAGGTGATGTTGATGATTTGGATGACGTTGATGATGATGATAATGATGATGACGATGACGACGACGATGATGATGATGATGGCGGCAATAATGACGGCATTAATGATTATACTAGTGATGATGATGATGATGATGATAAAAAATAAAGATGTGGACGGCGATGATGATGTTGATGATGATGACGATGATAATGGGGAGAATGATAATGATAATACTGATGATGAGGATAATTGATTACTAAGGTTGTGATGCTCGTTGATAATACCAACCTTAATGATGGCGTAAACACTATGCTACAAATCAGAAGGATAGGCTTAGCAATGTTAGAACGCTTGAGAAGGAAAAACCGTTCAAATGTTTGATTATACATTGTGTTATTCCATTTAGTTCTTGCTGATGTGACTTCCAGACAAGCTTATTCATGCTATATACTACTACCTGTAAACATATTCATGGTAACCATTCCTCTTATAACTTGTACTCGCCAGCTCAAACGCATTTATCATTGACGCTATGATGAATCAATCACTGAAACGACTATGGCGAATAAATTATTGTTTGCAATCGTTTCGCCGTATCGTTAAGAGCAACATTCATTTACTTTACTTTGACAATGTTTTACGTTTTGTTTGCAGTAGGACATCGTGATTGGTTTTTGAAAAAACACATTCAACTCATACAATAATGATATGGTCCTATTTGCACAGACTAGGTTCATTGTTATTACTGCTTTTCATGAGGGCCATGCAATCAGTATTTCCCCCAGCACTGCCAGCTACCTAATTCATACATCTAAGTCGAGAGATACTAATGTGCTTTGTAAACACATAGACCAAAGATGACAGCACCGAGGAGGGATCGAACCCGGGACTTTTAGAATGACAGGAATGAGCATAATTATGATTTCAAATTTTGAAATATACTATACTAATTACCAAACTAACCAACAAAAACCAAAGTACAATTCATTCATCTTCATATATTCACCTGATGTAAATTAATGAAAAATAGATTTTTTAAATAAAGCGGCCCCTGACTCATAGCGGTGATGTGTATGTGTTTGAAAGCCTACCAAAAGGTCAGGCAAATAAATGTTAAAAACTGATGACTTTTTGGGCCTTGCGAACTAGATTCCTTAAGGACAGTTACCTCTGCAACCTAACAGGGGATCACCTTGCCCCAACGTTCCTTAGTGTTCACACAATGCACTCTCAAGCCCCCCCCCTTCCCCTCCCGGCCCCCTGCCCCCCCCTCAACTTTCAATTTTCATTCCGGGCGCCGCCAGTGACAGAAAACTTTGGGGAATTTGGGGAGTGCGGGTACAATAAACTTCTTTAAATACACCTGCATGCCCTCAGTCTTTTGTATTCTATTTGGAGGTCACTACTGGATTTGCATGGTATGGCATCCATAGAAACTTTTTGTGAATGAAATGAATGGGTAACCTTCAGTGCCTTATCATGAAAGAACTTTGAATAGATAGCTGTGGGAAAAGAACAAATTTGTTTAACTTCTAGCCAGGTTTTACACCTGTAATCGTAGGGGTAATAAGCTCGACTACAAGTCAAGTGCACCGGGGCATAATATTTCTGTAGTTTACACAGCATTTATTTTTTGTCTTTGTGGTGCGCTTGAAGTATTTCAAATATTGATTTAATATATTCTTTTTCTAAAGAATGACTATTGTTTTTGTATCAAATTTGCAACAATTAAGATTGGTGAGTACATCGTGTGAATAGTTGAAAGGAATTTACATAGTATTAACAATTTCTTAAACATTTACCATAATGATAGACCTAAGAATAATTACATAATCCCGTAGATGGGTAGAGTATTTCAAGGGGAAATTAACTTTGTGTGGCCGCACAACTGACGCCAAAATATGTCCTCTTATAGCTTTTTAAAGCTTTTTCAAAAGCACTGGTTTAGACTTTGGCGAAGGAGGACGGTAAAGTCTATTTTGGGGAGAGGGCTCACCCATGGAGAATGTGTGATAAAATAATGCTAGAAACAAAATTACCTTCCTTGGAAATATTTAACCTCGTACCATCAGACTTCTTAAAGTATCAAATCGTATTCCTATATTCATCATCAAATCGTTCATCGAATGTCCGCGAGACCGATGGTTCATAAAAGTGGCGGATTTTAGGGGGCACGACCAGATTGTGTCCCCCTTAAACTCCTTTTTCACACATTCCTGAATAAGCCACCGGTCCATGAGAGCGACAATTTATTCGTTTGTTCATCACGTTCATGGGTCGTTGATCTCTTATAGGCTGTCGGCCTCCACGGTCTTTGGTCTCGTCAAACTTTTGACAACTTTTTTGAGGGTTCACCTGGGCTAACGGTATCGGGTCGGTCAACTGGGTTTCCCTACTTCCTGAGATAGTTATGAAACTAGCAGACCAGATTTTAATCTCTTTATTAACGTATATACCCCCATGCTGTTATCGAGGTAAAAAGCCAAACTGTATCGCCAAGAGCTACATATCTCGAGATATGACCGTGAAATATGTTTGCTTTCATGATCCAATGACTGTCGAGCACGCTTTCTGCTTGTTACCTTTTCCAAACACAACCACAACCAGAAATCAGTGAGGGAAATCTTTAGAAACCCACTTGTGATGATCTATGTATTGTGTGCCTGTGGCCACCTGTGTTGTATATCATTGCAGAAAATATTTTCTGGTGATAAAGTAATGATTACACCTGTCATACATGTTACTTGTAGTATATTGTTAACATAGCCGAGGCTTTGATTACTATAATGAGCCATACATAATGAGATGGCGGGGAAGGCAAAGCTTGTTCCGATATTCCCCAATATTTAACCCCAGAAAAAGCTTCAAGACGCCCAAGATCTGTTGTGATACTTCCAAAAATAACTTTGGTCCTTAAACTTATGCGAAAATAGTTATATTGTCATCGTTTTAGAAGAACAAAAAAAAATTGCTGGATATTGCGTTTTGTCCAAGTTGACGCATGTAATAAAAACAAGGAGTAGATAGACAAGGCTACATCTTATTGCAAGAAAGTGACAATTTTTTTTTGAGAGTCAAGTAGACCGATAACTCACGTGATTGACGGCCCAGCGACCACTAGACCGACACTATCTTTGGCGTTTCTAAGGGCTCAATAGACCGACGGTTCACGAGACGGACATTTTCTATCTTCCATTATCGGTTGCTTATGCTTTTCTTTGTTTTGTCGGTCCCATGGGGTGTTGATCTAGTGCGTTGTCGGCCTATTGGGCTTGTGGCTTTCTGAACGCCTTTTCAACGTCGGTCTCCTGTGCTGTTAGTCTACCGAAATGGCCCCGATAGATAATAATATCTTGAAACGATGTATATTACATATATAGATTATTATTGTCCACCACCTTTGAAAATGTACTAACATTGCAACGACGTATTACATAACCCAAACATGATTTCTATGAGATCATATTATGAAAGGCTATAATTGTGATTGTCTTGGAGTTGATTTCTTCGGTAGTATGACGAAAAGATCCTTGCTGCTTGAATGTTGGTACTTTCAAAGTTCTTAAGGGATGGGGCTGCAGCCTCTCCCCAGCCACTCCCAAACCCACACCTTACGCATATGCCTATCATTAACAATAATTGTTGCTATTGTTATGGAAAATGAAGGCTAGTAATAGAAGTTGCAGCCGAAAGTCAGCAAACCATTGAACAAACAAAGAAAATCTTAAGTATCAATAGGTCATGGAAATATAATAGTTCGAAATATATCTTTCAAATGACAACGCCAAAACAGTAAACATAGCGTTCTCCTCTAAATATGAACTATAACTATAATTTTCTATGTAAATTCTACAATATAACGAACCTTGTGCTGTGACTGCGCAAATCAGGAAGAGATTTATACATATTCCACAAGCTATATGCAGAACACTTTTAGAAGCCATCACAAGGAAGGGCTGTCAAATAAATCCTCGACAAGTCATTCGTGCTTTCTATATCTCCATAATATCCATGAGTGTTCTTATTTGATTGATAACCGGGCAGAGTTTAGAAAAAGACAACAAGCGAGATCCAGAAACGATTCGCCAGCTCACCCCCTGCAAAATCAAGTTCAGTCCATGATCGGGTATATATACAGAGTAACAGAGAAGCAGTCCTGACTCATTACAAAAGAACTCCACTCATGCAGTCATAATGCTTTGTGTCGTACGGTGGGTCCTATGAATGGGTCTGAGTGAGATGTGCAAACTTGTCAAGAAGGAAATATGTTGACATTTGATAAAATATAACACAGAAAATATTCGACGATTGTCATTGGCTTGGATAGAATGCGAACGGATTTATTTATATTACGAGCAGCGGTTGAATGAGAATAAACTTACCTGCCTACGTGTACAAACTACACGTGTGCGCTGATATCGAAAATAGTATACTTTCCACCTGCTTTACATAATAAAGGGCTACATTTTTATTTTCAGAAAACCTATAACAATCAATGCTATAACACGTATTTTGATTACACTTCATTATACACACACGTTCATGTATCATATCAGATCACCAATGTAACTGCTAACTTTCTTATGTAAATGGAAATGTTTTGCCCCTAAATTCTTTGAAATGATCAGTACCGGGGGATCAGTATAACTTCAATATATAAGAGCACATCCCTCGGACATGATTTAAAGCGATAAGTTGGTATAATGGTTACTTAGTTGTCTGAAATAAATACATATTCCTACAGTTTAGAGAGTGAGATATTGTAGAGCAGACAAAACGACATTTGAAATGTATAAATACATTAGAAAAGTCACCTAAAAGAAAGACTCATGGGAGTGTCGATTGATGGAAATGTGACAATGCGAGACAACGTATTCATGCTTATAAAGGGAGAAATGAACTGAAAATTGAAGTTCGAGGGAGCAATAATGATAAAGAATTGTCAGTTCATCAATAATATCATCTCATCAATTGGTGTTGGAAGAGTCTGCAAAGACATGTCACAACTTTCTAGTTCTGCTATAAACTATAGCCCCCCCCCCCATTTGTTTGATTAAAATGCGTTGAGTTGTATTGATGTGGAGTATTCGAATTGTAAAAGTCTGTAAAGACATGTCATACCCTTCCACTTCTGCTGTAAATTAGCCCACCTCCTCCCTCCCCAATAACGTTTAAGACCAGTTGAGTTGAGTTACCAGGAGATGGATGACGTCGTTTCGAATGCAGACGTGGTCATTATCTTCCAATGACCCGACTCCAGACGATTTGGAGAAAAATACTTTTCATAAAAATAGCTGGTATTTAATCTCTATGGATTTTATGGATTATATGACTATAAGCTCTGCTTCGTGCTCATGGGAAGGCCTTTGCCACCTGTAAAAAGGGAACTATTATAATCAGAATCGAATAGATAAAAGGAATATTTTATTACTCTTGGTTGAATTGAGAAAGGAATAAAATGACTATAAACCGATGAATATATGAAAGAGACTAGATATTTCAAACAAATAAATAAATGAACGAAGGACGAATATGATTTATTTCTAAAGGAGGCTTTGCAAACAAGGAGGCAATTTGGCCTGGATCAAAAGCAATATTATTCACAAAAGAGATCTTTGCATGAGTGAATCTTCTGTTAGGAATAATTTCTGATCGAAAAATTTAGAAATTAATTCCAGAATCTAAGTCTACCGGATCCTCGAACGGCTTTTCATTGAATGGAAGAAGAAAAAACACATGGATATGCTAAAACTGACGGAGGACATCAAAAAGGTGATTTGGGAAGTAAGCAGGTTTGCGAGTAAACAAGATTTTTGACATGGGTTTCTTGTTGGTATACCATTGGTTTCTCAATGGCAATGATTTTATTAAAGTTTGGATAATGTTGACACCACCTCTTTTTACCTTTCTTTCTTTCTTTCATTCTTACATTCATTCATTATTTCTCTCTCTCTCTCTCTCTCCGTATTCTAATATTTTCTGCTTCCCCATTTTGCTCTTCAGTCTTTTCTGATACCATTCCCTTCTGTCTGTCCCAATACTCTCTTATTTATGCGAGTAAAGTTTTAAGCATAATGACACCCCTCTCTCTCTGCATTGTATTCTTCCGTTTTCCACTTTTTTCTATCGTACTTTTCTCTCTCTCTCTCTCATGTATTCTATGTTCACTCTAGTATTATTCTATCTCCCTTTTCACTAAGACACAGAATTTCTACCACATTCATCATAATCATCATTATCCTTCATTACCATCATCATACTATCATCATCGTCACCATCGTCATAATAAATACCACCACCATCATCATCATAACCTCTCTCTTATCATCATAAACTGGATCACCCTTCCCTGTTCTATACCACCTTTGTGTTTTTATCTCTCTTTTCCTTGCTCTGTCTCTCACTCCCTCATTTTCAATAGTCTGCCAAGAGACTAAGGGCGCGTTCATGCTTGATTTTGACGGCCCGAATCAGGCATCTGTTACGCGTTTAGTTTAAAACACGATTGCGTTCATGCTCACTTTTGTAGAATCACCGAAAAACGGCGATCACGATCGCCGATCGTAAACTCACAAAAAGATGCGTTTACAATTTGTAAACGCGTTTAAATGGGGTCAACGCACTGACCTCTAGTGGATCTACGTAGCATGCGCACACAGGTATGCGAATTCAGCTGAAGGCCACCCAAGGAGAATTGCCTGGAGAAGTGAGCATGAACAGTGCACCGTGGAACTGCGATTACGATGAGCGTTTACGATGAGCGTTACAAATCGCTCATTCTGCCTTCAAAATCAAGCATGAACGCACCCTAATTGGAAGCTGAAAAGCCAATAATATACCACACAGGAAAGAAATGTGCATTGTAGCAATATATATTTCATTGTTTATACAATAAAACTCTTATAGATGGTACAAAGAAGTCGAACTTTAGTCAATTTGTTCAACACTCAGATACCTGATAATGTAATTTGAATATCATTGACATCAATAATGTAATTAAAGAGCACCAAACTTGAACTATTTCTTGATGAACACTGAATTAAAAAGGGAACATATATATATGGATTGAGAATGCAAACGTCAGCCATTTCAAGGTACAATTCCTCGGGTCCAAGATGATTACATTCCAGAATAATATAACACAGATCTTGATATCATCACAGTTTAACAATTTCAACCTCATTTAAGTAAAGTATTATGCCTACACAAAAGGTATAATCAATAGGTAACTTTCGTAATGTAATCAAATCTAACGCACAAATCTGTTTTAAGTACCTAAGTAATTGCGTATATTTTATGATTTGATTTATTGATTAAGTGTTGTTAGGTAGGACGAGCCATAACGTTTGTCCTACATAGCAGCAATTAATGTGTGCAGTTTTCATTCTGATTATTGAAATACAACTATTCATTACAGGTTAATGAAATAGTTTATAAGGACCCACTTAACTTGTGCATTAAATTTGAGTACATTACAAAAATGGTCTATTGATCATCATGATCATAATCATGATCAAATGACTGGCAACAACTGCAACGTAAAAAATAGACCCCGAAAGGTCAGTTACCTGTGTGAGGGTTCACAAGGTCAGAGGGAAGGTCATAAAGCATGACAATCAGTAACATATCCAGGATTTGTAAATGGGGGGAGGAGGGGGGTAAGAATCTTTACACATGCATGACTTTGGGACTTTGTCAATAGAGAGTTGGAGCATGCTCCATGCACCCCCTCCTCCCCCCCCCCCCCCCCCCCGAACAAAACAAAACAACTTACATGTAACTACAATGGCTCGGTGATAGAGCAGTAATCTCATATTTGGGAGGTCTTGGGTTTGAAACCATGTCGATGTGCTCGTGCCTTTTGGTAAGGCAGTAAAACTCATTACTCAGTCCCTCAGACAGAATTTAAAGCCGTCTGTCCCCCAGATGCTTACTTACAAGCATATGCATACTTTCTTTAATAAAAGTTAGATAAAACAATCATCAACAACTGTACAACAGACATATCTCACTTATTAAAGCTTTAAATTGTCAACTGAAGATAGGATAAGATCATCAGATGATTTGAAATGCAGTATTCTAACAGGAACAATGCATCCCACCCCAATGATAATATTCCATTATACTAACTACTAAATCTCCCTGACAACAGAAACAAGATCTCAATGTACATGTATAACTATTTTAAACCTTGATGCTAAATTCTGACTACATGCTGAAATGAACAAAACATTGACTGGACCTTATAATTAACAGTGTTAGATTTATGTATAAGTACCACAAATGTATACTGTCGTTATGGCAACAGGAATGGAAGACTCAACTTAAAAGTATGAAAGGTCATAAAAAAACATCTCTAAAAACAATTCTACAAGATGTAAGATCAATTCAGGAACAATGTAAAAATATGGAACACACATGTATGATTGACGGATATACATGTACAAAGTGGTTGAAATATTTCTCATTATTACCCGTATCAGACATCTGAGCAGTGGTTTTACAAAATCATATTGCTCTAGATGTCTGATTTGGATAACAATACAAATATTGACTGGCTTAAATTTCGGGAGATACCACATATATTGCCCTCACAAGACCCATATTTCCCTCGTCTTTGACTCAGGGCAATACGAGTCTAGTTTGGGCAATATATGTGGTATCTCCCACAAGGCCAGTCGATATTATATAAATGTTTATATTCGGTAGAAGTACAATGCAGTGAAATCATTCTGTGTTGTTCAATGCTTTAATAAACTTACTGTATATTCTTTAATGCAATGAATAGCGGTGATTGACGAGACAAGAATCATAAGACGTTTTGTGACAAGATAAACTGAAGAGTTGTATTACTCTACCCAGGTGGAATAATATAATGATTTATTATTCTGATCTTTTTCCACTTGCTTACTTTAACAATGACTCTTGTATTACCCCTTTTGGGTGGTAGAGGCATAAACAGAAATGAGATGGCATACAAATGCTATTTCATTATGTTTTTATCATTTGTTTACCCATGGTCAATAACCCCTTTCGACTGACTGGATATAAACAACAGATAATGGGCATTTTTGAAAACAACACCTTTTGCCTTACACACAGAAAGCTCTGCAGTTGGCATAAAACCAGTCATAAATGAACAATAGTGAGAGGCTGTACTTCTCATCTCCTCATTCGCAGATACAGTTGATTAAATCATACTCGTGTAAAGTATTCCCAGGACTAATATTGACCTCCCTTGGCTCAATGAGCAGTGAATGTTTGATCAGGCAGTATGCACGACAAATTAAATACAAAATGAGTTCAACTTCAACACCCTTGAATAGCTTTAACCCATGTACAAGAAATGGCATAGATTTTGTCGAGAACCAGAGAGGTGTTATTTCCCTTTTAGGACAGGGCTAAATGAATCACCTATTGTTCTTTAAATTGGCAACAATGTTTTTCTTCAAATATTGCTTCTTTGTTCTAATAATGTGCAATGTCTCTGAACACCATATACACAGGCAGAAATTTGTTGACAAAGTTTTTTAAATGGTTAATTTTGATTTAAAAAAACAATAACAACACACACAATGATTCTGAACCTCTCCAAGTGTTGCCAATTTAAAGAACTTGAATGCCTTAACTTCATTTATAAAATTGCTGGCATCAAGTTCAATGTGGCCATGCAATAAAAATGGACACAATGTGTGCATTAATTTTGCCCTTCATTTTCATGAATCTAGTATATCTTTAAGGCTCACAACATGCAGAATGCTTGTCCCCAAAACACGTTTCTCGTTCTAAGCAGACAATATCGTTCATCTACTATTGGTGTTGACAGGGTTGGCACATTAAAATTGACAACTGACAAAAATATAAGTCTGTATCCTTTTTTGTCCTTACTGAGGAGGTTTACAACAGCTGGAAGTAAAAAATGCTGGTGAAATTTTAGAATAGCACAAAACCATGTCAAAGCCTCGATGATTCACTATTGCTGACCACAATAACATTGGAAAGCTTAAACCGTTTGCTGCACATTTCATAAAAACATGAACTTAACAAATTGCTTAGTTTTTGGTTGATTCTAAGCATTCTGACATGTAAGAAAATTCTTAACGTGCCCTTGGTTATACCTTACATAATATCAAAGTAGATCACACATACTTAATACAAAAATGAGATTTCAGAATTAGTTTGTCCATCCAAGCAATCTCGTGTCCAAATATCATGTTACATTAACATGTAATACCATTAAGTAAAAAAATGGCAACAAAAACATTAATATGAAGATGTAAATTTCTATGTATGTTCAAATCATAAGCTGTGTATATCTACAGTATCTAACTACATGTACATGAACATGTTCATTCATTTGTCCATTCAATACTGTAAATCATCATTAAAATTAACCAAATTATAACAAAAATTATTGCACAATATTTTTTATATCAGATTTCATACATCACGTATAGCGATATAAAGGAGAGCGGATAATAAAAGAATATATCTACGAACACCTGTTCGTACGGACAATGCACATCATGTAGATTTACATCAAAAATAATCCTAAATTATGTGAAGAACTTATAAACCACAGCTATCTAAACAGGGCATGCATTAAACTTGTATGATCAGCTGGTATATTCTTTTGGCTCTTATCAAACCTGTCAAATATGATATGACACATATTTCCAGCAGATTTCCAGCCCAATAGTGCAATTTATCTCAGGGTTAATAATCAAGAAGTTAATAAGAAAAATAAGTTGCTAAAGGATGAGTCTACAATAAAAAAGGAAGCTAAAAAATGTACTGGGTGAATATACATGCAGCACTTAATGATGAGAGTGCAGTCATTAAAAGATATTCATGAGCTGTGAATGTAAACAATGTACCATGTACATACATACACACACATGTAAACCCATGCAGCATGTTGATATGTATTCAATGTACTTCAATACAACAAAGAAGATTACAAACAAACAAAACTGAGTCACACATAATCACAGTTGTACCCATCATGTAGAGTACAGAAGTGCTAACGTCATGTTTGTGATGAATGTTTTAAAAACCAAGTGGCATTAGAAAGTCAATAACAATGTTTTTGTTGTTATTGATGTATCATTGATTTTAAGTCCAAGGAAAGTTGTTTGGCAGCCAATGAAAGTACATGTTGATGAAAAGAAGATTAGAAAACTATTAAAAAAGGTAATTTTTATGTAGGATGCAGCATTAAAGCATTATTTGATCGTTTTCATAAAATTCCTGAATTTTAACATAGCTTGGTAATGTATTATGTAGAACTAGGCCCTTTCTTTAAAGAGTTACGATTGATCCAAGTCGATCGCATATATCAGTTGCAGCTCTATAATTATAAAGAGATAGGAATATGTAAGCTTGCGATTGATTGATGGAGTTTGCGATCGATCTGGATTAATCTCAACTCTTTATTGGACATAGCCCAGGATTGTCAGAGCAAATTATCTAGTACTAATGTACATAAAAATCAAGTATGCATACTTGTTCTTGTACAATATATGTACATACCAGTGTATATCATAAACACATTGAGTGTGTGTAAAAGTGTTTGTTCTTTAACCCTTAAAAACAATTCAGAAAACATCTTGTACATGACAAGCGTTGCAGGCACAGCACATATGATGGCAGCTGAATCCCTTTATTCATACACTAATGTATATATATATTGTGTACCAGCAAGAAGAGCGTTTCTGCCATTGACATTATAAAGCTCTTTGATACAGCCTTCTTGCAAACAGCCGACAATTGTACCACGCTTCAATCACTGGAATCGCCATTCTTTACAACTTCTCATTAATTTCATCGCCAATTTAAAATTCACCCGAAACCTCTCTCATAAAGGCATTCTTCATTGACTATATGATTACATCAAAGGCTTGCCTGACATATCAACCTCCAGCATCCATACATACAGAATACTGCACTGGATGGTATGAAAGATATAGCTAGTACGAGGCACTCGGGAATCACAAACACGGTAAACATGGAGACACTTTTGATAGCCCATGGCAAACTCAACTGAAAACGCTTGATTAACTCATTTGAATTATGTGTTCATACCGCCGCCAACAGGTCAAGCCTGGACAATGTTCAAGACGGAACAATGACTTGGATGTCACGACCGAATCGTATCCTGAATTGTTCGAAGAGGAGGAAGGTGAGAATGGTGTGAGGTCCGAGTCTCACGAAGGCAGGAATGAATCCCTTGAAGAAGCCCATGGGTCCTAGCTTGGCAACGCTCATAAAACAGTCCAAGGCATTCTAGAGTACACAAAATAGAAGAGAATGAGAGAAAGAGAGATTGGAAATCACTTTTTATTTAAAGGCAGCAAAAAAGCGTTGGGGAATCCCACTAGGTCCCATATTGGAATCATTTGGGACAGTGAAGGACATTCTATTTCTACACAAAAATAGTAGAGAATGAGAGATAAGGGATCATAATCTATAAAATGACCCAAACATAACCCTTGGAGAATCCAATCTATCCCAGCTTGGTTATGTTCAGAAGTCCTAAGAGTATTCTATAAGAAAAATAACAGGGGAAAATGAGAGAGAGAGGGAGAGAGCTGTTATCAACAAAGCCTGTAAATGAGAATTCTCCAAAGGAAGTGGAGGAAAATTGGTACTGAAATGTGGAATGAAATCACAATAAAGTGTTTTACAAAATCAATAGACCAAAACCATAAAAAAAGAATCAAATGACCAAGGTGCCAAAAAAGGACCATTGATTGGATCAGTAATAAGCCAGTTTGTAAATACCATTTGGCATAGGCAGAGAAAGGTCATTTGTTCCCCAATTGTAAACCCATCAAAACAAATACTGGTATCATGGCTCATGAAAGTAATGTAATCAGTATTCACTTATACACTGACAGTACATTTATCTGATACTTCTTCTCAAGAGGCAAATTAAAGGTTTTCATGAAGCACCTCCATCACGTATCCATCATGTAAAAGATCTGTGGATATTTCGGGGCCATGCTTTCCAAAGCTATTTACGAACTGGCTTATTGGAAAAGGCTACGTGAATACATTTCTTTTCTTTCAATACCTACATATTTTTGTTGTTTGCCATGCAACAGATGCATGGTTTGCAGATATACTTTTACAGAGGTATGCAATTCAAATTGTTGACCTTTCTCTGACCAGTTAATATACAAACTGCATCATCCTATCTTTAACAGTGACATGATTTCTCTACATTAATCCATTATCTTTTCATAACAAAATTATACAAAGTTAAAGATCTGATGAAAACTGACATGTGCACCTTTCTGTGGGACACAATACTATGCATCACCTTATAACAAATCTTGAGTGGACTTGATGCCAATGGCAAGGAAGGGCCAAGGAAAAAGGCTAGTTTATTTCACTTGTAGCTTCCAACCATCCTAAGTGATTCTTTTTTTTTTTACTCACCTTGTACTCGCCTGGTTTGGCATTCATTAGTCTTGTCTTCATGACATCAGCTGGCTGTGTTAATACTGTGGCACAAGTACCCTGGAGAAAAAAAAGGAATATATAATCACTTAAATGATTTACTCATTGGTCTTATCTTCAAGACATCAGCTGGCTGTGTTAATACTGTGGCACAAGTACCCTGCAAAAAAAATAAGAATATATAGAATCACTTTAATATGTGACATCGATGCCATACAACACCTGGACAAAGTCACATTTCTCAACAAAGTGGCAGAAATAGCATAGGGTATTCAATGTACGAAGCTATGTATATTTTAAATATTCCTCAAAATATTGTGCCCAATTTTATTGCACTACTACATGTACATGTAAATTTTATATATTAAATTGCCATTTCTCCTCTCGAGTCTCGACCCAGGAGTCAGAATGTTAGCTGGTAGAGTAGAATGCAAATGTCAGTGTGATCAGATTAGCATATTCACATCCGCAAAAAGGCAATAGTAAAGTATTAATGACTGCTTTGAGAGAAATAGTTGTTTTTATACGCTCAAGGGAAGGTTAGAATTGTGCTATTGCCCGAGGCGTGCCGAGGGCAATAGCCCAATTGTAACCTTCCCGAGAGCATATAAAAACAACTATTTCTCGAATATTAAAGCAGTCATTTATACTTTTATATGCCAAAAAAAAAAGAGTCAACTTATGACACCATCTTGGCCTTTATCTAGTTTGTCTGCACGGTTGTTTTTTATGAGTGTATCTTTGAGAGTAGACTAAAAAAAAAAAAATAAAAAATAATTTTTTTTTTGTTGAAGATGGGATTCGATCTCTTGAGTACCAACGATGATGTGACTAAAATCACCGCCTTAGACCGCTCGGCCATCGCACACTGATACCATACCTAGCAGTTATTCTCTGATGTATACATTAAAATGGATTAAAAACGGCTTCGCGTGCTGGATGCTTCGCGGCAGCTCCATTAAACGGGCCCTTCTTTTACTTTTGCAATGCATTGGCACGAACTTAGATCAAGATCTATCGGCAGATTTTGTTTTTGGAAGTATATTTTCGTCTTCATGTCAACAATGCAAGATAAAATTGTCGGTAAGATTGATCAAGATTCAATTGTATTGAAATTACCGACCAATTCATCGCACACGTACGGTATCCTCGATCGCTCAGACCATTTCTTAACATGTGAACCTATGGGTATAATTTCACCAAGACTGAACTATTTTCCCAGTAACCATGGTAACTGGGATTTTAAGTCAGGTATATAATGAGATATGTTGCACCCGGTTAAGTTACAGTGAGCTGAATAATGGCATTGACAAGTCTCATTCATCATCTGATTGTGACTTAAAGGGATTGGGTATCTTTGTCTGAGATTCTTAACAAAATCCTGGATTGACCTCATGCTGCAATCATAATTATAAACCTTTAGGTCAGTCAGGAATCCCATGACTTTTACAAGCCGATTGCCTGTCTGATTATCAACACATTTATGATTGAAATTCGAAATTTCAAAAAACGTTTTCCCAACATTCTATTAAGGAAAATGAATATAGGGTAAAACCGGTCACTCAAAATTTTTACTTTTTTGAGGCACTTCACGATCATTTTGAAGCTTAATTTTTCTAGGGCTCCAATATTACACAATATCACAGACACTGATAACACGTAGGGCCATGCATCTCAGATTTGTAAAACTGGAAACATTGTTAAACAATGCTTTAATCTGCATGCAGAGCATATTCACTATGAATGCACCTGCAAACATGATGCATGTAATTGATATAAAATAGACTTACAGCCATGGTACTTGCAGTGAAGTGGGTCATTATGTTATCATTGAAGTAACCTGATTGCAGTAAGAACTGTTTGTACTGATCGTAGAGAGCCACCTGGATAAGGAGACGAAGAAGAAGAAACACAATATGCTTAAATATTAAAGGTAATACAAAGTTTTGGTATGGGGTCATGAATTTGGTTCAAATGAACATATTGGAAGCATAGGCGATCCTACAATATTCAGTGATCGTTGTTGCGGTTGAAATCGAGTCTAAAGTTATAAAATTGTAAATACTAAACTCTTTATTTTGTATAGCGCCCTCTCGAGGTCAATATATGAATTTAGCTATAAAACATTGTTTTTTTGAATGAAATCGACCGATTTGCTGTTACCGTTTGGAATATATATATCACAACTACATATTCTGAGATTTCCATGGTCGCAGCTACCATCGTATGGTCGTAGGCGCTATTTTGAAATTGATCAAAATTTACTGGGAGCACCGGTAAATTTGTATATTCAATTTTTCTCGAAAACAGAAGTGTTTTAGGGGCTACATTTTTTAGTGCTTATAATATATCCATAGGGGCATCCATATATATCAAAATTGTAGAGAATCACTATCCAGTCAATTTTCTAAATTTACCAAAACTTTGTAATACCTTTAATGTGCAAGAAAACTGTCTATTCTTTTGAAATGCACGTACATACAGGCATGTTGTGGACAAAATGTGAATCATTGTAAATATAGACAGTCATCAACGGTTCTGATTTTTTTTTTTGGAGGGGGGGGGGGGGGGAGGGGTTGTCATCAGGCAATCTACACGATGCTCTCATTATAGGTGACTGCTGTCATATGATGTGGAAGTCTTGGGTTTCGATCCACAGCAAGTAAAGGGTTAATTAAGTTAAAGCTAATCTTGAGCTCTGGTATGGGAATCACATTTTGAAAGAAAAATGCTCTGATTTATTCTGGATTGTTTATCCTGCAGTAGATTGGTTGTATGAACAAGTGAAAGAAAAACAAACACACAGAAGCCTACTGGGCATCATCTTCGATAACAACCACAAATCCCAGTGACCTGTGTTAAGCACATGGTGTCGGTCCTACTTACCCGGATTTTCTTATCATTCTATGCTCATTACTCAGCCACTATACATTTTCTACCAAAATTGTTTGGTACCTGTCATTTATTTGTAATCTTGAACATTCCGTGTAAGTTTCGTTGGAGAATTTATTTTCTATACTTACCGGAACTCAAGTTTATCGTTAATTAAGTTAAACAGTGGCAATCCACAACCCTCGTGATAAATTCATTTGAATGAAAGCAGAAAAATCAGAGGAAAAGAATGGCAAAAATATTTTTAAAAATCAGACCAATAATAACAAAATTATGGATATTTGAAATATGAGATCTCTACAGCTATATGCAGATCTCAAATTGGTTATTTTGTCAGTGGATTGTGACGTAGTGACGGATAACTCTCCTGTTTGTTGTGTACTAAAATATTACTAATTTCTTCTCTTCTCCCAAGAGCGCTACTCAAGATATGTATTAAGGAGATTGTATTATTACAGGTCCTCTCAAAAGAAAAGACCATCTCAGGTCATACATATTGAAGATTTTTTTTTTTTTTAAATATCATTTTGGCTGTTGGACAAATATTTGTCCGGCACTACATCATAGTGACATTACCAATTCAGCCAATTTGAAGTTCCAATACGTATAGTGATTATATCTTTGAAATGTCCAATTTCTCTCAAACTTTCACCAGTCTGCTTCTCTAATATTCCTGCTTTAATTTGGAGGTTATGAAGGTTGGATTTTCCCTTTAAGGGATATCTATGTACACACCTGTCCAAATGTCATAAGGAAGCCTCTTGCAACAGCCATAGACCAACCATTCCATAAGCTTACTACACCCTCTGAAAGATGATGCAAGAAAGGTGAGAGAAATAAACCATCGGATGAGTACACGTACATGCGATAAAATAGGCTCTTTATGACTGACGGGGAAATGGATGAAACATGAGACGATTATTCCAAGCTTGCAATATCTGGATACTGCATGGAATAACTAATGCATGTGTACGCTTCATGTAACTGAATACACAAGCATAAAAGGTGATTATACAGTCACGTAATTTGTTATGCAAGCACAAGTATGGAGAACTGATAAATTTGTACCAAAATAACTTTTACGGCTTAATGCTTGCACTATTAAAGATTGTACAGTTTTACAGTATATTGTTATTTCAGTTTTTAACAATAATAAAAACAAAAAGCCATAAGTTTCCAAGACCAAGTGTGGTGAATGACAAAATCTATCCTGATAATTGTCATAAAAGCTGATTAAACTATCACGTAATTTGTTATACAAGCACACGTATAGAGAACTGATAAAATTTGTACCATAACAAAAATTGATTGTACAGTTCAACAGTATATTTTCATTTCCGCTTTTGAGAGTAATAAAAGAAAAAAGCCATCGTACATTTCAGAGTCTAAACGTGGTGAATGACAAAATCTATCCTGATTTCAAGGGACCAAAACAAGATAAGCTGACGTGTGTACGCTAAGTAAACATAGTTTAGTGGTCCACGTAACCTCTTTCAGATTTCAAGTGGTAAAGCGCAGCAGTTTTTTTAATGGCAAAAGTGTAACCCGCTTCACATTTCTGTGTCTTATAACACACAGCTAATAGAATTTGCATAGGACCCTTGCGTAGTCTCCGATGGATTTAAGAAACAAGATGAACTAAAAAATATGATTACTTTTTTTTAACATACCTTTTTTGTAGACCTGCCATAGCCCATCAAGGGCATGTTTATAACTGTTGGGACAGGAGGAGAAAGCAGAGTTATTTAGGTTTACAATTATGGTGTAGTGGTTTAGACACAGACAGGACACCAAACTAGATATAAACCAGTCCTGGTTCAATTCCAATCCATGGTAGAAAGTTCTTTTGGCAAAGGACCAAATTAGATTGCCCAAACTGTAGCACCCCCCCCCCCAACAAAAAAAAGAGAAGGAAAGAGTCAAACAAACATTTGAATGATATATATATATATATATATTTATATATATATATATATATCCTTTGACATACAATGTACATTGTAATGTTTGTCCAATCATTGAAGAATACTGGTGGCTTGGTGTTATTTGTGGCATTGATCTTATACGGTACAACAAATGTAAAAGGAGGAGCCCTTTCCAAAGCTTGGTATTTATTTCAAATCTCACCCATCCAACAAACTGCTAATCATACCCCCAAATAAAGCTACTTAACATAATATCCATTATGGGCCCACATCACCATGCCGGAATATAAACAGGGAAAATAAGAGAAGGACCAAGAATTAGTAAAAAAAAAAAGCTTAAAAGTGCAAGTGAATTTGGGATCACTAGGACAGACTGCATACATGAATATTGGTTGCATATCCAGCTTGTGACAACCCTGTTACATGTATAAAACCCATTGCTCTCCACCCCCCCCCCCCCCCACCTCTAACTTTGTCTCGGCAGGAAGTAAATTTTTCACCTTGACCTGGAAAAAAAACATGGATTGTGTTTTTTTATAAATTTCCACTTTAATACCAGTACATTCCACTTTATTACATCCTCCTATTGAAGGTCATGCCAGAATGTAAACAACTTCAAGGCACATTGTCTCTCTAAGATTAACAGACCACCAAATTACCCAACTTTCTAGACAGACCGGATTTCATAAATATCTTCTTCTGAGTTCATACCAGTATATTTTTTATTTCTTTTATCACATACTCTAGTTGTATTATTTTTGGGGAATTGATGACTTACTTTCTCCTTTCTGCTGGTTGTAGTTTGATATCATTCTGCATCCTGACGTTGATCATATCTGCTGGTGTACCCACAAAGCCCCCAACAGCTCCTGTGACAGACAGACAGAATCAGAATATTCAAACTTTATTACAATAACTATATTATATTCCCGGTGGTTTTTATAGCCCTTATTAAGGGGACGATGTGTCTACGCACTTCAGTAAGATACAATTATAATATTTTGCGCTTATTTAGCGCTCAATACATCGACAAGATCTCTAAGCGCTCTACAGATATATCATTACCACTGTCATTGGATTCAGCCTTTCCCCCGCAAGCATTATATGCACATTCTCCACTCCCTGGGGAAGGATTCCAGCCAGGCACTATTTCACAGTCGCCCCCAACGCTGAGCGATCTATAATGACTTTGCATCTTACCGGGTACCCACCCAACACCTCCATGGAGAGTGGCAACTGTATATTAATGTCTTGCCAAAGGACGTTAGTGCCGGGCTGGGATTTGAACCCTCAACCCTTGGATTGAGAGTAAATGATTGAACCTCTATACCACTATGCCTCTTAGGACAACGATGATAAAATAAAGCTCTACACCACGTGTATCAAGGCACTACCTCCTGAGCTAATGCCCTGACAAGACGATTACAAAATGAAGAGAATGTTGTTCTTGTGGCTATTTTTGTGTATTAAAAAATAATAATAATAACAAATAAAAAAACAAAACCTTTCTTCACTCTCTTGTCGCAATGCATGCATTTCTGAACATTTACATCTTACACTCATATATATATTGGGTGCTTTCATTTTCAAAGCTTAGAATTTGCAGGTAGGCCTTGTAACTGACTGAGGTTGTTTTGTGTCTACTAGAATACACAAGCATATTTCTAAATTCAGTGACCTAAAAACATGTTGAAAATTTACACAAACATTTACGAATGCCACTAACATTTCTACCCACATGTGCAAAAGGATATATTGATATATTTGCTTTTTTAAAGATTGTTGAGCAGATTACAAACCAACCTGTGAATCAGTTTACATGAGTATCTCTTAAATTCAGATTAAACAAACAATGGAAACTCGGTAAGGATCAACGTACACTCTGAAAACACTATTTGTTCTGTGATATTAAAACAGCTGGTAATGTAAATACTACGTCGGGATAGGGAAAACGCTGCATCGACCAATAATTTTGCATGCTGACCTGGCATATTTTTCAACATATGTACATTTATATGAGTGGTGAAAGGTTATAGTCCAATCTCATATTGCCAAGGACATGGAATCACTAAGGGCTCAACATTGGCAACTCTGATTTTTGATCTTTTTTTTTAATGCAAGGAATTTTAAAATGAAAATATGAATGAAGATTGTTAAATTAGCCAGTATTGACTAATGAAAAATCACAACTGATATTTTTGTCACTTTCACATTCTCAGTCTACTTTCCAATTCAAATAAATGAATGACTATTGGCAATATTAAAGTGACAAGAAGCTTATGTGTAAGATATTTCTGATTTAAAGAAGGGATTGCTGTAACTAGTCTTATAAATTATGTAGAAGTGTTGTAGTTGAGTGGGCTAAGCACTTGACTTGAAATTTGAAGGTCGTGGATCCCGACAAGGCACTAATGTCCTTTGGCAAGGCATTAATCTACATTTGTCACACTCGCCCCAGGTGAGGTAATAGCAGCTAGGCTAAAGCTGAGGTAATAATTAATTTGTGTGCCTCCGAATAGAATTGTTTGGACAGATAGCGCTATATAAATGCCAGTTATTAATATTTATAAAATCATAAAAAAATTCTCTGTGAATCTTGAAGCCACACCTGCGAAACCAGCCAGAAGCATCTTCTGATAAAACGGGAGAGGTCTGCTGGGGTCGTCTGCTGTTAACCTCTGCTTCATGGCCTCATATATACCAAACCTAGCCATGGAGTAACTGAGCTGTAATGGAAATACAGAAAGAGAGAGTGAGACAGAGGGGATGGGGAGGGGTGGAGGTGAGAACAAAATGAAGGAGTTAAGAATAGGGAGAAAAGAAAGAGAAGTAGAGAGTTAGAGGGAGAGAGAGAGAGGGAGAGAGAGAGAGAGAGGGAGAGAGAGAGAGAGAGCGAGAGAAAGAGAATGAGAGAGGAAAGAGAATGAGAGAGGGAAGAGAAAGAGAGGGTTGGAAAGGGAAAATAGAGGAGAGGGAAACAGGAGAGAGAGGTGTCGTTCTACTTCAGTGAGATAGAATTATGATTCTCAACAATTATGCAGTTTGCCTTCCAGACACATCTTTTTGTGCCACAACATTTAGCTAATGACCTCAAACTATTCTAGTTCCTACAAAAGCCCAGCAAATAAGAAGATTCCTACAGTATCTCAAGTACCGGTCTGCCATAGCCTTTTCTACTGACCTGCGTCTACTGAACATACACATACAGGCATGTACGAGGACTTACAAATATATGCTGTCAAGAGATAGTACATATACGCTTTTATTTAGCCTTGACAAAGTTGGAGAATGGAATTCATGTTTGTCGACTATCTGATGAACAATGGGGTAAACAATCCACACAACCTTTACCCCTTCTAAGATACAAATAATGCTGATTCAACAATTGTCTCTAAAACTGCCATTTTCTGTAGTGAGATGACCATGTACAATGTAGGATAGCTGCTAAAATCACTATGGAAAAGCTAACACTTCGTTCTAAAAACCGAAATATATGTGTACCTGTTCGGGGGTCACCCATAACAAATGTCAGCATAATATTTTTTTTTTAAAGTTTTCTTGAAAGGAAATCAGCTTGTACATCTGACAACTATGACAGACTTAGGCAGATTGTGAATTTGTGAATCTTAATGACTTAATAAATTACAACAGGCGAGATGGAGGGCGAGATGGGGGGGGGGGGGGGTTGGAGTAAATTTGTATGCTATCTGTGACATAAGTTCACTTTGAATGGTTATCAATGGTAATAACACAGACTTTAGGATGAGTTTCTATTTTTCACACCATATTGTACATGTAAAGGACAAAATGAGAGATTTCAATTTATTTTCAGTTTGGTAGTTTGGTTTGGTACATCCCCCTAGAGATTAATATACAAAATAAGTTGGTGATTTGAATCTAATCATATTTCTGATTTAATAAATGATTTAAAAAATGATTTAATGCAGTAGTACCTGTCGGCATAATGAAGCACTGAGCCCATTGTAGAGTGCTAAAACTCCCTCATTCTTGACTATATGTACCGCCATCCCAGAAGCATTCATCTGTACAGCCTGCTGCGTCTGTAAATGGACCTGGAAGTCACAACAGGAAGAGAAAACACACAAAAAATGATGTAGAAACAGCAATGTACAACCACGTTTGCCCATTAAAGGCAAGCAAGTTGTTTATATGCCTGCATGTACATGTATATCTCATTACTTCACATTTTAATAAAAAGACATTGGAAAATAATTAGTAATGATTAAATTTAGTAACAACATGAATATTAATATGTGAACCATATACATGTATGTACATTAAATTCATTAAAAAAATACCCCCCCCCAAAAAAAAAAAGAAGCATCTATTATCTCTTAGTTTAGGCAAATCAATGATCTGAAGAATACAAAATAAGAAAGTTTAAAGCAAATCTGAATATCTCAAAACCCTTTTTCCTCATACACCTGTATTTGGTTACAGAGTTGAACTGAGATGTCTTGTTAATAAATTTCGTCAAAACCATACCCCCTTAATACCCTCCCCATCCTTCACTCACTCTCTCCCATAAAACTATAGCAATGCCTTAAGGTATTACACTCACTTCGACAAACCATACACCCCCCTCCCTTTCTACCTCTCCCCATAATCTGGCGTTGTAATGACTAATGAGGTAAGACACTCACTATTTGCGTGTGTTTGATTACAAAGTTGAACTGAGATGTCTTGTTAATAAATTTCGTCAAAACCATACCCCCTTAATACCCTCCCCATCCTTCACTCACTCTCTCCCATAAAACTATAGCAATGCCTTAAGGTATTACACTCACTTCGACAAACCATACACCCCCCTCCCTTTCTACCTCTCCCCATAATCTGGCGTTGTAATGACTAATGAGGTAAGACACTCACTATTGGCGTGTGTTTGATTACAAAGTTGAACTGAGATGTCATTTTAATAGATTTTGTCAAAACCATACCCCCTTACCCTCTCCCTAAACTAAGCCCTAAGGTATTGCGATCACTTTGACAAACGGAAACCATACACCCCTTCCCCCTTTCTACCTCTCCCCCATTATCTGGAAATATTATGGAGGGCAAATGTTGAAAAGTATCACCTCTGGAAAAAAATTGTTGATTATGTTAAACAAAAAAAGTATAATTAATTTTGTGATATAAGTACATGTATAATTCATGTGTTTTTCTTTGTAATCGATATAATTTTGTGTTTCTTATGTACGTATTATTAAATTAATAAAAGATGGAAAAAAAAAAAAAAAAACAACACTCACTTTGACAAGATCCAATGGATGAGTAACACATGCTGCTCCAGCGCCGGCAAAACCACCAAAGTAAAACCTTGCCACTCTCCTGGTGGTATACTGCTCTTTCTTTTCCGTTGTCGCGGGCGACACTCCTCCTCCGCCTCCTCCCCCTCCGCTGGAAGATGGGACCTTCATTGATGCGGGGTCTAAGGGTACTGCTGCATTGGCTCCTGAACCAGGGGTGAATATGACCTGCCCTGTCATGGTATAGTAGTGCTCTGTGAATGCGATCACTGGTGAGTGTGGACCGACTCACGACCTACCTGCAACAGTTGGCAATTTACAAATAACACGCTTGAACGAACACAGAATCAAAAGTGCAAAGTACATTCAAACACCCTATCTTACATGTAACTCTTTGAGTTTTGATTAGTTTGCAGGTACAAAGTCAAACCCTTGTCAGTGGCTGTGCATAAACAGTGTCTCCACTGTTAAGGCCTGTCCTCATTAGCTCGAGTTTGCCAAATAACCCGCTATTTTCAGACTCGGGATATTATCCCGAAGCTCGAAATTGAGTCTTCACCAGGCTAATACGCTCATCACAAACTAGCTTGGACTGGCGTAAATTAACGCGATATTTCCCAAATAGCAGGATATTTTGGAAACAAGACCAATACGGTATGTTTCCGGATAATTTCTCGACCAAATATTCTGCTAATTGCAACTGCAGGCTGATGAAGACGCAAATTGACTGGTTAATTTGTGATCTGGATGGTTAAAATAGCGGGTTATTAGGCAAACTCGAGCTGATGAAGACAGGCCTGGTGAGACTTGGCTGACATCATACTGCATAGGCTACCATATGTAGCTGCTCTGGAGTCCGGACCAAGGCCAGAGACTGTCAGAGCTCTGCTACATTATGTCCCAGACCTTAAGGAATTGTGGTTAAGGTTCAAATACAAGTCTGTGCCTGCAGACTAAGTTCTGATAACCGGAACGAATGACTGCCCTGGAGAAGTGCTATTCAACCCGCTGCATATACATGTATAGGGACCAGCTGGCTCTGGTATTAAGCCTATAGAGTACCAAAGCTGTGACCGTCATACAAATCAATTTTTAGAATTTCTCAATTTTTTCTTCATTTTCCGAAAGAGCATCAAAAATAATGTCCGAATGTCGAAAACCAATTGAATATGTGAATTGGCTGAGATATGACCATCTGAATAAATATATGTCCTATAGGAACTCAGTGTTAAATGCTCTGGCTCCTAATCAGTAGTCAACGGGTTAAAGCCAATATTTTGAATTATTTGTAATGCACTAAATGGGTTGTTTGGACCAGTTACACTCAACAAAAAATTACGGAAATCTCCTGAAAAAGTAAGAGCACCAAATAAACACAATGAACTAAAGGAAAATAATAATATTTTGTTAATTCAATATCTTTAGGAAACATAAAATCTCCCCCCCCCCCTCGTTTAAAAATCTACATTGTGAGAAAAATGGTTCATTTTACTTAAAACATGATGAAATTACCATTACTTTCTTTTGCTCAATGTTACATTTTCCTGTCTCTTTATTGGGTAGATTCATTACATAGAGTTCAATGCTGTTTTAGATACATGTATCTCTTCTATTGAAAGCTGGGGGAGGGGGGGGGGGGGGGTCCCCGGGGGAGGCGTTGTTCAATGCCCTCTATTTAAAGGTAAAAGTATTGCAACTTTTGCAAGTGGAAGGGAACGTGGGGGTGAAGCTACAAGTGCCACTGTACTACATTTTGTACATTTGTACGCGACGTATTTCCTTTTAAAGATGAAGTTGAGTTCTGGTCATGCAATTGCATTGTGAAAGAAACGGTGTGAAATCGACCAGAAAAGGTTGATCATCTAGCATATAAGAATTTGTGTGTATTGCAAGGTTCTGATATCATCAAAATAATAAGAAATTTGGCCAAGTCTTGGTAAAGTTACAAACACTGTACACAGAAAGATGTATATGGGACTACACGAACACGTGGCGTAAAAAACCTACCCCCGAGTTTTACGAGTTACATGACATATTTAGAATATAAAGGCATTTGAAGAGCCATGCTTTTCAGGGAACATGTCTTATCTGATGTTCTTCCACACTTGCATAGAAGAATGATAATGCTCACAAATTATTTTTCACCTCTTCCCAGAACTCAACCTTCTCTTTAATCATAGTAGCATTCGTGTATGTGTAGGTGTTCAGTAAAAAGTATTTGTACAGTATGCATAAACATGTGCACATGCATGTTTGGCTCGTAAAACACATTGTTTGTCTCGGGGTTATGATCAGGGTTATCTTTATGAATAAACATGTACCTGCCATGTTTGTTTTGGATTTATACGACACAATGCACATGGATAAATTCCAGGTCTTTGTGCAACCTACGTCAGACCTTTTTATGAACATGAAGGACCAACGTGGAGAACCCAAACTACGGTACATCCTTGACATTAGCTAACATAATAAAAGGAAATCCAACCATAATAGACAACTGTAATGCCAAAAAAAAAAAAAAAAAATGTTTAAGGAGGAAGGAAGAGGCCCTTTTTTTTCTTCTTTCAAACTTGCCACTCAAAATGGCCGCTCGGTACATTTTCCCTGACAGTCGAGCTATTTTTCAAGACGGCCGCCAATTTTTTAAATTAAAAAAAAAAAAATCAGAAATAGATCCATTTTAGCAGTGTTTTTCATGTTTTTTTTCTTTAAAAAAAAAAATTCAAAACAAAATTTAAAAAAAAAAAAAAAAATTGGAGGCGGCCCCTAAAAAGGAAGCAAGCGGGACGCTAAACATGTATATTTTTTTTTAAGGCCTAATGTGCTATAAAAGAAAGCAGACAAATCAGAGTAACAAACTGGTGACAGATTTCAAGGGGAGGTCAACCCTGATATTAGGTTAGTTTTAATAGAAGCATAAGAATGAGAGAAACCGGTCTGTGAAATTTTGAGCAAAGTCCGATTGAAAATAATAAAGGTATGTATAAATTGAAAGTGCAATCAATCAAACACAACTTGGCAACTCTGTGACATGTTTACCTTGTAAGCTCCTCTTCAATTTGCTAGGTACTGTATGCAGAAATTTTTCACAAACTTTAATTGTTTAAAGCTAAAGACCAGTTATGGTCATGCGATTGATTGTATTGTGAAAAAAACGTTGTGAAATTGATCATCTAGCATAGATGTACTGCAAGGTTCTGGAATCATCAAAATGATAAGAAATTTGGCCAAGTCTTCATAAAGTTAGAAGCACTGTACACAGAAAGATGTATATGGGACTACACACACGTGCGCGACACGTGCATTTCATACCTCTCAACAGGCGGTTTTCCCGTCAAAATTTTTATCATCATGTAATATTCAAAACATATTCTTTCACATGATTGGTAATAAGAGCTTCCATTTCATTTTTTGAAATTGGGGCGTTTCCAATACTGGTCTTTACCTTTAAGTTACCAACTTAATATCAGGGTGGACTTCTCCTTTAATGAAATCATACAAAAAGTGAGAAAGTTATGAATGTTTGAATGTTGTAAGCACTATATGTATGCCTTCAATTTGGCTAAATACTGTAGGTAATATCTATGTGATGTAGTGGGCTAGTGGCAGACAACTTTTTGTCTTTAAAAAAAAAAGGACCTACTGGTATAATCCATAATTCCACAATTTATATTTTGACAAGTGCTCCAATGGAGCAGGCACTTATACACATTGCACAAGGGTTGGATTGCCCTTTAACAAGTAAATGTTCTACTTTTCTGTATAGTTTCTTGGGGAGATCTTCCATTTATATTGTGAGAGAGAAACATAAAATCCTGTATAAATTTGTTAGTTACTTTTGTTCATTTTAATTCAATTCTAAACAGCCTGAACATATTCCCAAAATGGAAATTGTTACTGAACGATAGTCAGCTATTCCAAGTGTACGACAAAAGGAGATCATGGAGATTAATACGTAGGGCGATACTTATCACTTTCAATTTCAATCTATTTTTCCATTAAAAAATAATATGATTTCAGATAACAGAATAAACAAGCGCTTGGGGTTTATAATAAGAGCTTGTTATGATATGTACAGCACATTTATGTAGAATATGAATTGGATGTATGGGTTTTTGAAGGCTTTGTAAAATGTATTTCCCCACACAATATTACAATAATTGATGTAAATAGTTCAATATATATTTTTTTGTGGAAATATTTTTTGAAGTGTGATTTGGCGTCACCTGAGCCTGGGATAAAACTAACTGAATCACTGTAAAGGTTGGGTCTCTCCTCCCAGTATAACAGGTGGAGCACTAGTGCACTACACCCAGGGCCCAAGGGTCGTTTCTCAAAACCGTCATAATTACAACAAGATCAACACAACTTGACGCTGTCGCTCGACTTGTTTGCTAGGTCCTAGGTGTTTCACAAAACTATCTTTACCAAGACGAGCAACAACTTCCCCGACAAGGGAACTAGCCATGTTTTCAAACTTGTTAAATCTTTTTAGATTGCCGTCTCAAGGCAACTTAAGGCTAGTCTAGATCTATGTATGGGCAGTGAAAAAATGAAAACTGAATTGAAAAAAAAAAACTTCTATCATGACCTTCAAGCTCTCAATTGATTGATCATTTTTTATTGATGTTAAAGAAAGTCTATGTCTACGTCTATGCTGGTACTCGTCAAAAGCCTGACGAGACTATGTGTCTTTCCTGTTGCATGACTCGGGGCCAACCTGGTACTGGTAGTGGTATAATATGACTATGGATGACGCGACCGTAGCAATCACCTGCGTGCAACATACGTGAAACCAAAGCGTGAGGAGAACTTGGGTCTGTTTCGCGAACGCTGACCATGAGTAGGGGCGCTGGTCCGAGAATGAGGATCGTCCGCCGAAACGAGGATACATGTATATTCTATATCCTCATAAACGCGGACAAATTGCGTCCCCAAAAATAAAGATTGTCCGCATTTTCGCAGACGTTTTTTTGTCATCGGCGCTCTGCAGGTTTCGGGTTCCTGAACCTCGCGCTGATGACGCGATAAAATAAAACCCACCATTCACCATCTACTTTTATGGGTTATCTGTCTTCCGAGGATTTATCGCTTATAATCAAAAACGTGAAAGTCTCTGTACTGTAGGCTCTAGATCTAGACCCTACAACTTACAAAGTCAATGTGAAATGCATCAAGAAAATCATTGCAGAATTTGTGTTTCGCATCGCCAACGTGGGGATCAGAAATTATATGAAACGTCTGTGAAAATCCTTATATTAGGGAGGCCAATGCCCGGGCGTAAGGCTTCTACGCCTACGATTTGTGCGCTCGTCGTCCAAGTCAGAAAATTACCAGAAGAAAAAAAAAGGGGAAAAAAAAGAAAACAAATATCTATGGAATAAAATGTATAACAAATACACAATTACACACTCCACAACATACCTATAATCACGGATCTGTAATGGTCTTTCACCATTTGTTGACGATCTTGCAGATTTTGATGTATTTTGATCCAATAATTGCGCTAGCAGACGAAAATAACGGACGGACAAGAGAAACTAGACGGGTCCTAGAGGGCGATGAGGTTAGCTCTCTAAAATCCTTCTCAATGACTGAAGGTAGCGCCTAAAAATATGGAATCAATTTAATATCAAAGAACTTTTGATAGAGATTAACATATCAGTTGTGCACAGATGTCACTTTTAACAACTAGAAAATATAACGAAAAAGGATTATATCTTTTTAATTGCAGATTTTTACAAACTGCACAATCAAAGGTAGATAGAGTACGATGTTTTTGTCAATCTTGCGTTGGTTTGAGCCCCATAGCTAGAGCCATCTCAAATTGGGGAGCAAAACTGTGAACAAAGACGTCATTGTTCCAGCCCAAAATAGAAGTCTTGCGACATCATAATATGAATATGTATGAGGTCCGGTCTCATCGCGCGCAAAACAAATTTGACGTAGTCTCACACATAGTACCTTATTCTCAGCACTAGGTCAGTGTCGTGCAGTAATGTATGAGAAGTGTAAAAAAAGACATTTCAGTAAAAAAAAAAAAGTCTACGTGAGCAGTCTATACTCCAATTGAGAAGTGTAATGAATGCCATGATTTGAACGTGTGTGTTTTAGTGTATGATATCATCATATGGTTAGTGAGAGAGAGAGAGAGAGAGAGAGAGGGAGAGAAATATCTCCGTCAGTACACGTCTATCAATGCGTGCAGTCCTATTGACTATGTTTGATTCCGTATTGTGTTCGCTGCAACTGTTGGATTTATCGATCGTATTGTGTTCGCTGCAACTGTTGGATTTTGCAGTGTCAGATTGATCTTTACTCATGAGGAAATAATTGAAATACATATCAAAACTAAGGTAGGCCTATTTATTTATTTCAATAATTTTCTTAATTTACAATGAGTGGTTTTCGAGCTTTCTCTCATTATGTTTTGACCCTCCATGCCGTGGCATGGCTAGCATGGCTCGATTGCGGCTTGCATGCAATTACCGTACCTGGACGGCCTGCAGTACTGTGTCGGTGTGTGCGACTAATTCAAGGCTAGCCGGTGATGATGAATGTACTTTTGCGCGAAGTTTTGAACTTGTTGTCCGGGCAATGACCATGATGACACGCCCATTCCCTGGGGCCTGTCTAATTCTCGACGTAATTTTTGGGACCATGAAATTGATTGTTTCAAGGCTCTTACGTACGGCCAGGCGTAGAAGGAAGCTCATAGGAACTAGCTGGATATCTCCTATTTTATGGAACTTATGGAGTCGGCAGATGGGTGAGTTTTCTTAGTGAAAGTAAATGTAGGGAGGCCAATGCCCGGGCGTAAGGCTTCTACACCTACGATTTGTGCGCTCGTCGCCCACTTCAAAAAATTAGCAAAGGGAAAAAAATGATGTAAAAATAAAAATTGAAGAAAATATGAAAAGAAAATACAATTATACATTTCACAACATACCTATAATCACGGATCTGTAACAGTCTTTCACCATTTGTTGACAATCTTGCAGATTTTGACGTTTTTTATTCCAATAATTGTGGTTGCAGACGACCTTGACGCACTCGCACCACCGACTAAGAAAATCCTAGAGGGCGTAGAGGTTTGCTCACTAAAAACCTTCTCATTGGCAGAAGGTAGACCCTAAAAATATGGGATCCGTTTTGAGTAAAGAACTTTTGATAGAGATCAACATTTCAGATGTTCACAATTGCCACTTCTAACAACTAGAAAATATAAAGAAAAAAGATTGTATCTTTTTAAATACAGATTTTTACAAACTGAACATTCGAAAGTAGATAGAGTACGATGTTTCTGTCAATCTTGCGTTGGTTTGAGCCCTATAGCTACATCCATCTCAAAATGAGAAGGAAAACAGTGAACAGTGACGTCATTGTTCGCGCCAAAAATAAAGGGTATTGCGACATAATCTGAGCTCCGGTCAGATCGTGCGCAAAGGCGTAGTCTTATTTATAGACCCTAGTACCTTATTCTCACAGCACTAGATACGAGTGTCGTGCAGTAATGTATGAGAAGTGTTAAAAAGATATTTCAGTAAAAAAAAAAGTCTACGTGAGCAGTCTATACTCCAATTGAGAATTGAAATGAAAGCCATGATTTGAAGGTGTGTGTTGTATGGTACATGGTTAGTGAGTGTGTATGTTACGTATAGCGAAAGGGAGAGAGAGAGAGAGAGAGAGAGAGAAATATTAGTACACGTACGTTGCATGCATGGATGTGCGCTATGATTGTGTTCGCTGCAAGATGGATTTTAATTGGACCTCGTAACTTCTCGATCGTTGATAATAAGGAATACTCATGAGGAAATCAAATTATTGGAATACACATCTAAGGTAAATATCAATGAATTATATATATTTCTTTCCTTTTTTGAACCATCGTCTTCGCCTCGTAGTAGTAGAAGATGTAATCGTTCGCACATTGATGGCTGGACTTCACTTCAGCCTGCATCGGGGCTTGCCTGTGTCGGTGGAGGGATCAACTTAAGAAGAAGGTGTGTACGTGTGCGACCGATTCAAGGCTAGCCGCTGTTGAGTGATTGCACTTTCGCGCGAAGTTTTAAACTTCATCATGAACTTTGTCCCTCGGGCCTGTCTAATTATGAACGTAACTTTGCGACATGAAATATAATTGTTTCAAGGCTCTTACGTACGGAAAGGCGTAGAAGGAAATGGCTACAAACCAGCTGGATATCTCCTATTTGATGGAACCTATGGAGTCGGCAGATGGGTGGATTTTCTTAGTGAAAGTAAATGCTTTCTTTTAATCTTAGTTTTAGTATAAACAAATTAGTAATTAAAAAGTTAGATTTGGGCATTGGCCTCCCTAGTAAATGCTTTCTTTTAATCTTTGTTTTATTTTAAACAAATTCGTAATTAAAAAGTTAGATTTGGGCATTGGCCTCCCTACTTATATTTTGTTCAAGAAAGTGGGGGCGTGGTGCAACTATGAGTAGACTCTATGAATGATGTTTTGCCGGATCCCGATCTCGATCACTCACCACGCTCACTCACAAAACAAATGGCGTAAATTCTAACGTTAGGTGTAGATTCTACTTACCATAACAAACATGACCGAGGTCGAGTACGAGTGATGGAACTTGGACTTGGAGTTGGAAGAATCGCGAGTCGAGAGCTGGAAATGCCTGGAACTTGGAAGAGTGAAGAAATGAATGCAGCTGAGCTGCAGCTACACAACACACATACACAGGAAGAGATCAGATGCTCTCAAAGTTGTGCAAAACTCAATCTCGAAAAGACCTTATTCTCGAGCTAGCTGTCGGCAATGAACTTAACGTACCTGGAGCAAAATTCGGGGCAACGTTGCAGATTTTACAGGAAAATAATACACGCATTCTCGAGTTACGTTTGCAAGTACCGTAGTTCGATCGCACGTAGTGAATAATTGTATTGCGTCTTTACAGGGAAAATAAAAGGGAAAAAACGACCAAAAGGCGAAATGGTTATTCTGTGTATGTAACATGTAGCGCTCAGCGGATCCAAGAGGGGTGAAGGAGTCGCAACTTTTTGAAGAAAAAAGTCACTTGGGGCCCGTTTCTCGAAACCGTCATAAAAAGTCTAACTTCTTGGACATCCCATTGAAACGTGATAGATTCAAAACGCGTTCCACAAACTTAGACTTGTGACGGTTTCGAGAATCTGGCGCCTGGCTCCCAATAGCTCTCCCAACTTCAAGACCATGTCATCCATGAATTTTTCAAATTTAATTCGCTACAATCATACCTTTTCTTGATATGATAATAATAATAATAATAATAATAATAATAATAATAATATAATAATTAAAAAAGATATATAATAATACAAAATAGTATAAAACATGGCTCTGCTAATCCGATTGCACCTTAGGATCCGGGGTGAAATGAAAAGAGGCTAGATAAATTGGATTCTAGCTTCTTGTCCTAATTTTTCGAATTTGAGAAGGTGGTTCCATGTTATATTTCTTGTTAATATTGAAAAATTCAGATCCTCAGGTAAATTGCATGATATTAATTATTTGTGGTAGCTCATTTTCAGATTCTTATTTATTTCATTCGTAAAAGTATTATATAATAAAATGACCCCCCCCCCCCCTCCCCCCCCCCCCCCCCCTCCAAAAAAAATGAAAAACACAAGCTGACGGGTAGGGAAAAAGGAAGGAGTGTGAGTTTAAAAAACTAGGAATCAAGTTTATTTGACCTAACTAATTTGGCACAGAGAGAGAGAGAGAGAGAGAGAGAGGAGAGGGGGGGGGGGGGGGAGCCATTTCGCGGGGATAAAAACTCACTATGATCTTCCACTGTCTATCCCTTGTCATGATAACATGGGGGCAGTGACGTAACCGTTTTGACGGATACATGAACATGTAGGAGTATAATCCAATAGCATATTAAAGCTCCAATGCAACCAGCTAAAGTGGAAATAGCCCTATATAGAGAGCTCGCAATTTTAGTGCGCATTCATTACATCTACAGATTATGTCGACGTCGTAATCAATTATATACTTTGAAGCCACATTTCATACAAATTACATAACTACGCACCTTTTATAAATAGAAGGTTCCAGACAGGATCACTGTTGCGCGCATTTTAATCAACTATACGTCTAAAAGATTAAAGCGGGTACCTGCTATATACTTACCTCTCCCCCCCCCCCCTCTCTCTCTCTCTCTCTTCTCCCCCCCCCCCTCTCTCTCTCTCTCTCTCTTTTTCTTTCTCTCAGTCGTCACACTACTCGTACTGTAAAGCTATCGCTTCATTTTTCTCTCTGCACGCACGCTTGTATTATTTTGTTTTGTTTGTTCGTTTCGTTATTAATTTGTTTGTTTTCTGATCCGTAGAGAGAAAACATGGAGATAACATGGGTAAAGGTTTTTATTTAAAAAACACGATTAGAAATGATAAAAGGAGAGGGGAAGGTGGAAACAAGAAAGGGGGGAAGAGAATGAATTACAATTTACAATGATACGAATATAGAAAAGGAGGGAGAGGACTAAAACGAGTGGAAGGGGAGAGACCAAGAGAAAGATAGAAAAGAAATACTGTTTGTGAAAGTGAAAGAGAGAAGGGAACAAGAACATACAGATGGGCATTGAATACAGATCGTTTTGAAACAGAAATCTTATCCTTTGCATAATCACATGAATATGCCATCCAGTCATTTCATCGGTTATCCACTTTGCAATTATAATTATCTTCTCTCATTCAAAACTTTCGAGGAGACCATTTTGATTTTATCGTGGTTGTTTTTGTTCACTCATTCACTCATAATCAGGATTCAATGTAGCACGGGTGTTCTATTCAAGTTTATTGTCAAATACACAATACCTTAGCGTCAACATATTACTATACTACATACAAAACGACTTACATGTACACCGCTATATTAAAATTGAATATTATTATTATTATTCACCACTGAACTGAGGAAGTTGAGAAAATTTACATCAATCTAATTACAGATTGAGTATAATTCATTCTTATTGACATTCTCATGTCATCCATTTTTATATGCTGTACTATGCAAGGGGTACGTACATTAGAATCAAATTATGAAATGTTGATTCATAACAGGGAAAAAACAAGTACATTTGAGTTTTGTACAACCAAAATGGGAGCGTTCAGGATGTTCGATGTATAGGGCATGAACGTTTAAATAGTTAATCAAGCTTACCAGTTTCTTCCATAATCCCGATGTTACAAAAGTTTCATTTTTTAATTAGCTCAATTTCTTCACTTTTGATAAATTTTGAAGTAAGCAGTAGACTTTTTTCTTCTTTTATCTGGTATCAAATCGGTCTGGATTCTGGAAGATTTTATAAATTATTCTTAATAGAGTGCACTCGCAAAACGCATCGGATTATCTTACGAAATAGGAATGATGATTTATGTATATAATTATAATGCATACAACATATTTCATCAGTGGTAGTCTATGAGTTGAAAACGTACTTTAAATGAAAACATAAAAACATCGATTATACACAGTAGGTAATGGATTTTGTAACTATAACAGAACAATGCCAAATAGAATCAGATGAGAGTTGGACAAAATAATGTTGATAGTTAATAACTTTCGGCAACTTCTTATGACGAAGGTAGATTAAATAAAGTATATTTATTTGGACTATTTGTAATTACCATATAATATGAGATATATTTTCAAATTGATTTTGTTTCAGTAGGCATATATAGACCTTAGTCACGATAAAAATATCAAGGAGGAATTATCAATTTAGTATAAAGAAATCTATTCGAAATCCTGTGGTTTTGGAGGATATTATTTCCAAAATACATTGCATTTCTTGCCATTCAAATTATTTCATTAGAAGTTGTAAAACAATCAGGAATAAACTGCACTTTTTCTAGTGTTCGAACCTTTAAAAGTCTTGTTTCTGACTATTTTACGTGTTATTGATAGGCACTGAATGTTATTCTCCCTTTGATTTACGTATCTATACCTGATCTGCTCAGGAACCGGAAATCGTGTGAACGCCTCGACCGAAAGATGGCGCAATTAAAAATAAATTACAGGAGTGGTAGCGAAGTCGGTAAAATACCTTGTCATTCCAAAACAAAAAAATTGCCAAAAATGATAGCCAAAGAGAAATCAAATATAATTACCATGACATTGTGTGACGCGCATCGACATATAAATAAAACCAAACATCTCAAAAGCGGACACTTTAATTTTACAATAGGAAATACATGTAAACTAGGAAGACAAAGACATATTTATTACTATTGAGAATGAGGTAAATACGTAACTTTAATACATGTATTTAGATAAGTAGAGACGGATAATGCTATAATAAAATACATCTACAAACAATTATCCACAATATCTTAAAACGTTAGTAAAGAACGCTTTGTATTTTTTTTCTTCTACAGTTGGCACATCTCCCTCAATAACAGCATAGTAAAAATACTATCATTTATTTCCTAAAACGACCGCTTTTATAACAAAACATAGTTAGAACAAGGTGAAACTATATATACATCTTATATACAAAATAGTTCTGTTAAAAATCTCCTCTCACTTATGTTCGATGTGTTCTCATAATGAAAGAGACAAAGTGCGTGTTCTCACATAGATTTATCACGTGATTCTAATTGCAACTTGATTTGAATCATGATTGCTGTCCATATATTGTGTTCAGACGTGTACGGAACAAGATGTGAGATGTTGAATCGTATGGCCAGCGGTAAATGAACGATAAATAAGACATTATTTACATGTATGTGCGATACTGCGATGTACAGACGTTAATACGTTTTTGTTAACATGTAACGTGATCAAGCAAGTTTAAAATAATGATTCATAGAATCAAATCTACGTGTGAACGCGCAGATAAAAACACATTATTCAACTGTATATATAAAATGATCAATGCCCTCCTCACACCGGAGTAATTGTGAATACAAGGACAGAATACAATATGCAATTCTTACAACAGATTTGTACATAATTATAGTAGGGTTCAGAAGTATATCCATGTGCGCTTTTTTATCGAGCTTCAAAACAATATCGAATCGAAATGAATAGGGAAAAAAGAAGCGCGAAGAAAATAAATTGAAGAAAATGAAACGAATTAGAATAACGTGAAGGTGTAAGGAGAAAACAAAACAGTATAAATTAAAAAAAAAGACTCGGGGAAGATAAAACATTGGGACTTTTACTGGACCATCATATTTCATAAGACCTATATCTTTAAATAAAATCCTACCCTCTTGGTACACTTTCTATACTCTGCCTTCAATTGAGGAATGTCCGCTTTGAGTACATTACCTTGCGATGATAATAATCTTAAAATGAGAACTTTCCAAACAATTCACGCTCCCAGGAACCCTTCGGAGGGTGACTTAACAAATCCGCTTCCAACAACTCCATTTACAACCTTTTCAGCCTATACGTCTTGGAAAAAATGAGTTTGCCTACTGTTATGATGACAAAATAGAAAAAAAAAAAAAATGGAGACGAGAATCTTAGGATTTCTTTCGCATCAGAAAATATTTTGGACTTCCAGTCATGATACTTCAAGTGAGCATCAAAATTGTAATTGTTTATGTTCTTTTCCCCTAGGAGTACCCTTTGTAATCTTAATAGTCAGAAAACAACATAAATTGACACTTTGAGAAATAGTCAAAAGATAATCCCGCCGTGTTATCCGTCCACTCAGGCTGCGTCCACTCCATTATAAAAGCTTCCTGAAAATCAAATCGGAGATTCTTCTGAATCATCACAGCGCCACCTGTCGTCTGGATCGTGTACATGTCATGGTTTTCAACTCCATCTAGATTTTGGTCATCTGTTGAAAAAGTATAGCTATACACAAATACGGTACTGATATACAGCCAGTGGTGTCTTTTATCAATAAGGAACACCATGAAAGTTCGTTGCGTGTCGTTGAGAAATTACTGCAACATCAGGGGCTTGTTGAGGTACCATGTTGCTATGGTTACGCCGTAACCGACGCGCATCCGAGGAAATCGCTGGTAAAATGACGAGGGTAACCCGGATCCACTTCGTACTTGCCCTTTGCTACACGATAGTACTTCTTTCCTCGTAGCAAGTAAGAATTTCCTGTAAAGAAATATGAAAAGGGTAAAACAATATATGTAAATGGTTTGAACAACCATGGTCGGAACAACATCATAATTCTTCGATCTAAAAAGTCTCTTAAACACAAAATTTCTGTCAGTTAATTATCATTTTCTTTCTTGACTGTCCATGCTTCTACTAATTATTAATGTTATTTGTTTACTTTTTTTCTTTATCATGAAGTTGATAATGATTTACACATACAGGGAATTCGGTAACACAATAATGTCGTCCGAGGAAATTTCTTTCGGTGTTCGTTTATTTATTTTCGACTCAAGTTGGAATTTGCTTTGTTTTCTTGTTTTATATCTTGTTCTTTTAAGTTTGAGTGATTGAGATAGCTTAGGTGTTCTTTTTATTGTTTATTTAAGTCCACTCAACTGAGGGGTTACTGATTGTCTAGTGGTAGCCTACAAACTCAATAGTTGCTCCTCGTAATTATCTTCGGGTATATAGCAGTTAACGGAGGAGACTGTCTGAATGCTCACCATCATCATGTTGGAAAGCTGCCGTGACTTTATCCCCGAGACCAGTAAAGACCTCTCCAATCTTCTTAGGGTATCCGTTATCCACTGACTTCTTCCTCTCATCGAATCTCCAGACCTGGTCTCCTTTAAAGAAGAAGGTCTTAGCCTTGGTCTTCGATAACGCGGCATCCACGCCCTTGGGTAGGCCTAGCTCGGCCACCGGTCGTGGGTAGCCAGGCTCCATCTGAGAGCCGAAGTAAACCCAATATTTGGCACCTGCAAAGAATGAAGATGAAGCAAGATGTGTCAGTCCCATTTGGACAAATAATACCGTATGGTAACATGGAATTACATGTAGTATCAAAATAAGTTTGAATATTGATAAACCGTTATTATTTTAACCCCAGTCTTTTGTCATAACCTGATAACGGCGGCGCCATACGGATCTCGATCTTGCAGTGAAAAAAATATCTAAATTGTATGACAAGACAAACAAAAATAAGGTTGCCTTTCTCTTCAACGCTATTATACGATTCTTCATTGTGTTAACAAATGGTTGAATCCGATCAGTTCAATTAAAATTCACGAGTACTCGCGGCATAACTTAATTATCAAACGTAAAATAGCAAACGTTGGGGGAGGAGGGGGGGGGGGATTCCACTTTGGCTGTTTCAAGATTAATTTATCTTTAGCAAAAGTTTTTTAATATGTGTAATATTATTTTGTTTGAAAACTGCATAAACTACAATATACATGTATTTCGGTTTAGTCTAGCTCCAATATACCCTTTCTTACTAAACCAAACGCCAAGATTTACCTCTGAAGAAGACGGTCTTGCCATCTCTTCTCTGATACGATGCCCTGATGTTGGCCGGCAGGTGGTACCATTTATCATGGATCTTACGACCATCCTTAGGAGTGACGAGCAAACGACGCCATGATCGCCAATAAAATTTACCCTAAAGAGAAACAAAAGAGACAAAGCGTTTTAATGTTTAGCCTATAGAGAGAGAGAGAGAGAGAGAGAGAGAGAGAGAGAGAGAGAGAGAGAGAGAGAGAGAGTCAAAGATAAGCAGTCACGCAAATTGCATAAGAATATGATACTTTTCCAACCGTTCGATGGGTGGGAATGTGCCCATTATCCAATATCTAACCATTTTCCAGATCACTTTGATTCAGTTATGATCGTAACTTCTATAACGTATATAACTATAATCGTACCCTCGGTTAGACCCATTACTCGTTTTAAAACAAAATGGTTTCTAAAGAAGTGATATGACTGATTCAATTATCATAAAAATATGATTATTGCTCGAAGATGTGGTTGTTATTTAAACATTTTTCTTTTGAAGGGCCCCTGCATTGTCTTTTATGAAGTGTCAGAGATATCTGAAGACGTTTCAGTCACGTAAAAGTCATCATTATAATCGACATGGAAGATGGAAGCGCTCTGTCCTCTGACACAACGAATGTATTTTGTCATGGTCGTCAAAGTGTTTCAATTTGGCATAGAATGCAAGATACCCTTCTAAAAGTGATTTTATTTTTTTTAAATCATGATTCATGTTTAATAAAGAAAAATCCCCTTTTCTTTTTCTAGAAGACGAATTTGAATACTTTATTAGTATATTTAAGTAAGAAAGAACAGATAATTATTATACCAACTCAAGAAGTAGGCCTAGTTTTAAAGGAATCACATTAGTGTAACCAGTCTCGCTACTTACAACACCCTTGACAGCAAACACAATCTTTTTACCCTACACGTCCACATGAAACCTCAAATGTTATATCAAACCTTTAAGAATGAGATGTTAGTAGTCCGAACATAAAGAATAGATCAACTTATAAATAGGACATATTTAGGTACTTTTTTTACACACGACATAGTGTTATACAAACCTTGAATGTGTAGATACTGCCACTAATGGAAGTGACTGCGCTGTACCCAGACGTGCAATATGATTTCTTCGAAGGCTGTCGGACTAAAGTTGATTTCGGTCTTGGACCTTGGTCTATTCTCACGTTGGGCACCCTAGGACTGGTCTTCGTTCCTATAAAAATCATTACAAAATAAGGGATAGGAAATAAGGAATAAGGCTTCTCCTTAAATCAAACGATATGTGATTAGACACACTGAACACTACGATAAGGTACAATCAGAAAGTGAAGGTGGAAAGTGGTATTATTATGATTTTCATGATCATGATGATAAATGAAGAGATATTATTGAGATACTAATTAATATATTCATATAAATTAAAGATGAATAACCACATAAAGTATTTGGTAAAATTATGTGACACAATTCAAGTTAAAATTTCAAATGAAATAATGCTTATCTGCCGTAGTTTACAGGAGGGATTAGACTGCCCTGCAAGGTCACTGGACAGGTGGTTATCTCATCAACTCAGCTCTCAGTTAACATAAGAAAAAGAGGATCATGGGGACCAATGGTCACCGATTAGGCATTGTTTGTTATATAGAGGGCGCAAGTAGCTACAAGTAGTGCAGTGGGCCTTTGAGTCGTTTGCAACATTAATATTGATAAGGTTTGAAGGGATCGACATACTTTAACATATATGTACAATGTATATTGTCATTAAAACAAAACAAAAGTTAGCAAATAATTGTCCATTTCGTGCATTCTGTACTGATTAAAGATAAAATAATAATAATTATGACCAAAAACAATATTCACAGCAAATTGTGAGGAAATCAAATATATTCTTATTAGGCACGAACTGAACAGATGCAAAAATGAAAATAATAAACCATGCGATTTAAGGAAAACGGAAAATTAAAATAAGGACGATGAGAAGAAAATGTCCATGTCGCCATTATTCATATTTATGCAAATTGAATAAACTAAGCTAGCATAAAATTCATCTGAATGACTTAATATGTCGGGTATCACACATTTATCAGAAGACATTAATAAAACAAAGCGCCATTGACATTTCTCGCTGATAACATACCAACTGAAATGTATTGATGTTTGCAATATTAGTAATGACTTTTATTTGCATTTCTAGTGATCTTATGATGCGCAAATGATAGTATTATTGAATATGTACATTATGACTTAATTGTTAGTGGAGTACTCGAACGTAAAACTTTGATGAACGAAAATGAATTGGGTGAACAAATATTTTCAAATGAAAAACCTCACAGCAGCTAAAGAAATTTCCTATGCACATTAATGAATGCAAATTGATGAAAATCGGTTAGAAAAAAAGAAAATCAGCTCAAAGAAATGGATGCTGGAATGAACTCTGGAAAACAGTCCTCGGTTGCTTACTCTTTTTGCTATGTTTTCGTGATTTACGTTTACGCTTTGGTGGATTGGGATTAGGTCCTATACAGAAAGAAACATGTCAGAGAGTGTGATGAAATATGAGAGTTAACACAAAAGTACAAGATATCAACAAGAACAAGAACAATATTAACAATAACAACACAAACAACAACAATAAGAGCAACTGTAATAACAGCAACAACAACTACGAGCATGTTAAAGAAAATTTCAAGAAGAAGACAACGTTTAAACAATACAGCATAGCGAGAATACAAATAATGAAAATGGTCATAAAGAAGTAGAAGAAGAACAATAACAACAAAAACAATAACAAGAAAAATGATAATAAGAAGAAAAACAAGAACAAGAAGAAAAATACGAAGCAGAAGAGGAAAAAAAAAGAAGAAGAGTTGGAGGAGGAGGAGAGAGATGAGAAGATGGTAGAACAAAATATTATATGTACACGTAATGTTGTAGTAGATGAACAGACAGCTGTCAGAGAATGAGAAATGGTGAAAAGGAAAAGAAAATGTGGTGACGATGAAACATCAATTAAGTGAACGCAGCGAAAAAAAAGGAAAAAAAGAGACTTTGGTGAAAATGTAAAGAGCGCCACCTCCCATACCGCTCAAAAACTCTTGGAGACCCATTACTACCAGAGTAGTGATTCATTTCTCTGGAAAGGAATAACATATTGATAATATCAAGCTACCCAAATAATATGAATTGTAGATTCAGAAATCATACATTTCAAGAACCATTGTTTCACAAATTACTTTCAGTATTTTCAGTATGGAAATGAACTACAGGTGAATGGGCTAACTTTCAGATGTCACATTATACTTCTTTATATCAAAACTAGGTATGTAGACAATCCCCGATAGAAATTCTAAATTCTAACAATACAAATATTAACCGGGTGGTACCAAGCCTATGTGAATGAAAGAATTTGGTAGTCAATAGGTTAAAACGCTGAGTTGATTCTGCATTACAATTATGGCTATTTTTTAATTTAACGAAAAAGAATTTAGACGTATATTATGATAACATATATTAAACTGAATTATTCAAATAGCACAGTAAATGATCCTTCAAATGGCAGTATGTCAGGTTAATACTCAAAATGTATATGGTTTTTAGTATTATGATCATAATCTTACCATAAAGAGCTTGAACCCCTCTGATGTCATCGTCGGGTAGCTCAAAGTCCCTCATGAAGTGATAGTGGGGCCACATAAGAGCTTCCGGGTCATTCGAATGATCCAAGCCGAGGGCGTGGCCTATCTCATGAGCTGCCGTCTGGAAAAAGTTATATCCTGAAAATAATGGCAAAATAAAAAAGAAAATGATGATAACAATTCTTAGAGATTTATTCAATACATGAAGCATTGAATGAAATGAGCGAACAAGCGCTGCATATTGTTCAGCAAAATTATTAATGATTCGATTTACCGCGTAGTACATTTTCTCTTAAATTTTGACCTTTTTGTTCGACAAACGTACCATAATCATTATAATCGTAATAAAACTGGAGAATTTTGCCGGATATTTATCCCACTCCGTGCTTGTTTGACTAATCTGGCTGTTTATAATAACTGTGTTTGCCTCGATGTCCGACATGAGGGTACATCAAAGGCTTATTTTTTGACATCTTGATCTCCATTAAATCTGAAATTGCGTTTCCGTTATCATTATTTAGATATCCAAGTTCTTTCCAATTTTCCTGTACACATACAGCCTTTTATATTGTTAATTACTGAAACGAAGGACGAAAGACATCCATGATCGTATCATCAAACCAAAAAACAACAAAAGAAGAAAACAAATTACAGATCTACCTCTGTCATTGTTTCCAAGTGTGAACACGTCATCGTCATCGAAATGGATGTCGCCGTTGACTTCGCCCCATCCGCTCTTCGGTGAGAAGGCATGCGCGAGGTCGCCGTTGGGCCCATCGAAGATCGGGTGCTCGAGGTCGTGCGAGTGACGACCCTTCATGAAAGCGATACGGACCATCGCCTGGTTGACTTCGTGACCATGGAGTTCAGTGAACACGAGAGGTGTGACGTCGCTCCAGACTTCGAAGGCGCGTTTGATGGTGTTTCGTAGATCGGAGAGTTTGATGCCGCCTCGCGTTGGGAAGTTCACTAGGCTGAGGACGAGAAGGAGAAATATAATGAAATTGTTATTGAAGAAGAGTTACAATTAGCATGAGAAAGAAAGAAAACAAATCTCAATTCAAATGTACTATTCCACATATTACGTCAAAAATAAAAATGCTGGATATTTATCACAAATGTCCCAAATAGAGCACAAACCAAAACAGCTTCGAAGCAAAATGGATTACTAGACATTTATAACATTAATGTGCTTATTATGAAAATGTCAGGTTTCTGGCTAACGGATACATTAGTACAATAATGAACTACAATGTCCTCACTCATTGTTTTCTTTAATTCATTTAGATTTTAGGGCGTTGACAGCTGTATCACTCTTATACATGTAGTGTCAGCGTTCTAAAGAGAATTCAATATATATATCGTATCATAAATTAAAATCATGTAAATTAATATTTTAAAGAAGACACTATAGTGTATTAAAGTAGAAGAAAGATTTGAACTTTTCTTTAGTTATGATACTTTAAAGTGTTAAGGGCAAATGGCTTTCGAAAAGTGACTTGCTTTAGAAAGTCCAGGGGGTGTTTCACAAAGATCCTAAGTTGAACTTAACTCTAAGTTGGACTTAAATATTATGGAGAGCCATTTGTAGCCTTGAAATTAAATATATTCACAATCGAAAAATGAAGTATTTTAGAATTTTGATAAATTCCACATCAAGGACATGAAATTTCCTTAATAATAGAAAATATAAATGATTAGAATCAACATTTTATGCCTTTTAAATTAACTTTTACAAAATATTTTCATAAATGCTAACAGCTTTCCATAATTGTTCAGTCCAACTTAGAGATAAGTTCAACTTAGGATCTTTGTGAAACACCCCCAGGCCAATCGCACTTGGGAGTTCAAGGACCTTTGGCCAAACACAATTGAATAGCATTGAATAAAAAAAAGGAAGAGATTTATAGGTGACTTGCATTCTGTATTCTTTCTTGGAAGTGAAAAGAAAGAACTTTAAATTGTGTTAAAGACCTCCTGGTTGATTTGTTTTACACGTGTTTCATTTTACAAACTATACCCTGACCACAATTAATTTGAAAAGAAGATCGCACGACAGCTAGGGCACAGCTGCGCGATCGGAAAATAATTTGATAACTCGTCGAACAAAAACGTCTGCTAACTCCATGGGCCCATGGGCGAATGCAAATAATTTAGTGTTCATTGATCTCGCTGTGAACTTTTAGGACACAGCACAGGGTCGCCCCCAGCCAAAATGGAGCGTTGTCCTCCTCCTTCGAAAGTGTAAATGAATTTTGTTCCTTTTTTTGTAAAATGAAATAATTTGGAGGAGGGGAAAAGAGGGAGGGCATTACTGGGGGCATAGATCATCTCCATAGCAAGAGTAAGGCAATGGGTGGCGCAACAATTAAATTATTTCGAATAAATGACGAAAATTAGGGCATGGACATTTTTTATGGAAGAAGATCACTCTGGGTAGTCTTTAGATGTGGTTTATTGAATGGAAAGTGGGACAAAGGTGAACGAAGTGAAGGAGAGAAGTAAAGAGGATGGTGGGAGGGGGAGGGAGAGAGAGAGAGAGAGAGAGAGAGAGAGAGAGAGAGAGAGAGAGAGACAGAGAAAGGGGTAACAAGGAGAGTGCACCGGGGCTGTTTTAAAATGTTAACGTTTTATATTAAATGAATAGCACTATTGAAATATGACCGATTTGATACGGTTTATACATGACAGTTACAGCTATCATAAGATCATCACAAGGGGAAATAAAAGTTTTTTTTTGTCTGTTGGAAGATGAACAAGTTTCATGTGGTTTAACCATTTACGTTTAAATTAATTTCATTGAAAAGAAAACGGAAAGGAAGGGGAAATGAATAATAGTATCAATAATATGACGACGACGAAGAAGAAAAGAAGAAGAAGAAGAGGAAGACAACGACGTCGTACTCATTTTATTCAAAGGTGATATCTAAGGACAATCATGTTTCATTATTTTAAGACTTTAAAGGTATTGTAGTGTATGACACAAACTTAATGAAAGTTTATGTTCGATAATAAAGGACCTTGCACCATTTGGTTCTACTGAAATTCTGACGTCTTTCCTCGTCCTAAAAAAATGTATTTTAATCAAATTATGATGTCCTCAGTGTACGAGGTCCTGTCACCTGACTGCCGTGGTTGAACTCTCGAATCCTCTTCTTAATAACATTAAATAGTTACAGAAAGTTCACTCCCTTGAACTGTTTAATTACATCTGAAATGCGTCCGCTTGAAGGCCAGGATTCCTAATAGCTTACAGTCATAGGCCTACCAATCATATTTGGATCAGAAACGGTGAAAACTTGCATCCTGGACGTAAAAGGGCAACATTAGCTCATTGAAATAAGGTATGTGCATGATGCATCCTAATAGATGAGGGGTGCATGCAATAATTTAACCCAATGAAACTATTCAATATTGCACTTGTTTCGGTACAGTTAGAGTTTTGAACCTTTATTTCGTCGTTTATTGCACTTTGCACTTTGCTTCACAGTCATTATATTATAGTCCTGATAGTCATACACTAATCGCTGTTGTTTTTCGTATTGAGCGGAATTTGAATTTCACCGCTTTCTTTCAGATGTTACTAACTAATCACCGTTTTAATTCTCTTTAAAATAAATACTAAGGAGGAAAGTAGAGAGAGAGAGAGAGAGAGAGAGAGAGAGAGAGAGCGAGAGAGAGATGTGTTAAATATAAATGGCGATTCGAGAGAGTCTTACTTGTTTTGCACTGATAATAACTGTGGTCATAATAAAATACTATCACTTGTCCGTGAAAACTTTCCCAAAATCAGGTTACGCTTTCAACGATATCCAGTGCCTTTAAAGAGACGAAAAGACTTGGGGTGCAAAAAGAGCGAGCACACACCGGCCCCCGGGCACACACCCACCCCACAATGAACCTAAAATTACAATTTCGTCTTCAGAGTCCCGGATGCAGATGATTCTACATCCTACCCTTCCATCAACAAGGCACGTCTTAGAGATGGGCATCAGTTCGCACGTTCAGACATGATAAAGATCATGTTTGACCACGGAGAGGGCGGGTTGGTTTACCCTTGGAGATGGGCTAGTATTACAGTGTAATGTGAACGCTTCCGTCTCACAGAGGGACTCCAGATGTTTGAAGCGGGTCCTTCACTGCTATACGTCAGTGGTTTTACAGTAAATGTACAAAGTTCAGAAAAGGAGTATCGTAAGGTGTTTCACAAAGAGAATGGAAATTCGTCGAATTCATGCATAATAATGGTGCTTATAAAACATTAAATATTAATAACCTTTAAAACAAGTGGGGAAAGTTGTTCTTTTCTGGCAGAAAACTTAAGGACTCCATCTTTTTTTCTGGCAGAAAACTTAAGGACTCCATCTTGCTATAAGTTGACGTGTATAGTGCAACATCAACGCGGTGTGTATGCGCTCCTTTCAAAAGAGATTTTGGCACTCGTATCCGGACACCTACCCCCGTGGATAGTTGTCCCGGGGGTAGGTGTCCTAGAGGATGGTTTTCGTAGGGGGTAGTTGTCTGGTGGTAGTTGTCCGGGGGGAGGTAGTTGTCCTAGAGGGTAGTTGTCCGGGGGTAGTTGTCCTAGGAGGTAGTTGTCTGGGGGTAGTTGTCCGGGGTGGTTGTCCCGGGGTTAGTCGTCCTAGAGGGTGGTTGTCCTTGGAGGGTAGTTGACTGGGGGTGGTTATCCGGGGTGGATGTCCAGGGGATATGTGTCCTAGAACCACTGGCACTAACTATGTTATTACCTGTACGTTATTTGACTTGAATCCCACTTATAGCGTCCATCTGCGATGTCATACCGCCGAACACGATGATGCCCCGCCCTGTTCTCCACCGTCTCATTATGTAACGACTCCCCTACGTCTGGATAGCCGCATCTCGGCTCCCACATCACACCCCTGGTCCTCTCATCCAGCTCCCCCGTCACTGGTAGCTTGTAGAACTCTTGGAACCTCGAGATCGCATCCGTCACGACTGGTATATCCTTCTCGGCCTCGAAGGTGAACTCGTAGTTCCGCGGCCTGAGATAGCCATTGCGTATGAGGTAGCTGTATTCCTTGGTGAGAAAAATGGAAGAACAAAGGAAAGACAAACTTTTGAAGTTAAATGATAAACAGGAGTAATACAATGATTGGTTAGCAGGCGTTATAACGTAAGAATATTTTCTTTATATAGTTGCTCATTGATTATTAAAACATAATGACAAAAGAAAGTCAATTAAACATTACAAATCAAGCATCATTACAAATTACAAGTCGACTTTAAAACTATGTTACACAAATGACGAGAATGAATAATTCTGTTGTAACTTTTAGCGATCTCTCTCTCTGTCTCTCTCTGTCTGTCTCTCTTTCTCTATCTCTCTTTCTCTCTCTCCCTCTCTCTCTCTTTCTCTCTCTCTCTTTCCTCTCCCCTCCTTCTCTCTTTATATATATATATATATATATATATATCTATGTCTGTATGTCAGTCTGGTCGTCTGTCTCCCTCTGTCTCCCTCCTTCTCGCATTCTCCAAAAAGCTACTCAGTTCTCTCTCTATTTGTTTAATTCTAGAGTTGAACAAAGTAATCATGGCAATGGCCCATACATTCCTAAGATAGACAAAATAAATAAGCAAGTTTACTTTATATCCCCAAATGTTGAATCTTTAAACAGTAACAACAAATACAAATCCACCATGCATTATCCCAAATAGTACACTTTTAAAAAAGGTTTAAAATATGTGCAAGATTGCGATTATTCTTTACTTCTGTCATATCTCACGTTATCCACTGTCAGTTTTGTTCAAAAGAACAAGACGAAATGTGATATAAACGTAGAAGAATTTTGCATAATTATCGGTACATAAAATGTACCGATAAACACTTTTGTTTCCTTATAGTTACTTAATCATTCATTGAGAGAGAGAGAGAGAGAGGGGGAGAGAGAGAGAGAGAGGGGGGGAGAGAGAGAGAGGGGGGGGGGGGGTGCAGGAAGGTACCTGCTGTCATGCTATAAACAGGTGTTTTTATAGGACTAGGAAATAAATCTTTCCTTCAGGTAAAAATAAACTCTACATTTTCTTTTAGTTTAATCTTAAATCATTTCAAGTCTTGACACATTTGATTTTGCCGAAAAAGTACTGCTAACAAAATGTAAAGAATAAAATAAATTGTTTCCTCATTACCTATAACGAAATAAATATATTCAACCTTTGAAAGGGCACCGATTTCATCATCTTTTGTTAGATAATAGACATGATTATTAAACTTCCCTGGCAAGCAAACTATTTTGGCCCTTACGCTATAAATAATACTTGAACACAGCAGTGAACTTCCAAACGGGTAAAGTAAAGAGGAAGGCACCTATGAGAAACAAAAGAATATCTAAAATTGAAATAATCAATATGATTATGATCTCGGTGACAAGCCGAGGAAAGACATGGCGGAAAATAGCTAAACAAGTTTGGACGGCGACTGAAATATTGTGCAAACAAAAGCTTACTGACGCACACGATGAGAGATGTTAACAAGGGAATTTAGCTTTTGCTGACTGTAAAGAGCGTCTTCGATTTTATTTATGTAATTATATTTACCATCGCCATTGTTTACCATTTCAAACAGAAGAGTAAAATCTGACAGTTCAGTTGTATAAGTACGGACAATATTAGAAACGATAACAAAGATGTGCACTTTTGGGCTCTGTTGTTTTAAAAGACTCACCCCCTTTGGGAAATATATGTATTAAATTAATTATATCAGCTTGAATGTGTTATCTTTTTACATTACACATTCCCTTCACTGTCACATTCATTTACAAACATCCAAACATGGCAAACATAATCAAATCAAAAGTGAATCCTTCCTGGGTGGGCATATTGTGGTTTGCCTATCCTTGATTATCAAAACAAAATTAAATCAACACGCATGATTCGTATGATTATCAGGAGTGGAACGGCATTGTTATCCTTATTGTAGGAGTAGCTCCAGGCCAGAATTTAAAGCTAAAGAGTTAGATCATGGAGAGTTGGCGTGGTCGGGGAGAGTAGTCGCCCATTATTCTGGTGGTTCGCGGTTCGAATCACTGCAATGGAACTTACTTCTATCGGCAAGACATTAAGCTGCCATCGCCTCTCTATACCCAGGTGGGGGAAGGTTCCAGGATCATAAGGGTCCTTCAAACATGGCGTCTTGAGGATAACGCGGACATATTATAACCCAGCTGCCTTGGAACATTCTTAGATGGCTCAATCAGTGAGATGCATCATTACATAATTTATACCAAATTCACTTTAGACTACCTGTCTCACATGTCCAAACAGGTTTGGAGTCTAATAAGTGAAACAAAATTTTCTTTTTTATATTACGGAATATTGAACTATCAGGACTATTTAACTGTGATGCAAAGTGCAATAAATGACGAAATAAAGGTTAAAAACCCTAACCGTCATCTTTCAAAGGAGAATTTCAATCTTCTGCTAAAAAAATGGGGCCTCTTACAAACTTCAGAAAAATACAGATGACTAGACTTCGCTGTCATGTATGTAGGCCGCATAATATTTGTTTTGAGAGACGAAACTCGATCTGTGGATTTGAAAACTTCTCAAATACCATATCTAGGTTTGAGCCCACGAACCCTGGGAAAGCGAAGTGATGAAGAACGCTTTGCAACCGGGCGTGAGAGGCAGCAGACCTATAAGAAGTGCATCATCGGGATTGATCCGAAGACTTAGAGGGCGGTTTGTCTGATGTGACGTCAGTATTACATCATGATCAGCGTCCAGACTAAACATCGGAAAGCTTCTGTTTGGTGTTTCTATGATTATTATTGAAGCCGTGAGGATAATATCAGCGATAACAGTCAAAGCCATTGATTAGGAGGGTTTGGCCAACCTGGGTCCCGTCTTACAAAGAGTTGTGATTGATCCAAATCAATTGCAAGTTCTCAAATCAATCGCAAGTTTGCAGTCTCCAAAAACTGTCTCCTATCTCCTAATGTACAAAGTTGCGTAAGTTCCGATTGATATCAACTATTTGTAAGACGGGGGCCCTGGTTCGACTTGGGCACTTGCTGCTTTGTTTGGTAGGCAAAAATGAAATAATGAAAACCCTGTTGTGAACAACTGAAATCAAGTTGGCCAAACTCTGTGTATAGATGGCTCTGACCTCAGGCTTAGTATAAAAGAAGCATTAATGTGCACCCTAATCGGACAACAAAATAATCTTTCTACCCCCCCCCCCAAAAAAAAAATAAAAAATAAAAAAAAATTAGTTCACCTAACCTAAACAGCTGTGCCAAACCAAAGTCAAATTCTTTTTAGGTCGTTGACAATTTAATAATATTTTCTTAACATCGTTGAACCTTATAAACTATCTGTAAGTATATTTGACTCATTTGTGTTGCCTAAAGCACCTTCATCGTAATGCTTTAGCTTGTACAACAATACAAATGAATAAATGATAGCTAATGTAAAATGCGTAATCAAGAAAACTCATCAATAAGAGTTCAACTGAATAAACAGGTATACAAAATTCAAAACTTTCATGAAACTTGTATGACATACGTATGGTTTTAGCGTCTCGTGTTGTACAAACGAAACCCCCCAACAACAACACCTAGAACAACAAAATCAAAGCAATAACTCTGAAATGAGAGCGTTGGACAGGTTCATGGTTCAGATACTTGGAACAAAATCTTGAGGTAAAGTTTTTATGATTCACCAACATTTTTACGGATATACATCTGCTCGGAGCGGTACATTAATGTTGTTGAGCGATTAGTAATCCTTGAATTTCATCCAAAATGTCTTGTGGAGGAAACTTAATCCCTTGATGTCACAAAGGTAACTTATGACAGGCCCTAAACATAATAATAAATCGCTTATAAATCGGCTTTCATTCAACAGTAGGTGAACCCCCTCGCACACGAAGTGTTGATGTATTTTTGTAATAAGGCAACATAGGAAAACATGTGACGATGGCGAATAGTTTCTGTTGGGGAAGGTGGTCTAGTCTCCCAGAGATGGAACTAGATAGGGGGAAGGTGGGTGTAAGGGCCATGAACTTGGAAACAAGGGATACCTGTGCACTTTCACTTTGAGAACATGAATCATACACGCTAGAATCCATCTTGGGGATTGCTTTTGCAGGTTTTAAACCAGTGAAGCTTAGAACATTTGCAGCAAATCGTACCTGAGAATCGAGTGGGCTTAATAAAGTAAAAGGTATCTTTAAATTGTTTGTACAGGTACACCCACTTGAGTATTGAGATCGCCCATCCTGGTACTAAAAGTGAATATTGGTTAAAGCTTCCTTTAAATCAACATCCGATTTGGTATAGGTGGTCTGATACATAATAACTATATTACACATTGCATTTACCACCACCATCATCATCATCTTTATCATTAACACCGTTATACACTGTGTTTGTGAGTTGCAAGCTCTCTTCGAGAAAGCAACACATCTTGGACAAATAACTTTCACAAGCATCTTCAGTATGAATTGATCTTCTCCAAAACCACCATCATCACCATCCTTATCATTATACATCACCATCCTCACCACCATCATCATCATCATCATCATCACTATCATTATCATCATCATCATCATCATCATCATCATCATCATCGTCATCATCATCACCATCATCATCATCATCATATCTGTCAAACTTACTTTGTGTGTGATCTGCAATCTGTCTTTGAGAAAACGAGGAATCCTGGGCGGAATAGCTGCGGGGAATGTGAGTGCAATCAGGTTGAGGAGAACGAGAAGTAGCAAAGCCGTATCCATGGTAACGGACGTCTTTCTTTATAAACAAAACATAACAAGACACAAGCGGGTCAAGTAATGATATCTCCAAAGTGTGTGTAATTCAAGTAATTCAGTTCCGACGAGAGAAATCCAGAGTATGATGTTTAACTTGAATTTTGTCAAACCAGCAATTTATCGGGAAAAAAAGGACTGAAACAATACGAAACTTGAATCCCCGAATTCTGGAAAACTGAAAGGTTATACTACGAGAATGGTCTAAACTTAACAAAAATATCCTCATTTTTATCCTCTCTCTCGTTCTCTTTCTCTCTCTCTCTCTCTCTCCCTCTCTCCCTCTCTCTCACCAAACTGTTTGTTTGTAGCCACATACACAAGCCTGTTTTAGCCTGTCAAATCTTTGATTTATATTCTTTCCCTTGAAATCCCTTCCTTCGAAACTGTATTGATTACCAAAAAAAAGAAGAAAAAAAAAAGAAAAAATAGAAAATGCAGCCAAACCCCGTTTGTGCGTGTGTTTCAGTTTCATTTTTTTCAGTTTTAAGTTTCATTTATTTCTCCTCAAGAGATTAACAGATAAAAAAAATACTTATATGAAGAGACAAATGTATGACAATACATAAGATGAATTAAAAACAGTAAGGAAGGCAGTGGCCAAAAAGGAAATAAACCTTGTACAGGGCCAATCCTTTAAGAAAACAAGATATAATATGTAACATAAAAAGACCTCAAAAAGGAACACAAAATAAGATAAGAAATGGAGTACCTAACCTAATAAACGAACTAACAAAAGAACCTAGTATTGAATCTAATATTTAGGTAATACAAATATTTTGATATTAACAAATATTTTATAAATCCTTCTAAAAACAAATACCGAAGAGCTATTCTGAATGTTAGAGGGAATTTAATTCAAACACGATGTTGGGTTTCCAAAGAGGACCGGTATTTTGTATGCCACCTAACAGCACCATTCATCCACAGTTGCCGTCCTTAACCCGAGTGTATCGTTACCAAACATGAATAAATTAGTCGAATATTTCGAGTGCTTCACATCTGGGACCCGCCTTATAAGGAGTTGCGATTGATCATAATCATTTGCAAAATCTAAGCAATCGCAAGTTTGCAGCCCCTCTCTCCTAATGTCCTATGTACAAAGATGCGTTTGATATCAATCGCAAATGCGTTGCGTTTATCGCAAATGTTTATAAGACGGGTGCAGGTTACATACATGTAGTAAAAATTAGTTTCATTTTCAATTTCTTCATTCAAAAGCACTTTGAAATACATCATTGTGATACAGCCGTCCTACATAATTATCATCATCAAAAATACTTACAGGTGGTTTAAATCTGAATGAACAAGAGTCAGTTATTACAATAAATTCTCTAGGGCCTCCATGGTCAAAATCGAGATGTTTATCTCCGCACCTTGATACGACCTTGTGTGGAGAACAGGAGAACTTGAGATATTCTAAATCGAAACCAATTTTCATAGACGTATTGATCATGATAGGGTAGTCCCCAGCGCACACCCTTTACTCTTCTATATTCAAGACTTCGTTTAACGATGCATGGCCCAATACGTGTTATCAGTGTCTGTGATAGGATGTAATATTGAAGCCCTAAACAAAAATTCGCTTCAAAATGATCATGAAGTGCATCAAAAAAAGTAAAAATCTATGAGTGACCGGTTTTACCAAACTCATTTTGCCTAATAGACTGTAGTGTAATAAAAACCGTTACGAAAAAAGGTTTTTGAAATTTCGATTTCCAATCATAAATATCTTGATAATCAGACAGGCGATTGGCTTGTAAAATTCATGTGGTTCCTGACTGACCTAAAGGTTTATAATGATTATGATTGCAGCATGAGCTAAGTCTAGGATTTCGTTTCAGAATCTGAGACAAAGATACTAAATCCCTTTAAAAAAATATGATAGAAACAACCTATCTGGGAGTTGAACGTATATCTTTGATATACAGCACAAAATAATGTTACAGATTACAAAATGCATTTTAGACAAAGTTATTATAAGCGATAGTTACGACCTCGATAAAATAACTGGGTTTTAGTTGCTAAATAAAACGAAGAAATTAACAACAAATAAAGTATATCATACGACTGAAGAACATGCAACTGTTTCTCTGTGTGAAACCTCCATGATCTGATGATGACTAGCCTAATAATGACTTATATTACACATGCCTCACACTAGCTCCCCGCTGACTCAGCTGAAAATCTTTCATGTTTTAATCACAAACACTTGTTTAATTACCATACTCCTTCGACAGCCGATTCTAGTGTGAATGTGTAGGAGAGATTAGATACAACAATAATTTTCAGAAAAAAACACGAGCCAGGTTATATAAAAGGCGCATGCCAGAAAGAGTATATAGGCCTACATGAAAATCAATGGATGGTTCTGGAAACAAAACCAATGAACTATACTTGATAAACAGAGTAGCAAATAGTGAAGATGATATAACTACTTTCTATCGGACTATCCTTTAATCAAGAAGAAAATCAAATTGTTTTTAATAATAATAAGAACAAAATATAACCTAATATATACGATTGTTTTAAACCCTAGCCAAAATAACCAAGAGGTTGGAGCAAGGTCTTTAAAAACTGGAACCACAGGAGATCTTGGGCGGTATAGGGGTGTGGTCAGAGAAGTGGGTGGGACAACTTCCGCACATCTGAACCTTTGCCTGTCTTGTCTTAAACTATAGACTTTTCAGGATCTCACATCTTGTTTTGTTTTTGTTACTATTTTGTGTGTGTGTGTGTGTGTGGGGGGGGGGGGTGAACATATTATCTTAAAAACCCATTTACTGGATATTTATGTATACTTTCTATTTCATAACTTTAAACCATGTAAAATGTGATCTGATTTCTTGTCAAAATTACTGTTCGGTTGGAAATGAAAAATAAAACTGAAACTGAAACTGAAACATGTAAGTGAGCTTTTTTCCTTTATATCTATGTCTCTAACTCTTTCTGTTTTTCTTTTAGGGGGGGGGGGGGGTTCCTCTTTCTATATTGCGTGATTGGGCTATTTTTACTCTACTATTGAAGCAAAAGTATATTTCAATGCACCCCTATGCATTGAAACATGCATTCAATGGGGCACTTGTGCGTTTGGTAAACGGTGTTTTAAAGCAACTCTTCGCTTCAGGCTCTCCAGAGTTCCGGAGGCACTGAAACGTTGCCAACTTGCCCCTTAGCTGTTCCCTTCGGATACGTCCCCCGGTAAAGATCTGGAGCAGTGCAAATACACAGTGATAGATAAACTCAAGATGAACTTGTTAGCCCGAGGAAGGTGTTGGGTTTAGATAACGGCGTGGATAGCAGACAAAAACCAATCCAAGACGGAACAATATTTTGAGGTCTGGAAGAGCGAGAGATCAACAGATGAAATTCGAAACGTTCTGTGGATGACGGTGAACTCCCAGAAAAAATGGAAATGTATCGACTATCGAATTTGAAGAGATTTAGAGGGCTGAACTGCAAGAAGGAAGAAAGCAATACATTTTATCACTGCAACAATTATGTAGAGCAAAAGAAGCTTGTCGTGTTAGAAGAACACAAATCGTGTTTAGTTATAATTTGTACACGGGTGCAAGTACACTGCACGGGGAGGCAGCATTGGCCATCGATCACTTCATGGCGACGTTTGTTTTAATGGTTTTGTTTTGCTTGTAGAAAAGTTACAATATTTTAGTAAAGTAAAAACAATTATTCCAACAACCATGTCCCATTAAACATTAAACATGGTTTGTCGTACGCCTTTAACAGAAGAAATTGTATAAGCTAACAAGCATTTGTAATTGTAAACACGCGCTGAATTAAACGTACACACAGTTTACAGATCATCAACGCGCAGTGTTTAAACAAGGTAGCGTAGCATCCAATCGAGGACGTATTCATATCGAAAATTTAAATTTTCATTCAAGAGCACTGCAGAGACTAGGCATGCTAAGTGGTGTGATATAGCCTTTTATTCATTATTGTTAACTTCTTTTTCTTCTTCAAAAATTAGAGGAGAAGGGGGGGGGGGGGGAGCCCCTTATCGCCCATGTTGGCCTCAAGATTTAAGATATGAGTCCAAGATTCCTTGTCATTCCCAACCAATACTGTGATAATCTCCAGATAGATGTTCTTCTAACTAGTTTGTGCATATTCAGCATATCTCTGTATCTGTCTTGAATTGGTTGAAAAGTCACGAACGAAATAGTTTCGTTTCTTATTCTCTGTCTCTCTCCCTTTCTCTCTCTCTCTCTCTCTCTCTCTCTTCTAAACAAACGTTAGGGCAACGAACAAGTCGAAGGACGTCATATCAATTGGTAAATTTAATTACGACACATGTAGAAGCACTTTAAATAGGACTTTCGAATAGTTTCTCCTTGTCACAAGGTTGACGTTTCACCCTTTAGGTGCCGCGGAGGGTTGTGAAGAAGTCCTGAAGTAGCGTTCCATGGCGTGAGGTTGCAGTATGTATACCTCAATGCATTTGGTTAAAAAGGGGGCGTCGTCGCCCCTGAACCCCCATCCCATCCATGTAATCGACCCCTTTCGTGAGATCTCAATCGTATTGTCCCGGCAATCCATGCCCTTTCTTAGCGGGATGCCTGATTTTATTTCGGAGATGACACAATTTTCCTTTCGGGGCAAGGTGAGATGTCACTTGGAATACCTGCTGAGTATTGGAAGTGATCGGCAAAATCTCTCGTTTTGGTGCTCCGACATAATGCATGATGTTGCGATGACAATTGCTCCTGGCATTCTTTTGTCAACGATATACACGATATAGGTTTAGGCTTGAAAGTGATTTCAGGTTAGGATACGGTTTAGGATTAGGGTTGGGTTTAGAATTGGTGATATAATCACAGGAGCATGTTTCGTACAAGTACTGTACTAACAACTCTAAATTAAGTCGTGCATGTCGTGTCGTTTTGTCGTGTGTCGTAATTGGTGTGCGGAGCCCTTAATTGCATCTACTTTGCGACGTCATATTTGTTTATATAACCCCAT